GGCCACGGGTGTGCGCTCAGTGCAACTGCAGGTAATTAGTTGCAGGTTGAGACTTGCAAATATTGTTTTATCAGCCAATGCAAGCACCCACGGCTGTTATTATCCGTGGGACCTGTAGAGCCCACAAAACTCCTATTACCTGCACCCTGGTCTTCTGATTATCCACCTTGTGGAACGGTTTTCTTTTATCCGCACATTTTTTGTAAATCAGTGGAGTTGTATGAAAATTAATCCTCTTGTCCTTGGGTTATCTACGGATTTTAATTAGCATGTTTTCCAGGAATGCACCTGGAAATTACGTAATGACTCTTATTGCCTGCACATTTTTTCTCCTAATTAGAGATTGGTGGGAATATCATCCCCCCCCCCCTCACTCGGCGCAAGAAGAGCACAATAAGTGTTGTCATCACATCTCTCCCTCTAAGGAAAACAGGAGGATTTCTCCACAAATCTGGCTATCGCCTGATGAAGCTAGTTGTAATTACTGGCGAAATGTCGTACTCGGATTGTAAATGTTGTGGCTTTGCTCTTCAACACACCGATGTGCTGTACTAATTGGCTGTGTCGGGTGGTGGCAGGGTTTAATGACACATTTTTATATTACACCATCTAACCCAAAAAAACCTATATTATGGAGAATATCATCCTGTTATCTCTGATGTTTTACACACAAGCAAGGTGAATGATGAATAAATTGTTGTCATTATGAATTTGCATTTACCGCTAAAGTCTGTCACGTGGCTCAGTGCACCAACACAATATTTAACACAACTGGTCAACCACAGTAGACCGTGGAAACCTTACATAGCGGAACCCAAAACAAACATGTAATGTGTACCTTCTAAATCGCATGTGAATGCAATGACAGATATTTGGTAAAGTAAAAGTCTAAACAATTCAATTCCAACGTGTGCAAATAGGCCTGCAATAGGCCTGTAATCGGTGTCATTCCAGCCGGGTCTCTCCGAGTTAGTGACCTGGAAAATTATTTGGCGGCAGTCGTGAATGATGTGGTCGTAGAACGTCAGGATGAAGACGGCACTGCCGTTTTAGCGAAGCCGCCCCCCGTGGGTTCGGAGCTGAGCTGGATGCCCATGAAGCGGCTTTCTCCGAGCAGTCTCTCGGTGCGAGCGCCCGCCCAATCGTCACTCCGTAACTACATTTCACTCCACCGTCCGAGTTTGGTTGCAGCGGTTTGTGCTTTTACGTGGTAATTAAAAAACATTGACCTCTTTTGAAGTATGTGAGAGTGTATTGCTATTCAGCACCTATGGTGCAAAGATGATGCTATCTTTACAGTGTTTAATATATTTTTCAATAGTACCTGATGGGGAAGAAAGGTCTAAACATTTCAGCCGACTAGCCTTCTTCAGGAAACGTTGAGATATACAGTGAGAGAGTCTGAAATATTCTGTGGCTGTTGTCAGCAAGGGTGGAGATAATATCAGTCAAACTGAAGGGATTAAACTCCTCAGAGATTGTAGAATCATAAAGCCATTCCAGAGGTCCATAATAAATGGGGTGGTGTAAAAGTGTAATTCGTTTTCAGAGTGTGAATCATTCAAAAGGCATTGAGTAGGCTTGCAGTGGTAACATTGTCAAGTAAATTGTCAATCTTTCAAAATTAGGTACTGAGATTATGCTGTTGCCATATAATGATACGATGAAGTGGAGTACTTTACCCTTCAATGTCCACCCCTAGAAATATGGTGCTTTGATGATTTCCAATACAATTAAGTTTTTATTAAGTTATGTCGATTTTCTCAAAGGGCCACGGGTGTGCGCTCAGTGCAACTGCAGGTAATTAGTTGCAGGTTGAGACTTGCAAATATTGTTTTATCAGCCAATGCAAGAGATTGAGAGGTACCACACTGTTGGCTCACTGCAGCATCTTCATCGGCCTGCTACAGCGGTTGTTATTTAGATATTCTCCTGATGAGACTGGGGGGATGCTGCCATGGGTTGTGATGGTCAGTTGCGCTCTGGACTTGCCAGTTCAACCTTCTGGCGTGCCTCTGTCCACTGCGCAGTTCGAATGAGTTCTCGACAATCAGTTGGTTGGCAGGTCGTGTGCAATGGGGTAGAGTGTGGGGGCTCCTCTACCCATTCCCAGATGTCTGGCCAACGTGAAAGAGGAGGCCAAACTATCCGCTATTGGCTCCCTGGATTTGCAGAGCTGCATCTATTCGGCCAGACAGACCATCATTTCTCAAAGGGGCCTGGGATTAAAACTACATAGAACCACACCAGAGACAGCCTTCTTTATGGCCTTGTCTGACCAGTGTCAGACCAGAGGAACGCCAACAGGCGAATAGAACAAAGACGATGCACGTATCAGAGTATTTATAGTTCTGGTTGAGCAGCTACATCATGGATTAAGCAGCTACATCATGGATTAAGCAGCTATATTATGGGATATAGCTGCTCAACTGTACTGTTTGCCTTTTGGCATTCTCAATCAGAGAATGTTTGTTTGCATGTTCACCACAAGTCGTTGCGGTTCATGCAGACTTGATTCTTTACAAAAGGTATATTTGTTTAAACATCTTAACACCTGTTTTATTTCCAGAAAGGATAAAGCCTATTCTTATTTTTCATACTTTGATACTGTCAAAAAAAGTTCCCAGAGATATACACAGAACCACGCATTCAAACTATCGTAAACACTGCTGCATGTGGCGTCGCGTGGTTGGCACAGGCCCTGGGGTAAGGAATGAATTACATTTGCGCCCCCCCCCCTTCCCACGGCCGTCTCATCCCATCTTTCGAACCTGGTACCTGGAGCCCTTTCGGTGCCGTTATAGCACCTGCATGCTCAATGGCTAAGCCACTGGTGTTCACAAGCTTCTGTTGCCGTTACCATGCCGTCGTTGTTGCGAGCCGTTGCTCCTCCACGTACCTTCCACGCGCTTGCACACACAGTTGGCTGCGACCAAGGGGAACGGCCGGTGGCGTTCACAATGGCCACTATCAACCATCTGACCACTTGGAAAGCCAAACATAACCACCCATGTGTGCATAAACTACATTTAACTGCATTGAAACGTGATTACAGAAATGTCACAACCCCAAAAAGTGGGGGGGGGGGGGGGGGCAGTGATGGAAAAATCTGAATTTTGGCGTAGGTTTGGAGCTACCCGGACGTGCACGCAGCTGATAAGCTGTGAGTGGTCAGTCTTTTGGAAATGGTGCCATTTGATCTGTGAATTATTTCGTTGTCAGCAAAGATGGTGGCTGAAGGTGGTGTGTTTTGAGGAAGGAAGAAAGTAAAACAAAGAGGAAAAATATTTATTCTGATAAAATCTTAAACCACTTTGTTAAAAGGTGATCTCGGACTAGGTAGCTGTGGAATAGGGCACGCAGTCATGCTTGCGACTACCAGTTTTTATTTTGCCTTATTTGCGGCAGGCCTCAAAGACCGAGTCGGGTCGAAGTAAAGCTCCCCGATGCGCCTTGACGTTTCGCCGTGCTTGCTGGGAGCTTTTCAAGGAACTGAATGGATCTGGTAATCAATCAAATAAGAAGCTCCCAGCACGCAGAGCGAAACGTCGGACTTGGTGCCCAAAAAAAACACAAAGATCCCCCGTATAGCCTGAACAGACTGTTGGTGCAAGTGCTGTTAGCGAGCACCTATGAAGGCCGGCACAGTACACGAGGGGGTGGGTAGCCAACACCACGCCCGACCGCCTTTGTCTCTCCAGTGGTGATGTTTTTACACACCACACCAGGTACTCATTTGAGGCTAAGTCGACCTAGGGGAGGCCCAGGACCGGTTTAGATAATCGTTACCGGTGTTGGCCGTGAGCGGGAATCGAACTCTGATGGCCAGGTTTGTAGTGCAGTCCGCGAACCACTACCCTACGCGCGGTACAACCCACAAACGCATCGGAGAGCCACGCAGCACAAATTCGGAACCCTACGGGGTCGTTGTACTAAGCACATACTCTTGTTGTCAGCATGTGGTTAAAAATTAATGAGATTCTCGATCTGGGAGCCAGTTGAGCCTGGAAACACATGTAACATGAGGTGTGCAGGTGAAGGGGCCTGCAGTACAAACCCTTGTGTTTAATCAGAGATTGAGAGATTAAACACTGGGATTTGACCCCATCCCATAGAATTCAAACACTGCGTTAGGCCAAGGTGGCTGCAAGAGTGGTGCAAAGCAACGAGTTGAGTCTCCCCAGAGCTGCCCTGGTTAGATAAATACAGAGATTCTGCTAATAAGTTTGGCACAAATTCACGGTAAATTTTATATTGTTGGGCTGTTATTGGCGTAGTGCGGTTGGCATGGGCCCTGCCACAAAGAACTGAATGGGGCTCCCTGTCCAATTTGCCCACTCTGCGTAGCTCATTGCCTCAGGCACAGGTGCAGTTGCGTGGCCTACACACTCAATAGCTAAGCCACTGTACTGCATCTGCCAGTCATCTCAGTTAGTCAACCCATGGCACCTGGGTCTGTTCCATTACCTCCTGCCAGTGACCCTTCGACACTTCACGCGGCCTCAAAGTGCACTTAGTGGTGAATGCCGGTGGTTGTTGTTGTTCAACTGACAAATCACTGCCTCTTGTGTAGATGCCGCTGTTGATGCAGCTCTGTACGAATATGCTACCTGTAACAATAACGTACAGCCCTTTGTCAATCCACTGCTAGATGAAGTCCTCTCCATGGCGTGTCGATCACAGGGTGTTCTTTAACCATACTTCACCACGCTGGTCGGTGCAGGTTGGCTTGCGTGCAGGGTACGGGGCGAGATGGGTTCAGATATGACTCGCCACAAATCAATCCCCAAGGCTGTGCAGTGATTGTGCTCACTCCTGCTTCACCACTCCACCTCGCTACTAATAATGTTTAGATACTAATACATACGTATACATATGACGTATACATTTCACGTGTAAAGGCTTCGATTGTTTATCCGTGAGTTATGCGCGCACGCGTTTTCTTGTACACGCACGCGCACGCACGGATTTGCACGTTGACGTGCGGATCTGCGCCGTAGGTTTGGTGCCTCGCGCCGAGCCGGAGGAGATGACGACGGAGACCCCCGGCCAGGATGGTGGCGCGGCGCGGCCACCGACGCGCGTCAAGCCCAACCTCGACGCGTTCGGCTACGTGGGCATCGACGCCGTGCTGGAGCAGATGCGGCGCAAGGCCATGAAGCAGGGCTTCGAGTTCAACATCATGGTGGTCGGTGCGTCCCGCACACCGGTGACGGGGAGTAGTCGTCGTACCAAGGGCCATGCCGAGGACTCCCGTAGAGGGCCGCTCGTGAACTGCACCTCGGTCGCTTTTGTGGCTGCGAGAGGCCCCGCCCTTGCCCTTGATGGAAAACACTGGGCGCACTAAAAATTTTAAACATTGTTTCCATCGTCAATGCATCAGTTGATCTTTATTTTATGTGCCAATTTCACCCTCAATAAAATGGGCATCGGTGCACATTCTACAGCCGTCACAGTACGTGCACATCACAGTACGTGACGTGCACGTACTGTGACGCGCATGTACAGTGACGCGCACGTACTGTGACGCGCACGTTCTGTGACGCGCACGTACTGTGCATGTTACACATACTGTGACGTGCACATACTGTGCATGTTACACATACTGTGCACGTTACACATTCTACAGCCTTTTCAGATGGCATTTGCATGAATGATGCTCTGTGGAAATGAAAGCATTATTCAAACTGTTTGTTTGTTACAGGTCATGGCGGATGGTGAATCGGTAAACGTGTTCACTGTCGCTGTCGTCCCTTTGCACGTATAGGGCAGAGCGGACTGGGCAAGTCGACCCTGGTGAACACGCTGTTCAAGTCTCCTGTGAGCCGCAAGTCGTGTACCCCCAACCACGAGGAGAAGATCCCCAAGACGGTGGAGATCAAGTCTGTGAGCCACGGTGAGGAGGGCCAATGGCGGCCGAGTGCGCAGGATGGGCGCTAGCGGTGCTGCACGTGGCTTTAAAGCGGTGCTGGCGCACACAGAGAATATTCCAGTGCGTTTAAAATAATATTATATACTGTACATGCTCCGTAAAATGTTCTCGTGCATTTAGATACATTGTACAGCGGGTCTTCGCTTTGACGGGGGAATTGCGTTCCAGAAGATTGCCGTTTATAGTGAATTTGTGTTAAGTGAGAATGATTTTCCTGTAAGGACTAATGGCGACGGTAGGGGTGCTGTCCCAGCCTGGAGTTTGATATATTATATAGATATATCGGTGACAGTAATTTATTTAAATATAAGGTGTGTTAGCGAGAGATATGGCGAGTGAAAAAGATAAGGGAGTGGGATGACGCTACGTATCTTGAGATGCTGCCCCAACACAGAGTGTGAGGAGGAAGAGGATGGCACGCCGTGTATCACAGTACTACAGTACCACAGTACCAACACGACAGTACCAGTACTACAGTACCAGCACCCAGCATCGCTGAACAACGCTGCCTACACCGACACCACTCAGAAAAGTCGCCCATCAAATGCTACTGTACTCACGTTCTAGCGAGCGCGGTACGTATTAAGCGAAAAAGTTCCGTAAAATAAAGACCACGTAAAGAGTTGTACGGTTTTGAAGGTTTTGAAATGGTAACAGGAAACTAACTTGGCAACAAACAAAACACTGACCTGTCCTTTTGTGCACCTCGACATTTGCAGTCATCGAAGAGAAGGGGGTGAAGATGAAGTTGACGGTGATCGACACTCCCGGATTTGGGGACCAAATAAATAACAACAACTGGTGAGAGTGACGGCGTAGCTAATGAGCGTGCAGAACGTGCAACAGCACTGGGACCCCTTACGTTTAGTTCACTCTAACGGTTGGCAAACTGAAAACTATTTTTAGTTTACCAGATGAAGCCGACTGAGGTATACGGCTCTTTTTCAGAAGCGACCTGCCCACAAATGATAGCTCAACAAAGTGGCTCCTCCTGGACATTTACAGCAGCCAAATACTCTAAATGCACGTCGATTCTAAATGTGGAGGGGAAAACCGGAGGACCCTGAGAAAAATCCACACAACCACGGGGAGAGAGAGAACTTGCAAACTCCAAAAATACATTAGGCACCAAGGTCGGGATCGAAGCCACGGTCTCCTGTATACCTGGCGAGGGAGTGAACATCTCGCCACCGCGGCACAATCCAGATCGTTCTCCCGGCACAGCAGTTGAAACAATGGGGCAGGTTTCTTAGATTTCCCTGTCCATCCGGCGGTATAAAAGGGGCACGCCAGTTAAATCGGCAGATTGCGTGTGGTGGGGTAATTTGTGGGTCCCCCCACCTCTTCCAAGCCATCTGCCCAATGTGGGAGAGTCGGCCAAATACCCTCCAGAGGGGGGGGGGGTCCTCCAGGGCTCAGGGCAACCTGCGGCTCTTGTGAGGAGGACTCCTTCGTGGCGTTATTTACGGAGGGCCGCCGTCTTGTATTCCACGTGCATTACGACTCTTTAAATATCGAGGTGTTTTTACCAAATTTGAAAAAAATGGCTCCTCTTGTAAGGTTTCTATTTGGTGTTTGAATGTCTTAACACCTCCTGTTTTATTGCCAGAAAGGGTAAAACCTATTCTTATTTTTTCATACTTTGATACTGGCAAAAAGGTCCCATTTTGTAGCTGCTCACCCAAGCTATGCTCTGATAGTGGCACTGTCCTTGTACTGTTCGCTTTGTGGCGTTGTCCTCTGGTCTGACGCTGGTGGTGAGACTTGGCCATAAAGAAGGCTGCTGTCTCTGGTGTAGGCCAATCAGTTTCAAAGACACTGCCATATAATATAAAAGCGTGTTTGTTTGCATCTTCGCCACAAGTACGTGTGGTTCATGCATACCTGATTCCTTGCAAAAGGTTTCGATTTGGTGTTTGAACATCTTAACACCTGTTCTATTGCTAGAAAGGGTAAAACCTGTTGTTGTTATTTTTTCATATCTTGAAATGTTGTTTGCTGACCCCTGGCCTATACCTTGTGGGCCCTCTAGTGGCCGGTCGTGCTAATGGCCATCTCATTTTCGCCACAACCGTCAAGAGTGGTGAGAGTGTCACCTTCGGCTTCTGTGGATCAAGACAGAGTGATGTATTAATGTACATCACAGGGAGTCTCGCCCAGCCAACACCATGCCACGGTTATCTGCGTATGTATGTTGAGCTTCTTTCGCACCGTGCGTAGCCAACCGTGCTTTATCAGAGGTGCGGGTGTAGGACAGCAAACTAAACACAAACAGACAAATGAGTTGTCAATGTAGTTGATTTAAAAGTGTAAAGCTCCAGTGGCTTGCTAATATCGGAAGGAAGAGCGTTCCAGACAGCCGCAGAAGCGCATCTGAAAGCGCCACGTGGTGCAACGATGAACGTGTTCAATGTTTAGCCAAAAGCCGCTGCTGCGAGGATCGGAGTTTGCGTGACGGTTTGTGACTCCTTGACGAGATCGGCGAGGTGTCGTGCGCCGAGAGCGGCGGGCTACGTGCCTTGCGGACGATGCCGCCGTCTTCCGCGCGACCCCCTCGCCAACCGGCGCGTGCCGCGCCCCCACCCTCCATCCCTCGCAGCTGGGAGCCCGTGCTCAAGTACATCAACGACCAATACGAGAAGTACCTCGCGGAGGAGGTGAACATCACGCGGAAGAAGATCATCCCCGACAGCAGGGTGCACTGCTGCATCTACTTCATCCCGGCCACCGGGCACTCGTAAGCGGAGCGCTCGGGACGCGCCAGCGGCGCCGTTGTGCGACAAGAACGGACCGCGAGCGAACCGCCGATCGTGCGGATATTAGCCAATCAAACAAAAGGTGGTCGTTTCACACGACGCTGTACTGTATTCTTGGTTCTCTCGGTAAAGTCACGTAGATAGAAAATAATAAAATAATAATAATATTGTAGAATGTAGCCTGTTTTAAGCTGATGAGCATACCTGCAGTCTGTAATGTAGACTTATTCTGGTTAGATTTTGACGTAAAGCTTTCGTGACTCCAGGAATTAATATTCTTTGGGTCTTTCGGTAAAGCCACGTAGATAGAAAAATAATAAAAATAATAAATAATATCACGACGTTTTGACCGCAACACAAGCAATCGTCATCAGGTGAAAAATATAGCGGGAGAGCTGCTGAGGCAGGAAAAAAAGATATACAATATATATTTTTCACATAATGACGATTGCTTCTGTTGCGATGAAACGTCGTGATATTGTTATTATTTTATTTATTTTATTATTTTTCTATCTACGTCGCTTTACCGAAAGACCCAAAGAATACTTATTCTGGTTCTTTCAGTAAAAAAATGGGATTAGTCGATCCATGAATCGCTTGCCATTGAATTGATGCATTGAGTAACCCTCGATGAATCGATACTCTGACATTGCTGTCGGATCCACTAAAAGCAGAATCGATACAATGGACATCTCGATTCACGGTTCACAATCCCATATATGGGTCGAGACGCCCCTACGGGTAATGCCACGCTCACTTCCATATTTGGGCTGATCGCTGATTTCATCGCCTGTCCGATTGTATTACAGCGCCCACTTTAAACCAGCTGTGTTTTGTAAACGTAGAGAACTCATCGAATTATGTTGGTGGTGGTGATGTTGATGATGGTGTCCCATTGAGCCTCCATGGTCTCCCACCACGCCCCCCCCCCCCCCCCCCCCGCAGGCTGAGGCTCCTGGACATCGAGTTCATGAAGCGCCTCGGGAAGGTGGTGAACATCGTGCCGGTGATCGCCAAGTCGGACACGCTGACGCTGGAGGAGAGGCAGGCCTTCAAGAAGAAGGTAAATGGCGGTGGTGGTTATCAGGTGCCCCAGGGGCTGAGCTCTGAGCCCACAACACGGAGACTTCGGTTCGAATCCGGTTTGAGCCACCCACGATCCAATGGGGTTCTCAGGTTTAGCACAGTGATCGTCTCAGCCCGGTCCCTCACGCCTGCACAAAACTACAATGCCATCAGGGTCTTTTTCCCTTAATTTACCTTTTTCCAGCCTTGAGGATGTTAATTATGTTACATTTGTTTGCTGTGTGATGAAATGCACAAAGATCCCCCGTATAGCCTTAATAGACTGTTGGGGCAAGTGCTGCTAGCGAGCACCTATGAAGGCCGATACGGCACACGAGGGAGTCGGTGGCCAGCACTACGCCCGGCCGCCTTTATCTCCAAAGTCACGATGTTTACACACCGCACCAGGTACTCATTTTAGGCTGAGTGGACTCAGGGGAGGACCAGGACCAGGCCCGGATAATCATCACGGGTATTGGCCGAGAGCGGGAATCAAACTCGGGTCGCTGAGTTCGTAGCGCAGCACACTAATCGCTGCACTACCGCACACGCACACCGGGTGAGATCCGCCTCCACACTGGCCGATTGCTCCACAGATCCGGGAGCAGCTGGAGACGCAGGGCATCAGCATCTACCCCCACAAGGAGCACGACGAGGACGAGGAGGATCGCTCCGCCAACAACAAAATCCGGGTTCGTGTGGCCAGCCTGGGGAATTCACTTTTAACGCAGGGAATTCACTCCCAACGCAGGGAATTCACTCCTAACACAGGGAATTCACTCCTAACACAGGAAATTCACTCTTAACACAGGGAATTCACTCTTAACACAGGAAATTCACTCTTAACACAGGGAATTCACTCCTAACACAGGGAATTCACTCCTACCACAGGGAATTCACTCCCAACACAGGGAATTCACTCCCAACACAGGAAATTCACTCTTAACACAGGGAATTCACTCCCAACACAGGGAATTCACTCTTAACACAGGGAATTCACTCCTAACGCAGGGAATTCACTCCTAACGCAGGGAATTCACTCTTAACACAGGGAATTCACTCCTAACACAGGTAATTCACTCCTAACACAGGGAATGCACTCCCAACACAGGGAATTCACTCCCAACACAGGGAATTCACTCCCAACGCAGGGAATTCACTCTTAACGCAGGGAATTCACTCTTAACACAGGGAATTCACTCCTAACACAGGGAATTCACTCCTACCACAGGGAATTCACTCCCAACACAGGGAATTCACTCCCAACACAGGAAATTCACTCTTAACACAGGGAATTCACTCCCAACACAGGGAATTCACTCTTAACACAGGGAATTCACTCCTAACGCAGGGAATTCACTCCTAACACAGGGAATTCACTCTTAACACAGGGAATTCACTCCTAACACAGGGAATTCACTCCTAACACAGGGAATTCACTCATAACACAGGGAATTCACTCCCAACGCAGGGAATTCACTCTTAACGCAGGGAATTCACTCTTAACACAGGGAATTCACTCCCAACACAGGGAATTCACTCCCAACACAGGGAATTCACTCCCAACACAGGGAATTCACTCCCAACACAGGGAATTCGATCCCAACACAGGGAATTCACTCCCAACACAGGGAATTCACTCCCAACACAGGGAATTCACTCCCAACACAGGGAATTCACTCCTAACGCAGGGAATTCACTCGTAACGCAGGGAATTCACTCTTAACGCAGGGAATTCACTCTTAACGCAGGGAATTCACTCTTAACGCAGGGAATTCACTCCTAACACGGGACATTCAGCATTAACTTGGGGCATTCAACCCGAAATACAGTAATCCCTCGCCACTTCGCGGTTCAAGTTTCGCGGCCTCAGTGCATCGTGGATTTTTCAAAAATATTCATCGAAAAATAAAAATTCTAAAATACCGCCATATCGGCAGCCGTATTGCGGAAAGCAGCGTTGTTTCATCGTGATGCGCGAGAGAAACGGTTTCCCAGGATGCCAGACAAAGAGAGAAACTCTCTCAGAGGCGTTGTACATACTGTACCCACGGGCACTCGGACAAGGCACGTGATTGGTTCCCGGCGCGAGATCGACGAATGAGAGCACGAGTGGATGTACAGTATCCCGTGAGCTGATTGGCTGCGCATCATCGCATCCTCTCCCATACATATCGTATGAGAGAGAGTGAATGTATAATATTAAGGTTTTATAATTAAATAGATTTAAGTAAAATATATATATAAAGTATAAATATACATATTTTAAACATTCTGGTACCCACACACTATATACGGAAATTCCTAGGGGGCCAATCCTACTTCGCGGATTTTCACCTATCGCGAGGGGTTCCGGTCCCCATTAACCGCGATAAACGAGGGATCACTGTAAATACATTTAGCCCCAACGTAGGCATTAAATCCAAACCCTGGGGCATACGTACGCTGTAAAAGAAGTGAAACATATATTCAATTCTTGATTTGAAGCTTTCGTGACTGCAGGAATCCATACTCTTTGGTTCTTTCGGTAAAGTCACGTAGGTATAACTTTACCGAAAGAACCAAAGAGTATATAGATTAATTTCCTTAACCGGGGGATTCAGCCCCAACCCAAGGCATTCAAAGGTTCGGAGAGTGCATGGAGGAGAGTAGAGAGGGGCGAGAGGGGAGAGGTGCAGGCAGTGGAGTGGACGTGGAGGACCTCGAAGATGGAGGCTGCGACCTTGGCATTGATCCGAGCTTGGGAGGCAGTGGCGAAATGTTTTTAGTTTTGTGGCTCTGGATTAGCATTCTCTAGCAACCCTCGTCTCCAAATGACTGGACTACATCTCTGGCCGAACCACCATGGCCAGGGCCGATCGCCGTATGGAGCGGGCACTGCGGGCACCGGCTCACGCGGCGGAGCGCACGTTGGGCAGGTTGGGCAGCTGTGGCAGCACGAGAATCACTCTGTCTCGCTCTGTCTCGCTCTGTCTCGCTCTGTCTCGCTCTGTCTCGCTCTGTCGTGTGGCTCCCCAGGAGCTAATGCCGTTCGCCGTCGTCGGCAGCGACAAGGATTACCTCGTCAACGGCCGCAAGATGCTCGGGAGGAAAACAAAGTGGGGGATCATCGAGGGTGAGTGGCCCTGCGGTGTCACTGAGGGAAGAAGGCTGTGGCCGAGTGGCTCTCGGGGGTCAGAGCGCTAAGCCAGTGCTGCTTAGAAACGATGAAACGATGTAACGGTTTTAATTTTACCAAAAACCAGAGGACCCGGAGAAAAATCCACCCCACCACACGGAGAGAGACACGCAAACCCCAAATATACAGCAGGCGTCAGGGTCGGGATCAAACCCACGACCTCCTGAATACCGGACAAGGTAGTTAACATCTCGAAGCCACCCTGGGTCTAAATCCGAGCAGCCTCCTGTGGTTAAACTGGGTTCTCAAGCGTAGCAAGTTGACAGTGTGGCAGATACTATCATCTCTTGCGTTGTTGTGCTTCTCACAGCCCACGTTCGTTATTGTCCTTGGCATGCAACTTGCACCCTCTGCAGAGGTGCAAGGGCCCCGGGGTGTCGTCCGGTCGCCTCTCGGTCGCACGTGGGGGAGGAGGGGAGGGGGGGTCACCGCACTGCGGCGGTGGCATGGGGGGGGGGGTCACCGCACTGCGGCGGTGGCATGGAGGTGGGGGGGGGTTACTTTGCCACCACGAGGGGCCGAGGGGCTGCCCTTGCAGAGGAACAAAATGGCAGAATGCTCGGGCACTTTTTAAACATGCCTGGTGTTACAGTGTTTACATGTTTAAATAATCTTCGTGACGTGTTTCTACTTTTCCAACCTTTCTTCCCTGCCAACTGATTCCTATCTCAACCAAAACAACACCAACGCCAAACCACCCACTCGCCAATCACCCACTCACCACTCGCCATACCACCCACTCACCACTCGCCAAACCACCCACTCATCCGGCACTTTTCACCCCCCGTGGCGCTGTGCAGTTGAGAACGTGGCGCACTGCGAGTTCTCTCAGCTGCGGGAGCTGCTGATCAGGTCGGTACTCTGTTTCTTTTCAGCGCTTTGCTTTGGGAGACGAGGTTGTTCTGTGACGGCGTACCGGCATTTAGCACGTAGACTACATGGGCAGCCTCTCCTTGACATTCCCAGTGCAGTCGAGGGATGCCTAAGTCAGTCTTCGTCGTGAGCGGCGGTTAACATTTGCACCTTGCCTCCCATGCCGAACATCTCGAGATGCCCTGTGGCAGCGGATCCCCTCGGGCAGCTGTTCCTGTGAGGCAATTAAGTAATGTGTGACGACTGTCTGCTGACTGTAGTTTATTAAATTGGGGAAAGCTGGTCAATGATTATATAATGTAACGATATAAACGATGGCTTTAAAAAAGATACAATGCAGTGCCACGGTGGTTGATGTAGAGCACGGCGCTGGGGCTGCCCAGTTTGTCTGTGAAAACGAGTCGAGCTTCTGGCAGTTTAATCAAGCGTCCAAACCTGGAGTCGCAATCCCATTTTACGAGAGATCATTTTCTTTTCCTCGTTTCGATTGACTCTTGCGTTGCGTCTAGTTTGATTGCACTCTCTCTGTTTGCATCAACCCAAAGATAGCATGAGCATATAATCAGCAGTTGTTTCCCTGTTACGTTCATGGCGTGGCTATTTGTTTCCCCATCACCGTTCACGGCGTGGCTATTTGTTTCTTCGCTTGCGGTGGTCGGTGGTCCCCAGGTCCCACACGCAGGACCTGAAGGAGGTGACGTCGTGCGTTCACTACGAGGGGTACCGAGTGCTGCGACTCAGCGAGGGCGGCAAGGACGTCGCATCGGTCAACGGCCTCGCTGCCAAGGAGCAGCTCGCCTGAGCGACGGTCACGGCGCCCAATCCAGTCCCTGTGGCCCAGCCCGAAGAATCGGTTCTGAATCGTCCGTGGTCTCCGTCTTTGTCTCGCCGTCTCGAGCACGCTCGGGAGGGCACGCGCACGCAGAGCGATCACTCCGAGGGTGTCTGTTACGGCTTCTGTTTTAGGTGACTTATCAACACGAGGGCTTCTCTAGTGAATCCCAAGCACCGTCGTCGGGTAAGGGTAGACAGTGTCCCACCATTGCGAATTTGACACGTTTGGATAAATTGTAACGAGCCCAGTATCTCTGCATTGATATAATATTAATATAAGATCGACACAATAGTTGATTTGTGGCTCGAGCCCTTGTTGTACTCAAATACCTCTCTTCCATTGTACAACCGAGCCAACGCTGAGCCAGCTCAGCATGGCTCAGGAGTCGCCAGGTTGTGTTTCCACTACAGAGTGCCTGAACCGTGTCACTTACATCACATTGCATAAGTACACTTCCTCGATTGTACCGACTTAACGCGTGGCAGAAATGGTTAACCCCTGGCCCTGCTTGACCTCGAGCCAGATCCAGTTTAACGGTGCGGTTCTGGCTTGGCTCTGCCAATAGTCAAAGGAGGGCCCCACGCTGGCACGGCTCTGATGTGCAGTGGAAAATGGGTAACTTTGATCTGCTTATTGGACGCCAATGAAATGAGAGAGTTATCATCGTCAGACACTTGGAACGATCACGACGCGTTTACGTGGCCTAGCGGTGTCCAGAGGCTACCACGTACGCTACCTCCAAGTGGAGGGTTCGGTGATTCAAAAAAATATAAAGTATAAGATTTGGTTCAATCCTGCCTATCGCACGGGCAGTTTATTGAAGAGTACATGCGACTCCTCAACCCTTCCTCACATGCAGCGTTGTTGCTCGAACGTTTATAAAAACAACTCAACGAAAGAGGAGCTGTTGGTGAGGATTGCGGACGAGTGCATCCCATTACCCACAGTCCCCACCACACCGCTGTGTCGTGGATCTTCTCAAACCCTGCCTTGTTTTATTTTGTCTGTGGTACAACCCATCGTGTCCTCCGAGTGAAATCCCGCCATTCCCTGACCACACCGACTTGTTGTTTATAGCCGTGTTGTTGACGTGACAAGTGCAATGTTTGTAGCTTTTGATGAAATGCATTATCGCCGTGACGTGCCAACTTTTCACAACAGTTCAACTGCGTTTTTAACCTGTTTACTGCCCGAGAGGAGATTTGTCTTAACGTAGGAGCGTTGGTATTTCTCATCCATAACCTTGTCTTGTTTATATTGTTGTCGTTGGGTTTTTTTCCCGCTGTGTTGGTTTTTTTTTGTCCTCTTGCCTGCCATCGCTGTTTGACTCTTCTCAGGAAAGCCAGCTTTGTAATGGAGAGCAGTTAAGCGGTGCAACGTTAGTCACGGTATGAACTTTAGAAGCCGAATCCTTGGGGAGGTTAAAACTTTTTGTATTTTTCACACGCACACGTGGCGGCTTGAAGCACGGGTCACAGTCATTTGTCATCGTTTGTGGTAAAACCTGATATCAGAATCATAATAATAATTGTCTTGGATGTTTGGAGAAAATAATAGCCATGCGACTGCAGAATTGTCTCTCAATGTAAGCGAGGCCGTGGTCTCATCTGAGAACACAACAGAAAAACCGAAACCCTTTCACAATTGTGCATCTCATTGCGGACTGTGAAGTGCTTTGTCTTAGTTTATGCAACGTAACGAAATAAAGGACACGTGCTTTTCTGCAAAAAAAAATACATCCATTTTGCGCTTGCAGTTTATTTTCTGTGCTGTAGTTACGCGTCTCACTACGGAGTGCAGACTGAGAAGACGCTTCCATACTCTTTGGGTCTTTCGGTAAAGTGACGTAGATAGAAAAATAATAACAAAAATCACGACGTTTCGATCGCAACACAAGTGTTGTGCCATAATAAGGCGCTGTAGGCAGCTGACCTGCCGCCACGCTCACGGGCCGACGGGGCAGAGAGTGAGGTGGGTAGGGGTTGACCGAAGGTCAAACCCCCGCCCCTCCGTGACCGGAGGTTGACACCCCAAACCCCCCAGGGGCTGGGGGCTGAGGGGGATGATGGCCCTCCTCCACTTCCTAAGGCCCCTTAAGGAGTAAGACCTTCCAGAAGGTTCTGGAGGGGGGGTCATGCGAGGAGGGGTGACCCCGACCTGGGGATGAAAGGCCAGCCCTCGGGACGGACGTGGCAGTCCTCACCAACTCAAGCTCGAAGACCTCTGAAGATCTGAAGACTGGACCAGCGACCCGGGGACCCTCAACCGTGGCTCTCGTAAGCCGGTTGTAGCGGAGCAGCCGAGGTCGCTTGGACCCCCTGGGACCCTCCCCGAGGCTCTCGCTAAGCCGGCGTTGAAGCGGTCCAGGGCGAGTCCCGTACCCTGGGTGGGTCGGTCGGTCCGGCCTTCCCCGAGCTGCCGTCGCAAGGGACCGGCGTGTGCGTAGCCCGGAGTGGGTAGAGCACGCTAGAAGGGAGGCTGTCTCTCTCTCTCCCTTAGAATATCGAGTGGAAGGGGTCGTACCTCTCCGTGTTAATAGAGTAGCATTAACAGAGTGTTAAGAATTGTTCAATAAACGCGTTGCCTCCAGCAAACGTCTCCGTGGGGTTAGTTATAGGACACAACACAAGCAATCGTCTTCAGGTGAAAAAATACAGCAGGCTGACTGCTGAGGCAGGATAAAGATATCGGGAGAGCTGCTGCAGCAGCAAGAGGTTATAGAGGTTTGAGATGGGTGCAAGCCAAGGGTAAGTGGGGGGGGGGGGCTAGAGGTGGAATTTACAAGTAATTAACCTCGGCCATTGTATTGGTAGAGATTAGCATGTCAATATGTCAATGTAACCCCACGACTACGGTGCTGAAGAAGCCATTGTGTTGCTAGAGATTAGAGATTAGCATGTCAATATGCGATGGCTCCCGCAGCAGCGGCTGTGTCAATGAGACACATTCAGCCGATTGAACAATGAGAGCCACCGCCAGCCACATCGAGGAAAAGAGAGCAGCAGCAGCTATGTTAGTGAGACATTTAGTGATCGAAACGTAACTTTTTATTTTATAATTTTTCTATCTACGTAACTTTACCGAAAGACGCAAAGAGCATGCATTCCTGCAGTCACGAAAGCTTCAAGTGGGGACGCTTCCAGTTCCAGGTTTAGTTTTGTTCCAACCGGACAAGAGCTCGAGAGACCCAGACGAGACTGGGTCGCAGAAGTGACGGGGCCACGGGTCTGCTCGTCGGGGGCGCTGGTTGCTGCTGCTCCTGCGTGTGGGGCAGCGCCAATTTAGTCAGCAAAACGGAAGCCGAGAGATGCCCTCACAGAGCTCGGAGGCCACACGGCTGGACAAAAATGAAACGAAATAAAAGAAACCTGGAAGGCCTTCGCCTGGTAGGGAGTGGGAGGTAACAGGCCGACGTCACGCTTCCATTGCAACGACTTCTCAAGTTAGAAATGTTTCGAGAATCTCCACCCATCGCCGTGTTATTTTATTTCTGTATTTCACCACATGTATAGCTGTTCTTAATTCAGCCACTGTCAGTGTATAAGTATTGTACCAAGTCAGGTTTGCTATGGAACATGATTATCAAAACTACTCTAGGTCTACCCATGCCGCCGTTAGTCATGAGAATTGATTGACCATACATCACTTCGCCGGTCCGTGCTGGATGGTGAAGGGTAGAGGGTGTTCAAGATGGCACTGATGTTGGACCTGGCTGGATATGGAATGTGAGTCACTCGGTTCGTAGTGCAGCGCGAGCCACTGCCCCACCGCTTGCGCCCTTGCAAGCGACGGCATCCCAGCGGGAGTGGCTACGCTGCCTTTTGCAGAGCTGCACGGTTTGAATCCAGTGGCGGCCCTAGTTATTCCTGCGTCATTAACCGCTCAAAACACGCGTGGTCTGCTTCGCATTGCACGTTAAAGATCCCGTGACATTCGCAAGAGAAGGCCAAATTTAAAATGACCCGCAAAACAATCTATGGGGGACTGTACATGTAGCAATCACTTGCCTTACCGACCGGCAGGCTGATGGCTGTCTATAGGCCAAGTGCTGAGTCGCTTTGTGTGTACAGGGACAGCTGCCACTGGGGGTGCCCTTTTCGATGTTTGAGAGGAGCTGCCATAGAAAGTGCTCCTCCACGACCTGGCCAACAGGAGGGTGTGAGATCAAAGACAAAAATAATTACGCTATGTAACGCAATTTTTGTTCCTGGCTAGCAAGTGTTATTTCGTAATTTCTGATGCCTAAAAAGTATAGAAAATGGCTATTATTCCTCACAAACTTTGCTTTTGTGACCAGGACAGTGATATTTTGAAATCTACCTATTTTCAATTTCGAAAACGGGCGAATTTGTGTCTTTTCGTTCACATAAAGTCAGAAAAAACAACATTAATCGAAATTAAGATGTATTTATACTAAAGTAATACAAAAATTGCTACAAAAGATTTAGAAGTGAGTAGTTTTTCGAGATTTACGATTATACTGTAAATCATTTTCACGAATCAGCCCCCAAATGTAGTCTCCCATCATGTTCTCGTTATACTGTCCTTGGTAGCGGTGTTCAAAGTCCAGTATATCCTGGTGGAAGTGCTCACCTTGCTCCTCCCAGTACACTCCCAGGTACTTCTTGAATTTATCAAGATGAGCATCAAGGATATGGACTTTGAGGGACATCCTACATCTCATTGTGCCGTAGTTCTTCACCAAAGTCTCATTCCAGCTCCACATAGTTTTCGACCTTGTGATTGCCCAAGAAGCCACTAACCACTGCGACAAAGCTGTCCCAAGCCGCTTTCTCCTTACTAGTGAACTTCTTGGGGAATTAATTGCACTCCAGGATCTTCTTTATCTGTGGTCTGATGAAGACACCGGCTTTGACCTTTAACTCAGACAGCTTAGGGAAGAAGTCTTGAAGGTACTTGAAGGCTGCCGACTCCTTATCTACAGCTCTGACAAATTGTTTCATAAGACCCAATTTGATGTTCAGTGGTGGCATCAGCACCTTCCGGGGGTCCACCAGTGGCTCCCATTTGACGTTGTTCCTCCCCACAGAGAACTCGGTCCACTGTGGCCAGTCCCGCCCGTGGTAGTGCGCCTTGGTGTCCCTGCTATCCCAAAGGCAAAGATAGCAGGTAAACTTGGTAAAACCGCCTTGGAGACCCATCAGGAATGCAACCATTTTGAAGTCTCCGATGACCTCCCCAGCCGTACTCATCATACTTCAAGGCGTCCAGCCAGGTCTTGATGCTGTTGTAATCCTCTTTGAGGTGCACCGAGTGAGCCAGGGGAAGCGACGGGTACATGTTACCATTATGCAGCAGCACGGCTTTGAAGCTCCTGGATGAACTGTCAATGCAGAGGCGCCACTCATTCTGGTTACTTTGTGGCAGAAGCAGAGCCCATCTTGACGGGGGAAGAAGCTGCAAAAAGGTTGGTGACGCTTCCTTTGATCTGCAACTTGCACACTTTTATCCAACAAGTTCCACTGGTTGAGCCTAGACGTCAAAAGCTCGGCATTGGACTTGGTGAGACCAAGATCTCTGATCAAGTCGTTGAGGTCTTTTTGGTTGGGGTAGTATAGGTTTCTCTCCTCAGCTCCACCTCTGAGATTGTCATCTGGATCTACGACGTCTTCCTCGCTCTCTGACTTGCTGCTCTCTTCTGAAGACGGCTGCTCTCTCTCCGGAGGAGTGGGTACAGAGAGCTCATGGTAGTGTGGCACCAGGGCGATGGATGAAAGAAGGTCCCGGATACGTGATAGCAGGTGCATTCTTGCCAGTCCAACGTTTGGAAAGGTCCACCATGCAGAAGTAGCATTTGCTTTAGTGGTCAGTGGGTTCCCGCCAAATTCTTGGCATAGCGAACTTCATGGCTCTCTTTTCCCCTCTGTACCATCCTACAAAAATATTTATTTCACCCATGACTAATGTGTAAATATTCTCGCAACATTTTTCATATATGATATATTTTTTTCAATAACATTGACAATTGTAAAACATTTTAAAATTAAAAGCTTTTACAATTTTCTAATTTTAATACATTTTATAACAAAATTCCGAGCAACAATTGTCCATCTTACCTTCCAGAGTTTTTTTGCATTGCTCGCAGGTGAAATGAGGTGCCCAGGTTTTGTCTTGATCCCTGACAGGCATAACAAAATATGCCTTGTAGGCCTCACACATCTTAGCAGATGCTTCCACAGAGTACTTTTTCGCTCTTATTTTGATAAATTGGCCACAGACATAGCAAAATGCGTCTGCCGGATGCTTGCAGTCCTCTTGATGGCATCTCAGAAAAATGCAGATATGTATCCACTTAGGCAGTTAGAACTAAACTGAACTGGTAGGCGTAAGGCCCCTTATTTATACTACTATTTTAATTCCTGGAAACTTCTAGAATGTTCTAGGAGTTACTTCCAGTTTACTCAGCGCTGAATCTATCTGGAATTTTCTGGAAAATAGGTACATTTCTAAATGTGTCCTGGTCACAAAAGCAAAGTTTGGGGAATAATAGTCATTTTCTGTACTTTTGAAGCATACGCAATTAGGAAATAACACATACTAGCCAGGAACAAAACAATTTGTTCCACAAGTGTTATCATTGATGTTGGTCACTTCTTCGGATGTTTCTCTTTCTCATTTCCCTTGCAATGGCAATATTTCCTCCCAAGTAACTGGTGTGGACGAGAAGTATTAAATTGAACACGTAGACTTTCGCGAGCAATATTTTAAATATGATTATTTCACATTTTGACTTAAAACTTTCGTGTCTGCAGGAATTAATATTCTTGGTTCTTTCGGTAAAGTCACGTAGATAGAAAATTAAATAAAAATAAAAGCAAAAAACCCAGGATGAAGACCGCTTGTGTTGCGATCGAAACGTCGTATTTTGTATTTATTTTTATTTTATTTTCTATCTCCGTGACTTTACCGAAAAACCAAGAATATGATTATTTCACACTTGCAGTGATGACGTCACCTTACTCTAAGACCAGAAACAGGAAGACTGTCGTGATTCTGGCAATCGCCTGACGATGCTGCTTGTTATAATCGGCAGCGAAACGTCGTTAACTCAAATTGTAAACGTTGTGGGTTTACTGTCCAACACGCAGCCGGTTAGTGCTGTGGTAGTAACTAATTATCAGGTTTTTAGTCACCATATGACAAACGGTATTGATTGGCTGTGTCGAGTGGAGGTGGGTTACACGAAACATTTAAGCGATCTAACTGAACAAAACACTTTATTTTGAATAATGACTTACGACTCTGCGTTAAGTTTTAAGCCACGTGGGCAAACAGGAGCGTGCGGTACAACAAGCAAGGAGCGAGCACAGGGTGGAGCACGTGGACGCACGGACGCGCTGGCTGGAGGCAGACATCCCAGAGAGGCTTTCTACCGACAGCTGCGCTGAGCGGGAGCCAACAAACGACAACAAAAGACAGGTGATGACACTACTTCATTTGTCACTGGGAAATCCTCTGTAATCGTTTGACTAAGTAGCCGAGAGGTCCGCACTGAACGTTTAACGAATGGCTTTTGTGATGGTGCTCCCCAGACCCTCCCATGTTAAATCAGAATATTTAGAGTGGAGAATTCAAAGGGAAATGTGCAGCTCTGCAATTGCTTACACCACTGCTGGCAGACGGCCCTCCACCAGAGGGAGCTTTAGACCGCCACTCTACATGGCATTTGTATATGTTGAACTTCTTTCGCACCGTACGTAGCCAACCGTGCTAATCGGAGGTGCGGGGGAAGGACTACCAACGAAACACTAAAAACAGTTCTCAACAATTTGAGTTTTCAATGTGAATTTTAAAGTGCACAGCCCCAGTGGCTTCCTAATCTCGCAAGGAAGAGCGTGCCAGAAAGTCTGCGATGCGGTGACACTTCCATGCATCACTACGATAGACCCCACTTCAGGTTGTAATTATAAGACCACGGGGCGCCATGGTGGCGAGATGGTATCTCCATTGGCTGGTATGCAGGAGGTCGTGGGTTCGATACCGACCTTAATGCCTGCTGCTGCTGTATATTTGGAGTTTGCATGCGCAGTGTTGTAGATTGAGGCGGACCGACTTCTTGTCCTTGCTTCCCGGGCCACTTTATTGCAGTCGGTGTCGACAACACTTGCTGCTGCATGTTCGCTCTCTCACTCGCCGCGTCCCAATCCCACTCCCTACAATCCTTTTCTCACCCCTCTAGCCGTGTCTCGCCGTCTTTGCGGGTCGATACCACGGCAGCCCCTGGGGGGCCAAGCGTGCCGACGTGCAGACTGCGCTCAGGCCCTTCGCGTTCCGACTCCGAGCCTCCGCAAGTCCACGCAGGACCACTCGCACCCAGGAATACTCTCGCGAGCCTGTGCGGGTCTGGCTTCAGCTCGTCTTGTCTTCTGTCTTCAGCTCGTTTGCCCGTCTTATAAATCCCTCGCGACCCTTCCAGAACATTCTGACCGGAAGATTCCTCTATGTGATTGACAGGTACCGGTCTCTTCAATTCCGGTCCACATCCCCCCTTAATTTCCCCCAACGCGGTCATCCCCTCCCCTGGCTGCTCTCGACGTTCCGCCAGTCGCGCCGCCGTCCCCAGCGCGACGCTCGCCAACTGCCTCCCCTGGCAGCCGAGCGCGGATTTGCAGCCGATATCAAAGACGCGCGCGTTGAGCCACTACACATGTTCTCCCCGTGGTCACGTGGTTTTTTCTCCAGGTCCCCTGGTTTTTCCCTCCACATTTGGAAACGTGTTTAGACTATGCCGCTGCTACATATTTCCACGTGACAAGCCACTTCGTTGAGCTATCATTTGTGGCCAAGTGACCAGGTCGCTTCTGAGAAAGAGCTAATAGCTCAGTGGAACCTGCCAATTGACTGGTGTACCCATTTAAACTGGCGGATAGACAGGGGCAGGGCGATTTAAGAAACTCGCACCATTGTTTCGAATTGAAGTGGCGACCTCCGGATCAATCCATAGGCCACTCTGATGATCATTCCCTCACGTTGACATCCTCCTAGTAGTAAATGTTTCACCTCGGTAACTCCATCAGCTACACTTATAAATGGAAGGCAATTCTGACTAACAAAAAGCATGCTCATTTTACGAGTTACGCAGGTTATTTTTCCCCCTGACATCAAGAGGACATCGCGGCTAATCCCTCGCGGATCTTCGCGTTAGTCCAGCGGGACGACGGCGTCACTCGATTCGCCGCCAGGGCCCGGTCCCCCCTCTGGGTCGTCGACGGCGCCCAGGAAAGCGACGTAGTTGGCGTTGCTTCGCACGAGCGGCTTGTTGGGATTGGACTGCACCTGCACGAGAAGGGGGCGCGTGCGAGTGAGGGGGGCGTGTGCAAGTGAGGAGAGAGCGTGACGGGAAACACCGGCCGGGGCAGCGGCGAGGGTTCGGGTTCGTGAGCTGGAAGGGAACAAGGCGGTAATGAGGAGCGCACCCCCCCTATCAGCTCGGTTGGCTACGTGTGGTGCGAAACTAAGTTGAACGTACATCCGTGGAGGAGCGGGTCGCACCGAGCATAGCTGTCCCAATTGATGTTTGTTGTTGTACCTTGCGCACAAAGCATCCCTGTGTTATAAATCAGTTGCATTAATGCTTTTAAAATATTGCGCAACCCAACCCAATAAGAGCAGGACCACTGCAAACCATCACCGAGTCCTTTACAGAGACCTGTATCCTCAATTCACGAGCCAGATTGATTTTAGTGCAAGTTTTATCACCATGGCGTGTTTTCAGATGCAGTCGCATTTTTATGCCATAAATTCTAATAGCAAAAGTCATTTGAGTAACAATGGGCACAGGCTACAATTAGAGGATGCAGTGTCTTGAGTGACGGCGTGTCCGTGTCTCCCCTGCGTCTCGCCCTGTCTCCGTGTCTCCACGAGTTTCACCATCTCCGCACGTCTCGGTGTCTCAGCCCGGAGCCCCACCTGCTCAAGACGCAGCGCCCCGAAGGGATTGCTGCCGTGGGACAGGATGCGCACCTCCAGCTCGCGCAGGATCTGCAGCGAAGGCTTCAACTCGGCCTCGCTGCACAGAGCCCACATCAACGCCAACGCAAACGTCAATAATAACACCGCCAAACTAATCGACAACAGCACTAGGGGCAACACAAGATACTAGCATCAAAAGCACCGCAACCTCACCAACTCGTGGCGTGGGTACCACAACGGCACTGGCGTGAACACCCACATCGACGCCACAATAGCGTGACCAGAACAAATACAAACCGAACACCAACGTCAAAACCCGGAGCTGGCCGCCATCGCAGACTGGAGCCAAATTTCTCGCGGCCGATTTCCATTCGTTTCGCGGCACTCGAATTAGGGTCGAGTGAAAGTCTCCAAACGTGACGATCAAAAAATGTAATTGGTGGCGGGAACGTTTAATTTTTAAATTAACGTTGAGTCGTTCCACCACCGCTGTCTTGAAGGTTCAGGAGCATTTCTGGAAATGCCCTACGGATATGGGACAAGGGGAAGAGCGCTAACTCGCGGAATAGATGAATTATTTTTCCTACCAACTTGAGTCAACTCGAGTTGGCTACCCATGAGAACCAGGAATCGGCGGAGGGCTTGTTGTCCAATGATCTTGGAAAGCCGGGTTTGTTTCCTGGCCATGTTGTTCAGCGTCTGTGGCAAATCATGTCTGAACTTGCCCTAGACCACCCCTACGTCAGCTCCGGCTGAACAAGTACCTGATGCGGTGTCTAAAGCACTGGGGAGATGGACAACTAGGTATGCTTGATTCTGGTTACAACAGCCCATCACACATGTGCCCTGCAGGCGTTAAAAGGTGCTTCGCTAACAGCAATTGCCACAACATTGTTTATCAGGTTAAGAGAAAACGTTGCCCTTGTTTACTATATTACAGACCAAACATGTGCGTGGTAAATAAAGGCGATGGTTACTGAAGATGCGGAGCAGCATTGCATGGCTTACCTGTACATGGTGAAGAGAGAGGGGATGTTGTAGTCTCTAAGGAGCAGCAGGGTTGGGAACCAGCCCTCGACGAGGCCCTTGTTGGCGTGGAAACCTAGACCCAGACAAGAACACGAAGCCTGCTGTAGCTTGAGCAGCCATGCATGCACGACCGTGTAAAACTTTTTTTATCTAAACAGGAGAATGACTTGGCAATAAGCTAATGATGTTGAACAAATTTATAAAATGTTATCTGTGCACTCATATGAAAGCACAACTCTATTAGCCGGGCCAGTGTAATGGTTAAGAGTCGCTGATTATGGGAGTGCATCGGCCCAGTGGATTCGAGTGGATTCGAGTGGCTCTTCTGCAGCCAACAGACGAATCGATGGCGAATCTGTGAATGCTCTTTTGCGATTGAGCTATAAACTCGATGATAGTTGGCACTCTACTCTTTTTCTAGAATAGTCTGTTTGAGACGTTTAATAAATATATATAATTCATTTGGGAATATTAACATATTTGTACGAACTTAAGGATCCAGAGAAAATCACACATACAAGAGACGAGATTCCCACGACACATGCGCAATATGCCTACTTGATGTACGACCTGCACTGCAAGTGGGTTTCACGCACACACGATCGGTGACTCATGGTCTGATTTGTTGTCTGGATGTGGCTGCCCGGTTACGTCTGAATTACAGACGCACTAACGTGTGTCAGATTTTCCTGGAAGCATTAATTACGCCCTTGAGCTGCTGCCGGCTGACCTCGGGGGTGAAGAACGTAGGCAGTATAGCCCACGATACGAGCGTGGCGATCTGATAAATCATGCAAACATCCACGTCAACCTCCATGACCATGGGCGTCCTTTGTTTTAATAGAGATGACAGCTGCCAGTTCCAGATTCCGTTCCCTTTTGAGACTTAATGGCGCTGGCATGCAAGTGCCGCATCATCGGCTATCGCCCGTGTACATCAACTCGGATCCTGGGCCAGGGCAACTGGCGCGTAGGTCTGCCAACTGTAAAATTTACTTAATTTACGAATGTATCGCGTGTCCTGCACGTTAACCCCAATGCCGGTTTAAGGCACAGCGCTGTGCACCTTATACATGCTTCATAAAATCAAACGCTGGACTGCGTCCTTTGGATAGGCGTCTGCGGACACCGGCGGCGTTGCCTCGGCATGCCTGGGTGGAAGCTCACGACGATCGACGGCCGTGCAGCACGACCGGTCTCCACCAGAGTCTCCCAGTAGTCGTGGTAGAGACCCTTCCAGCCGCTCATGTGCACCGCGCCTGGTTCGGCTCCTGCCTGCAGCGGCGTCCGCGTCATGGTGCCCTCCACCACCTCGGGGCCGATCATCACCACCTCCACGCCCCGGTGCTGCTTGCACCATACGTGCACCGCACATACCGCGCATGCCGGATGTTTATGACGCACGTTCATCATGGTGCCCTGGCAAGGGAAGGAGGAGCGCTGTGCACGTTGGGGGTGTCTGGAGTCAGATCAGGAAAGTGGCTGTGGTGCAGGAGCAGCTGAAACAACGTGTGTGACCCTTTTTAAAATATATTTTCAGGGATCCTCTCGTGGACCTCATCTCATGAGATTAGTGAAATAAATCCTTCCTCTGCACCTCCGATTAGCACGGTTGGCAACGTACGATGTGAAAGAAGTTAAACATATATAGAATCTGTGCAATATCAGCCACTTGCCTCGCTCCCGTGCCAATGCAATGGGACGCAACAAATTGACTCGAATGTGTAAATTGAACAATTTATGAACGCGACCATGTTTATGACACCTCCAAGGCACTGTCTGGCTCAGGGAAACCGGTACAAGATGAGAAGAGGAGGAGGACTAGAGGATGAGGCTGGGAAGAGGAGGACAAAGCGGAGAAGGGACAGCAGCTGGGGGAACTTGCACCCTGAGCTCGTCCGGCCTACGGAAGGCGTCTCAAGGTGGAGCCTGGGGTGAGGCACCTGTGGGAACATGCAGCCCAGCTCGTCGTAGTCGGTGAGGCGTGCGTCCAGCGTCTCGGTGTGCGACGCCCCAGCCACGTGCACCGTGACGGGGCCATGCCGCGGGTCCAGGCCAAAGCGCCGCAGGGCGAACCCCACGGTGAGTGGCCGGGAGAGCGCGTCGCTGAGCACGCGCCAGCGTCGACGCCAGCAGCTCGGCGTCGTCGGGCCGCGGCTTGCCAGCGTTAGCCCACAGCAGGCCCATGTAGCGGCACGCCAGCACGGCGCGCAGGGCGTCCTCCCCGCCGCCCGGCTGCATGGACAGCCAGTCGTCCCAGCCGCGCACCTCGTCCGCCTCGCGTGGCCACGCGCCGCTCGTGAACGGAAGGTTCCCTGCGCCGGGAACGCATCGCTGTCACCTCAGTGCCGTGGTTGGGCAAACGTGGGGCCCGCTGAGCTATGTGGCTCTATTTCAGAAGCGACTTGGCCACAAATGATAGCCCAAAGATGTGGCTTATCGTCACGTGGAAATGTACAGCAGCCAAATAATCTAAACGCGTGATGTTGATTCGAAATGTGGAGGGAAAAACCGGAGGACCCGGAGAAAGATCCATGCGACCACGGGGAGAACATGCAAACTCCAAGTGTAAAGTAGATGTCGGGGTTGGGATCGAATCCACGGCCTCCTGTATATCAGGCGAGATAGTTACCATCTTGCCACCGTGGCACACCATGGGTTGGGTTGGCCCCCATCGCAATTGAGACATTGGCAAACGTTTCCAACAAAAATCAGAGAGGCAATTTCCAAACACACTGCAAGGTGCTGAATGTGTACGTCCATCGCCAACAGCTGGGATTGGGGTGACCGCAGGCCATTCTGTTATCGTTGATACTCATTTAAAGAGGTGACGTGCTGAGCTAAACTTAACCCCATTATAATCGCATGCCTGCAGTCACTTCAGGTTAAGCTCGCGCCGCTCAGATTGTTTTGTCCCTAATCCTGACCTCGGTCAAATGCTACCGCAAGCCTCCAGCCCATCACGTGGCACTCATCGGCATGAGTGGTCCATTCCACGAATGTGAAGTCTGCTCCCACGACGGGGGCGATGCGTGAAAGTCAACAGTGTGACCTCTTGCTGGGATTAAATATGAGCCTATCTCTTGATTGATATTCCTCTTCTGTGTACACGTCGCTCTCCAGCCTTCCTTTGTCTCTTATACCACCACTGCCATGAGTAGTGTCGAATAAAGTCAGAATCTAAAATAATAAAGTTTTTCACATTATTCTAGCCATCTGTCGACCCACCCCAGTTGCCAACCTCTGTTTATATTTTTGCGCCAATTGTGTTTATTTGTTTTGCCTACCCTGCCTTTGGGCTCGCCAGACCAATATTATCCGGTTTAAACAAGGACACTTTGGATTGGTTTCAACTATCTTGGTCTCACCAAGATTCCTGCAATGTGTTTGTAGGTTGTATACCGCACGTTGCTCGAAACAAAGTCTGATGTTTTGCTCCATGCGCCAGGAGAAGCTCCCAGGATACGAAGTTCCAGCACACCAAGCGAAGCATTGGACAATGTGCCGGACAGCACGTGATGCCAACCCAGAGGCCACGCGGTACCAACCCAGAGCCCACGCGGTGCCAACCCAGAGGCCACGTGGTACCAACCCAGAGGCCACGTGGTACCAACCCAGAGGCCACGCGGTGCCAACCCAGAGCCCACGTGATGCCAACCCAGAGCCCACGTGGTACCAACCTAGAGGCCACGCGGTGCCAACCCAGAGCCCACGTGGTACCAACCCAGAGCCCACGCGGTACCAACCCAGAGGCCACGCGGTGCCAACCCAGAGCCCACGTGATGCCAACCCAGAGGCCACGCGGTGCCAACCCAGAGCCCACGCGGTACCAACCCAGAGGCCACGCGGTGCCAACCCAGAGCCCACGTGGTACCAACCTAGAGGCCACGCGAGGACTGTTGCAGTGCAATCGCAGCATCAAGCTCGCTATACAGACGATGTTATCGGTGAGAGCACTCCATCTTTAACAATGGGGCCCTGTTCAATCGGGATTGCACTCGCAAAGAAGGTTGCTGACCTTCCGTAAGCATCTTTGTACTACAGCGACTGCACAGGGAATTTGACAAACGATGGAGGTAGGACCCAGACCTGTGAAGATGAGCCATTCCACCAGGCGGTCGATGGCCGCGTGTTTCAGCTTCTTGCAGAACTTCTTGTGCAGCGGCCAATTGGCTCTCTGGCACTCGGTGCCACAGTAGTACACGTTCTGGCACCTTCAGCAGTGGGAGGCACAGGTGACATGCATCTTACAAACACCCGCCTGAAGCATCAGGCTCTTAGCATTGAAGTGTGTACATGCACAGCCCTCTGTCGCTCCACTGCTGGATGAGGGCCTTCAGACACTGTGCAGGCCCGTGGGGGTTTGTTGGCCACGCGTCAACATGCTGGGCCGTGTGGCTTGGTGAAGGTGAGGTGTAAAGAGGTTGGGAGCACAGCAATGGATCTTCATACACTGCCCTCTGCTGACAATTCAATGCTGCTAAATTCTACAATAATTTTTCTGGCCTAAACCGGCTTAGCTTCTGAGATCTCCTGTCTACTGCAGAGTTGGATGTCGTTTAATGAGTCACCAACTCTACTGCCCAAGCACTGGATGACTGGCCTGCATCATCTCCACTATGCCCAGAAAAAAGGTATCACCGATACTGTAACCTTTTACAAGGTAGCCCTATGTAATCCACAGTCTACAGCCACACGCACCGCTTACGTTCTCTGCCCGAGAGCAGGTTCCTGACCCAAGCTCCCTCCATCCCATCCAATGGCATTCCCCTTCATCTCACGACACCGTTGGCTTTCTTGAGACATAATTAGAGAGCGATGGTGGAGATAGTTTCTCTGGCCTGACAGGAGGAAGCCACCTCAACCATCCTTCCCTCGGTGAGATCAGGTGGCGTGCTAGGCGGAGCGAGAGCCATGAACCTGCCCTTGGGGAGAACACTTCAGAGGGAGGCGGGCCACTGTTAATCCAAACCAGCACTCGGCAGCCACCGTTTGCAGCGTGCCAGCAGTCCTCCCCGCGGGGAGGCCGTCTGGCAGCTTCTTGCAGTGGGCGCAGAAGGTGTAGGTGTCCTCGATCTTGCGGAACATGTCCCGGTACGTGTGGATCCCAAACTCCGTGAGGACTTTTCTTCCCCTGCAGCGCCATCCTGCATGCGATGTACAGTCAGGAGAGAGGGATTCGTCATCGTTAGCCCCCCCCCCTTGATGCTCAGCCGATGGAAGAGCGAGTTGGTGAGGTAATGGAGGAGCGAGTTGGTGAGTGAGGTAATGGGAGAGCGAGTGGGTGAGTGAGGTAATGGAGGAGCGAGTTGGTGAGTGAGGTAATGGAAGAGCGAGTGGGTGAGTGAGGTAATGGGAGAGTGGTTGGGTGAGTGAGCGAGCGGGTGAATTGGCACTCGGCCTGCCTGTAGTCATCGAAGCCGCTGAGGTTGAGTTTTCGCAGGATGACTCCGGAGAGGCCGGGAACCGCCGCGTCCATGGCGGCGAAGCCCGCGGTGTCGGTGAAGACGCTGCGGTCCCCGCCGGCCGCGGCTCCTCCCGGGACGCGCCTGACCCGGGACCCGGCAGGCGGCATGAGGGCAGCCCGACGCGAGACGGACCGATTGTGTCAACTTCAAACGCGTCGGCTGGTCGTAGTCGCTCACTCTCGCAGAGCGAGGACGGCCACGGACAAGCGGGAAGGCAGCAGCCACGCAGCGCCAATAACTGCCCAAGCTCTGCGGTCCTCTATATACGTGGATGTTATCGGCCAATGAATGATGAGTTTCTACACGTGGGAGGAATCCGGAACACTGTAGGAAACCCACACACGTGCGAGGGGGAAACACGCTATCCGGCACGGGGCGAACAGGTAGAAGAATCGTCATTCTTGGTTTCTGTAGAACTGCGTTTTCTATTCAGTTTGTCGTCCTCCCGCACCTCCGGTTAGCACGGTTGGCTACGTACGGTGCGAAAGAATGTCAACATTTACTGCTACAAACGCCCTACCCGCACCTCTTTAGTTTGGGACGAAAATATATTTGCCTAACGTGACATAAAACTAATATCATACCAGGAATGTGTCAATGTATATGAAGACGTAATGTAGTTTAAAATGTACATTGAATGCACTAGCCTGTGATATATAATTGTCTATGAAGTATGATTTGATTGCAATAGAAAACCGTGGTGGTTCAGTGGGGCAGTGGTTGTCGCACTGCGCTGTCAACCACGGACACTTGAGTTCGCTTCCGAGACGAGGTCAATAACAGCGCATGGTAAACAAAACCCTTGTTCACCAAGCCACAATCACCAACGTGGTGAAGTATGGCCGAACAAACCCCACGATCGACACGGATTGTGGCACATATTTCTGGCTCCAATCTCTTACGTGATCAGGTAACTGTCTTTAATGCATGATTTGAAGAGTGTGTGTGTGGGTTGCGAGCACATGGCTATACATGGCACCCTGTTCTAGTTGACGACCGCACCATTGGATAGCACTGCCCATGCACACTGCCCCTGCAGTTCCCCCATAGCACTGCCCGCTGACATCCGTCGGACGTGGCCGCATAAGACTGCAAAGAACGACGCATGCCTTGATACAAAATATGCGTGCAAGAATCATCATCATTATTGTTCATGCCATCATCAGCACAATACAAACGGTCAACCTCATCAACACTACCACAATCACTATGGCAATATCATCCGAATAATGACCACAATTCTTATCATAATCACCATCATCAATGCCATAATCCACAACAATCATCCGATCAACCCTCGCTAATGGCGCATGCATTCCCTTTGATTTCACGATACCGTGACAGCTATACGCGTTGCAGTCAGATAGAGTCCAACGAGCGAGACGTGGGAGAGAGATTAAGCGTCTTTAGAACTAAATGTAACCACCCTTACCCGGGTTCGGGCATCCGTGAGGAGTGCTCCATGCCCGCGAGCTGACGGCGACTGATGGGTGGTGTTGGCGGGTGGTGGCAGAAATAGTTAACAGCTCCGCCAAGTCGGGTTGCACCTTCAGATGGTGTGAGCCCTGCACCCGCGCCCTGCCATGAGCGGGCAACGCCCCCGGGCTTAAATCCTCATCCCGTGCCCACGACCTCCCAAGCCCTGGTTGTCAATCACTCCGCCGCGCCCGATGTTGGTGGCGCAGCTGTTTGTATTTTTAGCCCGAGCTCGGCTTGCGTAAAGCGAGTGGAGGCTTCGCAGTACTTGCAGGATATATTTATTGGGGGAAAAATTGGATACAATTTTGGAAATTAGGCAAGTTATGAAGAAAGCTGGGCACTTGTCCAAGATGGATCTTTGTCTTAGGCCGAGGTGCACTCGTGGCACATTGAAAAGATGACCCATGGCCTCACAAGCGAGAAATCGGTTTCAGGGGTTTGCATTGCTCGCACTGTGTAAGATCAAATGGAGCACTGTGTTGCTTAACTTAATTGCCAATATATATTGCGGTCCATTGGCTATATGTTATACCAAGCGTGGTTACATAGATTTAACCTGAAATCTGAAAACCCGGGATCATGTTTTCACCCAACAGGTGTCAGCAGCACCACTTGACTGCATTTGAATTGGTCCGATGCGTGGCCTCGCCAAGAGGTGCCCGTGTCGCGATCGTCACGCGCTCGTCGCAGCCTTGCCCTCGTCTTGCTATTTTAAGACCACAGCAGTTGTAACTTGCGGCTTCGGTGAAACAAGACTCACTTCAAGGTTATGTTTAAATACTTAAATCTTGCAAGTTAAAAGCCATCTCGGAGTAAAGGAAATTCACAACAGCAAATATACGAAAAACAATTGCGGTTTTGCTTTTGTTACACATGGACTGTACAATGAGACTAATAATTTAAGTACTATATTTAAACCATTGGACCTGTTTTATTCAGAATAAACATACAATGCTGCAGTTGACAACTTTGATATATTTTAACCTTTTCCCAGGGAAAATAACGTACTCAAAGAAAACCCCACCAACTTAACGCTGATTTTTTTTTCTGCAGGAGGCACCGTGTGTATTAATAAAATCTCTGACATGTGACCAACTCTGCCTGATGTGCCTGACCTCCTCAGAGCTTGGAAGCTCAGCAGACTTGAGCTTGGAGATTGGATGGGAGATCACCATACGTCATAAACAAGTTGTCATAGGAGCTATGAGGCTACGTGGTGGACAAGGGGCTGTGCAGCAATACCCATCGTTGTACAGGTGTCCCTCGATTCACCAGCATTCGGGTTGCAAACATTCGCGGTAAAAACATTGACCAATTACGGATACTTTTCGATGCACGACATTTCACAAGCACCCGGGAGGCTGCGTCGTGATCCATCCGCGATTGCGTCGCCTCCACAGCCATCAGCTTGCCAGTCATTCCAACACGCAGGTTGTCATTTTATATTACTTATTAATCAATCGTTCATGTTTCCATTCCTTATTTTTGTGTTAAGTGATATAGACGGTGTATATTTGTTGGCGAGTAGTAGAGTTGGAATGACTGTCCAAAACACTTCCCTAATTTTTTTTATAACATTCATGGGAAGAGCCGTTCAGATTTAAACATTTCCTTTTACGCGATTTTTTTAAGGAACACGCCCCTTTTTGTAAATCGAGGGCATCCGTGCCGTACTCCTCCACTCCCGTGTCTGTGCTCCCTGCCTTCAGCCAGCAATGATCACGTGTCAAGCACGGTAAAATAAAGTGTGGGGAAGGGCACTCATTCAGCAGTGAATTGACAAAGGGCTCCGTGTGAACTTGTATCTCATACAGGGACCTCATTACCTAGATACAGGAGCCAATCCCCTTTCGTGCCTGCCTGGCGAGCGAGCCACATGCGGCCTAAAAGGGTCAAGGCTGCTATGGGTCACACACAGGAGCATAAAACAATTAACATATTACTGAACCCATCTAGAACTCGCATACACATCACCTAACAACCATACTAATATCTATCTAGGAACCTGCAGTATAAAATAACTCTGATAAAAGTACCCTAATCTACAATACAAAATTACTCAGTTGTATATTTTACAATTAAAGCTGTAAGTACTATTAACCGCATCTAAACGAGTAGAATTAACCTTCATTTAGTGATAGCTTATTTTTTTGTTAGTTGAATTGCCAACTTTTTTTTTATACACACCTTGGGAAAAAAACCATCTGGCAAATTGCATAATGTAGTAAAGGTTGTCGGCTTCTTTGTAGTACAATGGGATAATCAGGTTAAATTTAAACCAAGTATTGCTCGTGCTACATTAATTTCACAAATCCAACAACTAAGTGCAGTGAATTTTAAGTCCACGTCCGTTTTCGCACATTAAGAGCCCAGGCATAGCCAATCAGAATTCGCTATTAAAATATTCCAATGAAAAACACCTTATGTACTTTCCATAACTAAATTGTAAATATCCTTGGCTGGTGCTCCAGTAATTAAATAATTTAAGTTAAAACCTGGGACAAAACTGTCAAACAACATGCATCAATGTAACCTCCCTACTACACGGCGTTCACAAAAAGTACGATGAAAAGCCGCTGCGATGTTTAACCATTAGCACCTCAATCACAATGCCAAGTTAAAACTGGGAGGGTGCATCACGGCAGCTGCTGTCCTGCGTGTGGATATTTCACACTGCACTTGTGAATCAAATTTCTACCAAAACGCCACGCCGCTCGCATGCCCCACTTGGCTGCACCTGGCCAGGTGAATGCTTTGTGTGGGGGGGGGGGGGGATAATCTCACGATGGTGTAAATCTTTACATATTTACATCGAAGTAACCGACATGGTCCCCAGCGTGAGGGCATGTCGGCTAAGGAGGGGGAAAGCGTCAGTCACGGTGTAAGTTCGTAAGCACAGCTGGGAATGCTGACAGGATAGGTGCACTGTAAACATAAGGCTGTGAAGGTGCAGCAGCAACTTCATCATGGGTGCATGCAGTGCAGGTGTTTAACATTTCCGGTTTAATAATTAGAATATTTGAGACATTTGCGCCATTCTGAAAGGACACGACAATCATGAATGCGCCATTTCACAGCTGGGTAGTCTGCCAGTAACGGAGATGTTGCCGTGCGACTTACTCAATTGAGTAGTTTGTCTCTGTAGCCTACATATACACTCGCAATGGGCATTCATCGATCGATGATTGGCAGTTGTTGTTGCTGCTGTCTTTGTGTGGGGTAGCACAAGAGGGGAACGCAAAACATATTTTTTAGAGTGGCCGGTCGAATGGGAGGTGATCGGGGTGGTTGTAGTCGAGGGGCGATAGTTGGCGCAGATGCATCGGGCCATCACTTGGGAGCTCAACAGCTGAGGCACATTTTACCTATAACCTCGGCTTATCTTTGCGGCGTTTGTCTCGGTAGCACTCACGAAGCGTCCCCTATTTGGGCACCTCCATCTCCGCTTGCACCCTCACAAGTTGGCCCTGTCGGTCCCTTCACCTTGCCACCTCTGAACCTGCTGGAGGCAGCACCGCCAAAACTCACCGCTCGGAGCATCATGACCTATCTAGATTTGAAGCTTTCGTGACTGCAGAAATCCATACTCTTTGGTTCTTTCGGTAAAGTCACGTAGGTAGAAAATAAAATAAATACAATTCGTTGCTGTGGTTTTCCCACCTGATGATGGTTGCTTGTGTTGCAATCGAAACGTCGTGATTTATTTTATTTTATACCTACGTGACTTTACTGAAAGCATCACGACCTATTTGTGCTGAACAACACGAGAGCCCAGCTCGGATGTTTCAAAGCTAACAGACACGGCGAGACATTGTAATGCTGTTGGACCCGGGTATGAGGTTGAATGGCCGGTCAAGTTGGTTGTATTACAGAAGGTGGAAATTGTGGACAGCTTTTGGGGTGCTCAACCGTGTGCAGAGGGATCGTGTGAAGGTGCGTGTGAACGTGCAGCCTAGTTGGTAAGCGTGCTCCCGCTGCCCAGACGCAGCAGCAGCTTCTGGCACTCGCGCAGACCGCGCTTGTCCCCCGCGCTCTCCATTGCACGCGCGGCCTCGGCCAGCATGGCCTCGCGCTCGCCCGGCGCAGACAGGAAGGAGGGTGGCAGGTAGCGGCACGCCATCACCAGGGCGGAGGCGCGCTCGCGCTGCCCCGGCTGGCTGTCCCACTCGCGGCTCTCTGTAGCACCCACGCACGCACGCAAACGTGGGAACGCACACACACGGTCAAGCTGCTTGGTCAGACCGTGAAAGACACCTCATGTCGTGAACCGTGGAAGACCTCCAAAGGGCGACCGACTGGGCCATATTATCATGCGCCCGATACCAGATAAACATATGATTGGTGGCAGGACACGAGAAGAACCTCATGCTCAAAGGTCCGACGTGCTTTCTCGGAAGGTGGTGCCAAGAATGTAAACTGTTTTATCTTCAGCTAAACATGCACGTTGAGTCTTAAAATTTCCTTGAAGGCCAGACATACATTTTTTATGTATAGCTAAATGTTTTGCCATGTTCTTGTGATTGTGTTATTAGTGTTTCTTAATCATATAAAACAGACGAATCGATCCATGATGCATATTCATTCTAACATTGTTTCCACTTTAGTTTTAGTGCTTAGGTTTAGATACAGGTTTCCCTCACTTCATGCGATAGGTCAGCAACCCGAGTAGCACAGAGTACACACAACATTGTCCCACGTCCGACCACGTAGCTGCAGGAGTGAACTCAAACTGCGTGAAGCGAATTTTGGGTAGACATAAGTTAGCCGCATAAACAGTGTGAAATCGCACAAACCAAACCTGCTTAAAGCGAGTCAGAAGGAAAAACTGAAAGGATCTCAGAAATTGTGTCCCTGTCCTCAAACGAGCATTGAGCACTGCTCATCTTCAATGGCGCTCCTGAGCCAGCGGTGGAAATTAGATCTTCATATGGCAGGAATGATCCTTATGAAAAATAATTCTCGTTCCCCACCACTTGTTTAGCGGTGGGGTTATTAGTCTACTGACCTCAGAGACCAACGGCTCAGCCAATTTCTGGCAGGGATTAACTAAACATGTCATGTTTAGGAGTGCTATTAATCTGACAACTGATCTGCATCCCAAGCCAGAGCTCTAAAACGGTCAGCTCATAAAAAGTCAGCATAGCAGTGTTGCGTTTGCCAGCAGATGCCAATAAATGTTTCCAAGGGAATGTTGTGGCCACGCTTGCACCAAATAAACAGCAAGTGGGTAGCTGGCACAGCGCTTGCCTTTCGCGGTGGTGGCAGGAGTGACGCGCCGGCGCAAGCTGTTGTCGAGAAGACGCTGCGTGCGAGTTGGGCAGGCGCCCGCCATCAGTCTCGCGGTGGCCTCGTGCAAAAACATCTGACCCGAGCGTGCACACCAAGTGAAAACATCACACATTTGCATATAAATATTTTCAGACTCCGCGCAACACTGGCAGGGAATGGAATTACCAGTGATGACAGAATGCGAGCAGGAAAAAGGGGCTCAAAGTATACAAAAATAGAAAGTATATCACACCAAAAAATGATCATGGGTGCAATGCTTTAGGGAGAGTTCTTGTATTACTAAAAGTGGTCACTGTTTAGTTGTATAAGTAACGAAAATGCATTACTTACGAGCATTCATAAAACCAAATCAAGCTGCTGCAGTTGTGGAATCGTGAACTTAAGAAAGGCATGCATTCGTATAAGCCTGACGTGTATCTCAGAAAATAACAAAGATCCCCCGTATAGCTTTAAAAGACTCTTGGGGCAAGTGCCGTTATTGAGTACCTATGAAGGCCGGCACGGCACACATGGGGGTGAGTGACCAGCACCAAGCCCGGCCGCCTTTGTCTCCCTAGTGGCGATGTTTACTACACACCACTGCACCAGATACTAAATTTTTAGGGCGAGTCAACCTCGGGGAGGCCCAGGACCGGTACAGATAACTGCCACTGGTGTTGGCTACCGCTCCCCTTGGAAAATAACTTGCGCGCGCACACACACAGGTTCGCAATTTATTCTTCGCGAGCTCAGCACAAGTGCGGTCGTGCGAGCGCAGATGAAGTGAAGATGCCCGCACCTTCCTATGCGCGGGCGGGAAGCCCTGCGCGATGCGGCGCAAGCTCGTCAGGTCCTGCTGGAAGCCCCGCATCTCCGCGGGCGGCGAGGTGCCCGCAGCGGCCTGGGCGCTTGCCGTCTTTTGCCACGCATGCGTACGTGTACTCAGCAGCATGTCGCACACAAGCAGAGCCATGGCCTGCTCTCCGCACAGACGCGCATGCGTCACACGCGGCGTGGTAAGGAGGACGACCGCGCAGCCACCCGCTCGTCTCTCTCGCCTGTGCCAAGCTGCCGTGACATGGAAAGATCTTGGCTTTGCCCACAAGCTGTGATTTAATGGTTACAATCTAGATTTGAAGTTTTCGTGACTGCAGGTATCCATACTCTTTGGTTCTTTCGGTAATTTATTTAATTTTATACCTACGTAACTTTACCGAAAGAACCAAAGAGTATTAATGGTTACATTTTAAAAGCGATAGTTTTCTGTGTGAGACAGCCAACTGATACGCAGCAAAAAATCACACGGCATACACCGCTAACGGGCACACAGGTCATTTCACTTGTAACAAAACAGCAACAAAAATTACACAAATGTTTTTGATGTGTAACAAAGTGAGCTACAATTAAACAACATGTTCATTTTGTATACTGCTGGCAGTATTCGTGAAGGATCAAACTGATATTTTGTTCACAAAGCTAGTGTCACGATTTTGCGCTCAACCGTAGTTTGGCTTCCAGGTTGCTGACCTTTGGGCCATTCTGTGTACGTCTTCGGTCAGACAGCAGGCCTTTTCACTGTATCTGTGCTGCACTGCAGATGCATTGTACATCCCTTCCCATACAATGCAACTACAATGCACCACAGCCACAGTTGAGCTCTTAAATAATCCATCTTCAAAAGGGCACACCTCCGCTTGGTGAGGGAAAGCACAATGCGTGGGGCGTGAGACTGTTCCTAATCTGGCTTGCTCTCGGCTCAATCTTGGTAGACCCTGGTAGCAACGGCGTAGCTAATGAGTGCGCAGGCAATGAACGTGAACTCGGCTCCAGACGCTGGGCTACGCAGAGGGAGGTGCCAACCACGCTGGGCCACCGCGTGGTAGAGTTGTCTGGCACTTTGAGAGGCCTGCAATGTTCATATCAGCTCTGCACAGTATTTACTTATTCAGGTCATAAATCTTCTGTTCACACCTGGAAAGGATACTTGATCAGTAGGTGATGTTTATCAAAGAGATTGGCAGTGCAAGGTAGGGGACATTGTGGATTACAGGACAGGAAATCGCATCGAGCGCACATCATGTTATACGTATATATGTTGAACTTCTTTCGCACCTTACGTTGCCAACCATGCTAATACAATCGGAGGTGCAGGGAAAGGACAACAAACTAAACACACGAAAAAATGTTGAAAACAACTGAGATGAACTTACAGTACTAACTTGTATTTAATGTTCTATTTATAAGTAGCAGAAAATAATTGGCTTGTAAATGCATTTCATGACTATCTTGCATACGTCTAGTCACCGAATTCTAGATATGTAATGATGCATCGATATTTTGATTAAAACCGAATATTCTCATGCGATATGCATTTTAATGCGTATAAATAAATGTAAATTTTGCGTGAAATTTTTGCAAACGTTACGCTCATTCCACAGTTATGGTAATGCAGTAAACTACAAAGCTGTATAACTGAGACACAAAATAGTATGAGACTGGATAAACTAAAGTTAGATATAATAGCAACCGGCAAATCATTACAATCCCTCAATCCCTAAGGCGAGAGGGTGAACGTTAGATGCCCACAATGCACGCAATAAACTAAACTAAATGTGGAGGGAAAGACTGGAGGACCTGGAGAAAAATTTACGCGGCCACAAAAAGTACATGCAATTTCCAAATAGACAGTGTCAGGGTCGGGGTCGAACCCACGACTTCCTGCATACCAGGCGAGGTAATTAACCTCTCACCACCGCAGGTTAATAAACACAGGTGGCCCAAAAACTGTACGTGCAGCCCCACCTTGTCGATGGGCCCTTGCGTGCAGTGCAGAGCCACGGCCAGGTGATCCCGCAGGAGGCCGCCAGCGCACTCGCACATGGCCAGACAGGCGTCACAGTGGTCCTTGCGGCCTATGAGCAGGGCCCGGCAAGCCTGCATGGCCAGCAGCACGGCCTGCGGCAGCACGCTCCTGCACGAGGAGACAGAATCTTTATTTAGCCTGAAAAAATCCAATTAGCTATTAAGCTCTTTTTCCCAGATATCCAGGAGGGGTGGGTCAGAAAGTTACAGCAACAAAAAACATAGGGCTGCAAAGTATAGGAAAGGTAAGAAAAAGTCACTAAAAATACAAAGAGCATTTTTTTTTACCAGGTAAAGCTCACTTAAGTTATTTTTTAAATCTGTAATTGTGGAATGCTTGGATGTTGTCGGCCGCCTGAATCGCCCTTGAAAAAGAGCTTCTTATCTTAATGGGCTTTACCGAGGGAAAATACAATTCTGATTGTGAATATCTTGACACATGCGTTTAGATTACTTGGCTGCTATACATTTCCATACGATAAGCCACTTTGTTGAGCTATCATTTGTGGCCAGGTCACTTGTGAATATGAGTTTCATGCTAAAATAAAAGTCGTTAATAGCTGAGGTTATAGACACGCCAGTACCGTCACCGGCACACCGCACGTACCGCGCCAGCTTCAGCTCGGAGGGGAGGCACTCGGCGACGGAGTAGAGCCTCTCGGCCGCCTCGTCGTCGCCACGCACCCAATGAATGGCCACCATCACCACGGCCGCCCACCATTTGGCCACCGGATCCATGCCTGCCACACGGTGAGTAGGCCAGAGGATGGAAACACCATTGTGTTAGAAAATACAAAACCCAAACGGCATTGTGGTTATACCTCTTTTTTGTGCAATTGGAAAAGAGGTATTACAGATTGGAGACACGTACCTGAGCTGTGCATCGCGGCTTGACTGGCATGAGTTTTAAGCTTTGTTAATGAGACATTTAAAATGTCAGGTGCCATAGCCTCCTAGTCACTGCAGTAACATTACATCAGTCATTTGTCTTGACAGTTTTAATTATCTTGAACCTGCATATGTTCTCTAATATGTAGGTAGAAAAAATAATAGATCACGACGTTCCGATCGCAACACAAGCGACCGTCTTTAGGTGATCTATTATTTTTTCTACCTACGTGACTTTACCGAAAGAACCAAAGAGTATGGATTCCTGCAGTCACGAAAGCTTCAAATCAAGATTATATCTCTCAAATTAATGCCAAGCATACATCGCTCCATGCACACTCTCAAGTTAAGCTTAAAGTATACTATATCTAAAATGTACTACTAGCTTCATGATAGTTTGCAGTCTTGCAGCATTAGTCAAGTGTATTTTGTGTAACCAGGGGAAACTCAAGAAACCAGGATAGTCTCATTTGCAAGAGTGACCTGGGGCATTCGTCTGGCAGAAGGAAGCTGATTGCTATTTATAATCCCAACTGTGTAATTTGAGGGTAATTGACAAATGTGATTAATTTTAACCCCAACTCTGGCACACAATGGCCGACTCTTGCGAATTACATCAGGGGGATCTTTTATGTCCACTGTGAAGCAGGCAGCACTTAATAAATATTATCGTGGTTATTACAATCCCAGTAATAACCAGGGTGGCCGCTGGATTCGAACCGTGAACCTCTGCAACAAGTGGCTAACGCACCACCACCAAGCCGCATCACAAACTAAATTTCGCCACGGGCTTGTGACGCTGACGGCACTGCCGAGCGCAGACACTCACCCGTGACGGCGGTCATGTTGGAGCCGATGGCGTAGGTTTGCTTGGTCACGACGGCCGCATTGGCGCACTCCGTGAGCAGCTGCAGGTACTGCAGTGCTTCTGAGAACTCCCTGCCAGGACGGGCACAACCAGATAGCACCGAGTGAGTGAGCGAGCATGCGTTGGGACGGTTAGAAATGTGAGCTATGTTAGCGGTGGCTCGGGTATAGTTTCTTCTACGGAACTGTTGATTCATTGTTATCATCTTTCCATGAGGGCACATTGTGGTTTGGCTGCATTTGAAAATGAATAGTGTGGTGGAAGAGTACGCATTATGCTGGGTCGTATGACTCGTGTCCAACAAGGACAGACCGCGACCACCCTCGTGACTTTTGAGCAACAGCCACTGAATGCACTGTGCAGTTGTGCCAACATTTATGTATTTTTGCAGGCAAGGGTTCTTTAATAGAAAATACGAATCTACAGCGTTAAGTACAGCTGATGCCTCGAATGGGGAAAAAGACATACATGCTTTAGGGCAGCTACGTATGAGTGCCATTGTGCGTGGCGTGCGTGCGCGCGTGTGCACGGGCGTGTACCCGGGCTCGCATGGACCCTGCTCGCCATCGCCTGGCCGGAAAATGGTTCCCAACGCTCGTTCAAGCAGGTGTTCCCGGAAAGCCTGAGCCACTTGTGCCAGGGGGTCCACTGTGAGAGACAAAGCACAACTGTTGTAGAGGAAAGAGCACCTTCATTATGGTGAAATAATAGCAATAGTGGGGCTGAAAACTGCACTCAAATGTTAAGCACCCACACACTGCTGCTGAGAATTCAAGACAGGTTTGGTAGCCGAGTTGCACCTACCACAGGTGGGCTGTGGATTGCAGGTGGATGCCAGTTGGCCCCCCTTACCCAGATTAGCCGACGTGGAGTAGCAGCTTTGCAGGGGCTGGCTGCGAACGCACCACCCACCGTCCACAAAGAAGCGGTGGCCCAGCGGGTGGCACAGCCACTGCATAGCGGGTGGCACTGTGCCCGACTGGTTCAGGCACACCTGCCGTGCACCGCTCAGGAAGTATCGCTGAGAAGGGAAGAGAGGTGGCAACAGCACGCCATTAGCGATGGGGCCAGTCTACTTCACAGCCGGCAATAGAAGCGGGCCAAGCGAAGAGAGTGGCTCTATTAGGGGTGGCAAAGGAACGAGTAAAACTAATATCTATACTGTATGCGGGTCATTTCTGTAATCTAATACAGGGGTTATTGGATCACACAGATTTATGAAACTTCCAAATATGAGCTGTACAAGATGGCTAAGAGATGTTAGTGCAACAAGTGGGTTTGTGATTCTCTATGTAAACGTCTGAGGAGAGTGTTTATCTGCTCATATGCATGGGGTTTCTTTGGGTACTCTGGTACAATTACCATGTAAAATAAAACAAAATTCACTAAAATAATTTTCCACATCACAATGCAGAACATTAATGTTATTAATTTGAAAGGTTTGTCCTTCCCTGCTCCTCGGGTTAGGACAGTTAGCACGGTGGGCTACATACGGTTGAACATATGTACATACATACGGTACAATCAAAAGTCGCATCGGGGAACTCGCAGCACGAGTTGGAAAAACCTCTGCAGTTCTGACGTACGCTGGGGCGTTTGCAAGCACTCACGGCCAGGAAGTGCGTGCGGCGTGGAAAGCTGGTCTTGATGCGTAGGGCGGCCGTGACATAGACTTGGGCGAGCGTGTCGGCTGGGAGGGTCTCGCCCGCGCATTCTGCAAGGTTGACAGCGCTCAGCGCCACGGTCACTGCCCAGGCGTGGCCCTCCTCCAGCTTGCCTGCACGCACACGGCGGCACCACCAACTCATCCGGGTGCACGGGAGACGCGTGCCCTTGCGAGGGCACGCAGTCAAGCGCAAGCACTTCCTCAATATTTCAACTCAAGCGCGAGTAGTTGTCGTTGTCAGCCTGACACTCGGCACTTCTGGGTAAAGGGCTCCCCCAATTGTCTGCCATTCGTTCCTTTCCTTAGTTGCTTCTCCCGAACTCTTCAACTTTGAAATCATAGCAGATTTGTGGCCAATTTGAGGTTCATGTTGCCACCACGCTGAAGTTCTTTTATGTCCAGGAGAGGCTTAAATAGCATTTAGGGATTAATATCCTAAAACGTTTCAAATAGATGTGGTGCTTGGTGTTGGAAACTTTAAAAAGTTATATTTCCGGTTCAGGATAAAGCCTTTTAATCATTCAATAGTCTTGATACTGGTAACAGGGTCCCATGGTTATTTCTTGTTCAGTTTATTCACTGTGTAAAACTCATTGCAGATGAATTCCTGAGCCAGCACGTTTGTATGTGGACTGAATAATTAACTTCCACTGTGTGGCCTTCTCGATGTTTATCTCTGTACACGCTGCACAATATAATCTATGAATTGCACAACAGGGTTGAAGTTCTTTACTTTCTACAGAACGTTTTTTGCAACCTAAACAGCCAGCATTGTGTAGGTCAAAGAATGGTTGTAAGTCCAAGGCCAGTAAACTTTGGGGATTTTTCCAACTACACTTCGCGTTGACATCAGCGACGGGAGGCAGCACACCGTATATAGCCAACCGAGCTAATAGGAGGTGCGAAAACGAGCTCGCACCCACCCACCCGTCATGTGCAGCTGGTGCAGCTTGTGGTAGACGAGTGCGACGTCGCGCATGCCCTTGCACGCGTCGGCACGGGCCCCAGGGTTGGCGCGTAACGAGCCGGCACGGCAAGCCAGCCAGCGGCCCAGTCCCGCACGCTGCAGGAGGTGCCGCAGCAGGCCCCAGCCCAGGCTGCACGCGAGATCGAGCGGCGAGGTCGGCAGTGGACGGCCCGCCGCTTTCAAGCTCACACGCAGGTTCTCGGCAGCCGCGACAAACTCCCCCTGCGGACGCAGAGAGAGAGAGCACAGTAAGTTTTGCTTGACCCCCTCGCACGCGGATTATGACGCTGCATGTTGTCTTATCGCTTGAATGTGAAGTTATTCAGTCGAAACGCCCCTGCCAAATACTTTGAAAATGTTTAGTATAATGTATTCACAATATTGTGATCACACTCATTGAAATGCATGCCAAGCTTCCATCAGCCGCCGCCATCTTGAAAACCACGCTCTACTTTACCCAGTGTTTCTACAAAAGGAAGTATAATTTCCACCACGAGGTTGTCACACTGAATAGATGACGTCCCATGGACAAGGCAGCATGCACAAAACATCAAGGCGTATGCACCACGACTGGAATGCTCACAAATCATAGCCATCCACTACATTGGGCAACATGCCTGATGGGTTAAGAAGATATGAAAGTTTGTTTCCATTTCTAGGCGATAGTATGAATTATTTTAAGAGTTTGCCATTTTCATTACAGCACAGGGGAAGCAACTTGGAAGTTTGGAATATAACAGGGCTAAGAAACAAAGATATAATTAAAACAATTAGAAGGTTGTAATGAATGAGACACGTGCAGGATTGAGGGCAGGTTACCAAGACAGCCATTGGTGTATCACCCATAACTTTGTGTCCAAGGGTAAGAACTAAAGCTGTAAGCGTGGTCAGGAGCTGACTGCAGTGGCCGAGGGATCTAGCAGAAGGAAATGATGGCACCAATGGCAATGACCATGACAGCTCAAAGCTGGCAGTCACTTGGTACAGATGGGTGCACGGGTTCACTGCTGTTAAATACTGTGAACTGACCCTGGCTAGGTCCATGTCAGCCTGCTTCCGATGCCTCCAGAAGAGCAGTGCGGCAGGCGAATGTGGCCGCATCACCGGTTCGCCGTACACGAGAATCCGCGCCAGGACAGCCAGAGCCAGCACCCCATTCACCAGCCACAGCAGCAATGTCGGCATCAGCCAGTCCCACCAGCTCTCGGGCCCATCTGCAATGACAAGCCAGTTGGGAATTGCTATCGGTAAAAACAACGGTGGCATTTTGTCTGACCGGCCATTAACAGCTGCAGATAACCTTACCACTGTTATCTGTAGCACTGCTTTTTTATATTGCAGGATAACACTGTAGGAAATTGCCTTTCGCGACAGTAGATGGCAATGAGAATATTTAAACTGATGTAGAAAAAAAATAGTTTTTTTAAGTTGTATACAGAACTAGAACTAGACAACACATTGTGATCACATTTTGAGTACAGAAATTCTCAAGCTGATGTGAGCTTGGAGAATGAGAGTCATTGGTTACATCCTAGACACTGTCCGGAATGAAGCGTTGGGCAGCTTTAGGTTTGTGTGTGTGGGGTCGGTGCTACCGTTGAACGAGAGAATGTTGCGGCCTGGGTAGTGCATCTGGTTGGACACCAGCCCTGTGGCACGCAGCAGGAACCCGAGTGGGTTGACAGAGAGGCACAGGAACAGGAAGCCACAGAGCAGCACGCGGGAGCGGTCCACCATGGTCAGCCCGCCGGGCGAGCCTGGCTCCTCCTTGATCTGCATCTGTGGTCAGGTTAACGGCGTTCGGTGAATAATCAGTTTCAATACGAACATGGGAAGATCATTATTGTAGATGTAATGAATGCCGAGGATGCAATCACTCGGGATGTGCCAAATCTCATCAGATCTCAGAATCTCAGCAGGTTTGAGCCTGGACAGTGGACTGATGTGTGACTAACATGCATAAAACAGGTGTTGTGGGCTGTAGTGCAGCAATATCCACTGTTTGTCTCTGTGATTCAATCTGCCTTTAACCTCTTAACCGGTGTGGTGAAGTATGGTCAAATAACCCCCACAAACACCATGGCGCGGGAAGGCCCTCGTACTCCTAATCGTTCCCCCTCTCGTGCACAATCCTATTTCCGCTCCTTTTCCTACTTGCCCCCCCTAGGCACTGGAACAAACTTCCCCTCCACATTAAGCGACGAGCACCCTCCCTGTATAGTTTCCGCTCCTCCCTCAAGACTCACCTCTTCTCCCTGGCGCGTTCTTCCCTCCATCCCTAGGTACCCCCGTAATTCCCGTAGCCACTAAACCTCCCTCCCCATACCCCATCCATATTCACCGTATCACTTTTAGCTACCCTCATTGTACCACTCATAACCCTTGTAAAGAGCCTTGGATAACGGCGCTATATACAAACTTGATTTGAAGCTGTTGTGACTGCAGCTAGAAAACGAACTGGATGTCTCACTAGCACAGCCACCATTGCGCGTTGGTTCGTTTACATTGACATGCTCATCTCTCACAATACAATGGCCACCTCCTCAGCTCTCGCATCAACTACACCCCCCCCCCTTTCCACCCCCCATCTCGGTTCCCATCTTTGGATTTGCCACTCCCTTAGGCACAATCTCGAGCCCCCACCCTCTTGCCCGATGGGGAAACCCCCCCTCCCCCCTCTAAATATAAGGACTTGTGATCTATTATATTTTTTCTACCTACGTGACTTTACCGAACGAACCAAAAAGTATGCGCTATATAAATGAAGTTTCAAACTATCGTTTGGAAACCCCCGGAACACACACACACCAACCGAGTGTGTGTATGTATAAGATTTGTTGTTGTGCTTTTCTTTAACTAAACGATGTGTAATCCCCGCTCGAAAAATCCTAACCACGGCGTTTCAGGGCTGCAGTGACCACCATACCTTGCTGTCGTCGTAGTAGGGGCTGTCTGGCTCCGAGTCACTCGAAAAGGGACTGTTGCTGCGGTTGGGAGAGCTTCCGGCGTCCGAGTTGGGTGGCGTGGGCAGCCCCAGGGGCTCCGCTTTGAGATCGCTGCTCAGGGGCGTCCCCTCCAGCGTGTCCATGGGAGTTATTCCCACGTCCACCAGCTCCTTCAGGGTGTCTGCAGGTACCGGGTTTACAACATTCGTGTAAACTGCTACGTGCAGCAGTAACCTGGCCAGAGCGTGGTGGTTTACGCACACTGTGGCACTATTAACTCGGTGCCACGAGTTCGATCTCTGAGCATGGCTGAAATCAGTGGTGAGTTCGGGACTGGCTATGGGTCCCCTACACCCTCCTTTACCAACCCGCAATGACTGGCATGATGAAGTATGGTCAATTAACCCCATTTAATTAAAAACGCGGGGACAGGCATTCGTATAGGAGTGGAATGACAAAGGGCCGTGTACATTATCATGATATAGGCATAAACAGACCAAGAAGGTGGTGTGTGAATGGAAATGTCATGGCTGCATGTGTTGGTGCTCCAGCCGTGTGCAGTCCTCGGCCAATCTTTTAAAAACCTTTAAAAAAATTATTTACAAATTTAGCTTACTCTGAATATTTGACAAGACCAAGTTGGCAAATTATGGTGGCATGTTTTACGCTCTTAAGTTGCTATACTAAAGAAAATAATTGCTAGAGAGCGCAATTATCGAGGGTAGACGACGAACAAAACTATGAAAAGCAAGCAGAACGCAAGCAAAATTAAGTGCATTTAGGAAACCAAACTTGACAATTAAAAACGGCATACCATTGTTACCGTAGAAGCAATGTTAGTGCATAGAGATCTGAAACTCCAAATATGCAGGCATCAGGGTCGGGATCGAATCCACAAACTCCTGCAATCCACGCTAGCGAGATAACATCTCGCCACTGCGGAGCCTATTTAGATCCAACTTTACGTCCCCCCCCTACCCCCAAGGACGCTAGTCAATCCTCATTCATTCAATCACATCGACAAAGCTGGGTTGGTAACTGGAGATCCAAACAGGTTTGCAGACAGGCAGGAGATCATAGCTACAATGAAGGCAAATGTGGTGGGAGAGAAAACGTACGTCCTTTCTGCGCTGCCATCTTGAGGACAAGGTTCTCCTGCTTGAGCTTCTGGTTGGACTGCTGCAGGTAGCGGATGTACTCGAATCGCCTTGCGGAGAACCGATGACTTGTTCAGCTGCCCCGCCAACAGTTGAAACAGCACAGAGCACACAAGGTAAAGCACTCGCGGTGCATGTGTCGCGTGTCACGTGTCGCGTCTCTCGTTACTGTGATTCGTCATACGGAATCAAATCCACGATAATCCTCTCGCCCGTTTTTCAAGACATCCTTTACATTGTGATTATTATTACTCGTTCAATTGTTTAGTTTTACTCATAAAACTTTTCTGAAATAATGAAATCAGAATAATTAGGTTAGCAAAAAGTATATATTCCGATTAAATGAGTAATTTTCGAAATATTTTCCAAAGTAATACATTTTTGGTTTGTTTTAGTTTGTGTTTTGTTTCGTTCCTTCCCCCGCACCTCCAATTAACATGGTTGGCTACGTACTTGCATACATGACATAATTTCCACATGTTATGTATTTATTTATTTCTAATGTAACTGAAAGCATGTGTATTATATATTGTCAAGTAAGTAATTATGGCAGGCTTGTGTTGAATGAACTGCAGTTAAATTATAATCTTTATTTCTACTGGAAGTACAGCAAAGCACAAAAACAATGGAAAATAGTGAAATACAAGAAAAAGTTATGGCAAACCGATTCCGCTATAATTGATTAAAAAACATTTGGTTTGATCGCGTAAATATAAATGTGTCGTAAACCCACCTCCAAACGACACAGCCAATTAGTAAGGTTTGTCACGTAGACAGAATGTACCAATTTGTTACTACTTGGCACGGTGTGTTTGGAGAACAAACCCACAACATTGACAATTTCAGTTGACGATGTTTTCCCTGGTGAAGCTGTAGTCACTTTACTAATTGCCTGTGTCGGATGGAGGTATGTTTACAAATCATTTATACATTTAGGCGATCTAACCCAAAAAACGTTATTATGAAAATCGGTTGCAAAAGTCGATGTGTTCAAGTGTATCGTGGCAATAGTGTTCACAATGCCTCCTCTGCACACCCCCCCCCCCCCCAGCTCACCGAGATAGTTACCTTGCCCTCACTGCCGGCGATCATGTCCTTGAGCTCGACGATCTTGTCATTGATGGAGGAGCGGTAGCGCTTCTCGATGGCGTTGTGCGCCGTGCGCTTCTCCCCCTTGTTGGGCAGCCCCATGGGCTTGCTGCTCGCCGACAGGCGGTTGATTGGCAGCTTGTCCGCGTCCACCACCATGGGCATCGTGGTCAGGATCGCGTTTCCACTCATCAGCGTCTAAAAAGTGTCGCAGTGAAATATAAAACAATGCAGGTCGTGAGCACGTGAAGTGTGCCAATAGGCATTGTAAACATAAAGTGAACTGATGATTATCTGAGGTAATGGGGGAGGGGCAGGCTGCATAGTTTTTGCTAACCTACCTAAAACGGGGTGAAGATGTCTGTTTCAGTGTCACCGAGTTATAAGTGAGCAGTAGCGAAGAATTACAATTTTCTATTTCAAATCCTTATTCTATAAGCACAGTTAATGCTCAACTCGGTTTATCGGTCCACAAATAATTAAGCATAACTATCCAGTATATATAAATATACACAAGAGCAATTACATGAGCTCATGGGTGACACATTTTGCATTAATATCCTCGTCTTGGTTGACTTGGCCCATTACTCCTCCTAGGTCGACAAACACCGCGAGTTAAAATGATGGTTCTCAAGTGCCAGGACTGGTCTCGGATATTGAAACAAAGGTAAGATTTTACACCACTGACTGAAAATGACTACCTCCCATCCCAACAGGAACAAAAATTCACCTCTAACTTTATTTGTTAAAGAACAATACCAATAATAATAAGTCCTCACTTTTTGCACAACGCAGAACGCGCCCGTTATAACGCACACTGTTATTACATGGAATGTGGCCCTGTTGTAATACGGTTTCTGAGCGGTCAACGACAAACTACTTTTTGGAGCTGTGCGGCTAAGCGGTTCGTTATGGCGCGTGGAATTTTACAGTAACGTGGCGGCGGACCCTCAGTTATTTGTCTCACCATCTTACTGTGTGTGTGTACATCGTATCTCGCCAAACTTTATCGTTACTTTATTTATGGCGAAATCTTTTCACGTAACGCAGCACTTTTCAGGAACACATCTTCCGCATTAAACGAGGACTTCCTGGAAATGTCTACGTTAACACCAACACACAAACGTCATAGATAATAGCCTTCATTGAAGACTCTAGTTTGCGAGTAGAGACGCACAGTGGTGTCTGTAACAGCAGCGAGTCTGTGTGTGAAGGCAGGGGCCACCTGAATAGGTGTGGCGTGCGCTGTTGCGCTGCCGCCACTGCCAGGTCCCTTTGGGGTGCCCACCACCGTGCCAGGGTCTGCCTTGAGTGTCGTCAGTAGAACAGAGTCCGCTTTGATGATCTGGGGCTGCAGTAACACCTGTGGAAACATAGTAAAAGAGGACACCTGCGGACAGCAAATCAACAGCTGAACTTTCAAGTAATACATAATGTGGTGAAGCGACACTGCGAATCCACAAAGAACATCTTAAAACTCTTGAATATGAGCGCAATATCTTACTTTACGTGTTAAATGTGGCGTTGCAGACGCTACTGAAAGATTAATTCTGACATTAGTGGTTGGGTTATCCCACCTGCTGCACCTGTGGAGACATGCTGACAGCATTGACAGCCAGACGCTGCACTTGCTGCATGTTGTGGACCTGCTGCATGTTGTGGACCTGCTGCACTTGCTGTGGGGATACCATCACCGACATCGCTTGGGGTGACATCGTCACCTGCTGCATCTGCGAACACGAGATTTGACATCTCCACTAATGAAAAGGATAAAAACGAGACTTGGCTTGACAAAGGGTAACTCTCACCGACATCAAATAAACACATCGAGTTCCTTGGTGTATTCAACAGCAGTGTGTAAAAATAAAGAATTAGGAGAATCACTGCCTTCGAAATGAAAGCCAGAAAAATCTTTACATTTCACAAAGAAGTCCTGGAAACAAGAGAGACAAAGAAGGAAGGCTATATCAGCCCAAGTACAGTAAGTCATCGCTTAACATGTGGTGTGCACACAACGCGTTTTCGCTGTACCAAAACGGGGTTCATCCATTCGATAATTTTTTTTGCACAACGCGAAATGCGCCCATTATAATGTCGAGCATGCAATGTTACAATGCTGAACGCTCCCGTTATAACGCGCAACGCGACCATTTGTAACGCGGCTTCTGAGCGGTCGACGACAAACTACTTGAGCTGCGCGGCTGAGCAGTATGATACAGTACGCGTCATGATACAGAGGCGTGGCACAGCGTACCCTCGGTTATTTGTTCCGCCATATCACTGTGTGCGTGCATCGCAACTACCACGTTAAATGAGGAATTGTTGCACAGGAAACTGCAGCATTTCAGACACGTGATCAGGATAACAACATACTAAAAAACAAAAAAAATACAAATATACCTCATAACATTTAGTCCTGCAAGCCAAGCTTCATATCCATAAAACTCTAAATATCTCATAAATATGATTAAGAATATTAAGCTTAATCCTAATGATATTCTCGTAAGTTTTGATGTGACCTCTCTGTTCACAAGGGTTCTGGTCAACGAATCAATTAAATTACACTCTGGTAACGAACAACGGTTTGGCCAAAGATATCCGAAGACTAGCTGACCACTGTCTAAAGAACATTTACTTCTTGTGGCAAAGTGACTTCTATAAACAAAAGTATGGAGCAGCAATGGGCTCTCCTTTGTCTCCTGTGATAGCGAATTTGTCCATTGAAAATTTTGAAACAAAAGCACACTAAAACCATCTGCTTGGTTTAGATATATGGATGACACATTGCTGGTCTGGCCACATGGCAAAGATACACAGATTTGGCACGGTACATAAAATACAGAATTTAATATCTGGTACAAAAGATGTATTACCGAAGCTATCAACAGAAGGTGTGTAAGGATTAACTGCACGTGTGCTAAATGTTATGTTGGGAAAACAGGACGAATGATCAGCACGAGACAAAAGAACATCAGAGAAATATTAAATTATCTCAAATGCAACTGGCAGCAGCAGCATAACACGCGTACCAACAAGGACACTCAATTGATTTTGATAACGTTGAAGTTTTGTTCAAAACTAGCAACTACAGGCCAAGACTAATTCGAGAATCTATCGAAATTTAAAGAAATAAAAATTACTTTAACCGTTCGGATAGCTACCGTCTTAGTGCTTGCGTGGAAGCGAATCCTCAAATAATACATTATTTAACTGCATGCCTACAAAGGGCAGCGTACTTCAATAGGGATTACCGTTGGAGGGGCTATTTTAATAAACACAATAGACAGGAAGGACAAGTTCAAAGGGCTCGCATAATTCACATGCATAATGTACGTTGCCTCGGTAATCCCCCCACCCCCCCCCCCACATTGTGCAAGAGCACAGAAAGGTGGTCAATACATCTACACCTCTATATAAGGTACGAAACAGTAAGACTTCTCCACAAATCTGGCTGTCGCCTGATGAAGCTAGTTGTAATTACTGGCGAAACGTTGTACTCCGTTTGTAAATGTTGTGGCTTGGCTCTCCAACACACCCGTGTGCTGTACTAGTGACGAATTGGCACGTTCTGTTTACGTGACAACCCTTACTAGTTGGCTGTGTTGGGCGGTGGCGGGTTATAACAACACATTGATATATTTAGCGAAAGCCTACGTGTTAAACAAGCTCTATATGTTGATAAGCTCAAGTCAACAAAAACCTGTTGGACAGCATTGGTCACATCACCACCATTACCCATAATCAATGAATTGATGGATGAAGGCCTCCCCAAGCTGTCACCATCTCTCATGGTCCTGATGTAAAAATTCACCGAGCACCTGCACACACAGGCTGATCTTATCGCTGTCTTTGTGGCAGAGGTCCCTTGGGACGTGCGTGTTCTCTCATTCGGCTGCCACTTGTTATTTATCATCCGTTCTGGCAACGTGTCCTGTCCAATCCCAGTTAGTTTCTTTAACAGTCAAAAATGTGTCATCCATGTGTTCTTATCTTTGCCTCATTGGAATCCCAAGCATGCATATCTCTGCATTAGTTAAGGTAAAGATAAAACAAATTCTCCGGAAGATCAAACAGCTCACCTGCGGCCCGATGGTCTGGTGCATGTGCGGCGAGACGGTCAGCTGCTGCGCATGCGGCGCCATTGTCACGTGCTGTGGTGTCATGGTCAGGTGGTGCGGGGTCATGGTGACCTGGTGTGGGGTCATGGTGAACTGCTGCGGAGTCATTGCGACCTGGTGTGGGGTAACGGTGAGGTGCTGTGGGGTCATGGTGACCTGCTGCGGGGTCATGGTGAGGTGTTGGGGCGTCATAGTGACGTGCTGCACGTGAGGTGAGATGCCGGTGGGACTAGCGGAAGTGGTGAGGAACTGGTGAGTGGGCGTGACGCTGTGTAGGTGGTGCTGAAGGGTGACGGGCTGGAGGGAGGGCGTGCTCACGACCGTCTGTATCTGCTGCTGCGCTGGTACAGCTGCGACACAGCACGTGCAATCGGGCGAGAAATGTGCAGGCGTTATGTTTGAAAAATAGCAAACAAATAAAGACCCCATGTAGCCTTAACATACTGCTGGGGCTAGTGCTGTCAACGAACACCTATGCACCTATGAAGGTTGGCATGGCGCACAAGGAGACAGTGAGGCCAGCACCACGACCAGATTTGTCTCCCCAATGTTGCTGTTAATATACAGTAAAATAGGTACTCATTCAAGGCTGAGTCGACCTAGGGGAGGCCCAAGACAAGTTCAGAAAATTTTCAGATCTTAACTGTGGCCAGGAATCAAGTTCCAGACGCTGGGTTCAAAGCCCAGTGTGCTCATCACTATGCTACCAGCAATAGTGTGCACACACAAATGTAAACAAGACATCAATGCAGTATTTTTAAAAGGCAGTGATTTTTACATTATATTTTTTTCTTGGTGCAAGTTCATAGATTGTCAACAAATGAGAGTAACGTACAAATATACTATAATAAGGATATGGGTTTGTTTAAAATGTTTTAAAAAATAACTATAAGTTCACGGACATTACCTGTAAGCGTGCCTTGCGGGGAGTAGTTGAGTAAGGTGGGCTGCGTGATGTGCACCTGCGTGGGGCTGGCCGCGAAGCTCTGTGTCATAACCACCGCTTGCTGCTGCCTCTGCTGAGTGGCCTGAGGCAGCTGGGATATGATCTGGGTCTGCGGGTACCGAGACATACACACTCTGCACGTTAGTTGTGGATTACATATTTTCAAACCATTTTGGAACGTATGAATTTTGTTTCTGTTATAATTCCTGCAGGTCAGTCGCAATTATTTAAATAACTATAGCAGATGTGTAACAGTAGTTATTGGAATAATACAAAGATCTCCCGTATAGCCTTAATAGACTGTTGGGGCAAGTGCTGTTAGCGAGCACCGATGAAGGCTGGCACCGCACACGTGGGGGGTGGGTGGCAGCACCACGCCTGGCTGCCCTTTTCTCCATAGTGGCGATGTTTACACGCCGCACCAGGTACTCATTTGAGGCTGAGTCGACCTAGGGGAGGCCAAGGACCAGTTCAGATAATCGTCACTGATGTTGGCCGTAAGCAGAAATCGAATTCGGGTCACTAGGTTCGTAGCAGTGCGCTAACCGCGACACTATCGCTCCCCAAAACGATACAGGGCTGCTTGTAGTCGATGCCAGCTTATGGCATTCACATCTGCACTGAAAAGCAGCCCCACATGAGTCAATGCCCTGCCTGAGTAGGCGGTCATGGTGTAAAATGACCCGAGTAGCTCGTGATGGGAGGTGGCTTGCCTGGGTGTTGGTAAGCTGCAGCTGCTTCTGTGAAGTGGGAGCCGTGTGTGTAGAAGCAGGTGAAGGCTGCACCACTCCCGTGGGCTGTGCTTGCTGGGTGCTGGGGTGATGCAATCCCACTGGTTGCTGCTGCTGGGCTTGGCGGGCCATGGGCTGGGAGAAGGTGCTCTCCATGGTCAAGCGGGGCTGTACGGAACCTTTATTATCCGAGCCACCATTTGTGGATAATTGTCCATCAAACAGCCCAGGGAAGTCACCATCCTGGGTGTTGATGTATTGCAGCATCTCTGCATCAGTAGAAAACATGGGAAGACAGGGATCAGACCAATGTGGTGCACTTTAAATAATTAGATTTTAGAATACTGTACCATGCTCTTCAAACGGACAGCAGTCAATACATTGAGTCCTGCAACTATGAATGCTAACACTGACCATATGTTCAGACACGTATTACAATGCATGTAATGTGATTACATATGTACTGAATAAGATAGGCCAACAGTCCAAAGAGCATATACTGGTGGATAGCTGAACAGTCATACAATATGATTGGTGGGCAAGTGGACTATCTGAGACAGACAGGAGAATTATTTCAGCGGACAGTTGAACAAGCCGGACTGGCTGAAAAAGTTACGGATAAACTTAAAAGTCACACAAGCCAACAAATGGACAACCGCACAGAAAATAAAAATGTAGACAATTATCAGTGGAAGTTGTACTGTCCTTATGGGCACAGGTAGACAATCTTTCAGGTTAACTAAGATTAAGTTCAGGTAATCTAGCAGGCGAATACACTGACACGCAGATATGAATGTCTCGCAGTCCACCTGCCTCATCGACCGGCGGGCAATGTGACAAGACACGCCTGTCACAAGCCACTAACAACAGAAGAAAGGCAGTGACAGACTAAGAGGTGGTCAACCTTACAGTTGTGAGAATAAATGCACAACCTGATTAGTGGAGATTAACAGCCATATATACACACACACTGACAAGCGGATATCGATTCCAATCAAAATACGGCGAGACAACTTAGGTAGGAAGATATTACGACAAATGAAAGATCATGTGGACATTTATGGCAGGTGTACAGCCCCATGTGGATAAACGCACAGCTGAGAGCGAGGAGGGTTGACACCACGTGGCGGACACCGTCATATTTATATCGCGTGAGGTGAACAGCGAACACAGACAGTAGCTGGCATTCTAAAGCTGACACTGCAACAGTGACGGCCACTATAATGGGTCCCACGCTAACAATGTAAGTCTTTGACATTGACAAAAGTGACTAAGTTTGCCACACTAACAGGCAGTGTAAGTCCAGCTGACGGTGTAAAGGTCTGACACTGACTGACAAACGCCGTGACACGCGAACAGTACGACTCCGTTAATTGACGACGACACACGGTGACACTGACACGCGGTGACACGGTGAGAGTGACACAGTGACACTGACGACACACGGTGACACACGGTGACACTGACGACACGCGGTGACACTGACACGCGGTGACACGGTGAGAGTGACACTGACGACACTGACGACACACGGTGACACTGACGACACACGGTGACACACGGTGACACTGACGACACACGGTGAGAGTGACACACGACGGTGACACTGACACACGGTGACACTGACACACGGTGACACTGACGACACACGGTGAGAGTGACACGGTGACAGTGACGACACACGGTGACACAATATGACAGTGACAGGCAGACACACACGCTGCGACAGACGGCCACACACACACACGCGGCGACTCTGACAGCCAGTGACCGCCGCCGCCGCCGCCCAAGCCGCGCACCGTCGATTTCGCTGAGCAGGACGTTGTCGAACTCATTGGACGAAGCGAGGCTCGGGTCCAGACTGTCCAACCCGTGCTCCTCGAACGCCATGGCCACCGCGGGAGGCTGCGCCTCCATGCCCGCACTTGGGGCGGCAGACGGCGGCCGAGGAGGCTGCAGAACGCGGAGGAGCCGGGAGAAGCTCAGGCGGGGGGCTCCTGCACGCCCGCGGCCATCTTGTCGGGAGGGGTCGGGGGGGGGGTGACGCCGGAAGTGACGCGAAAGTCGTAGAGGTGGTGCCACTCGCGCCGTGGCCAATCAGAGCGCAGCCCGCGGTGGGCTGATTTGACGTCACGGCTCAGTTTCTTGGGTTCCGTCCGGAGTGACCGAGGGGGGGGGAGGTTGGGCGCGCGACCCCGTTGCCAGGTCAGAGGTTGTTTACCTTGAGTTGTGTATTTACAAGTATGCACTGCACGCACTCTGCATGTTACATCTGGACTTAAAGCTTTCGTGACTGCAGGAATTCATATTCTTTGGGTCTTTCGGGAAAGTCACGTAGATAGAAAAAAAATAGTGATATTTGTATTATTTTTCAAGATTGAACTGTTTATAAAGTTTGAAATGGGCGTGGACCAAATGTCAGCAGCCACACATTTTGGACAGACACATTCACAACTTTGCCTTCTGTATATATGGCGATATGTATTGTAATTTATTTTGTATTGGGATTGTGAGAGACGGTCTGCAACTCGGGGCGTCCCTTCGGCCGTGGATTGATTGCGGCTGTTACTAAAGACGATCCACATTGACTGACGTCGGCGAGCGTGTTGCTGTGTGCATGAGTGTCGTTGTTTACGACGTCTTCTTACACGTCGGCCTGGATCGTGCACGCTGCGTGAACGCCTCTCTCACTCTCTCTCTCGCCAATCGTCAGTGGCGCGCCACCCACTGGACCCGCTGCGGCTGCTCCACTCCGCAGCCGTCGTCAGCGCTGTCGCTATTATTAGATAATAATAGATAATAGCGACAAGCACCGATAATATAGAATAATAGCGACAGGAATCAACCAATTCGTCAGTGTCACTGCCTTCACAAGGACGCGCATCTAACAGCGAGGCGTGCTTTAGCCCAAGGCTCTTTACGTGCCACGAAGGGACATTGTCAGAACGGTCGCATGTTCATCCTTCTAAGACGTTACTCACGAATGCCAGTCTCTCCAACTCGCGAGCTCTTGTGAATGCTTGACGATTCAACCACACGGTGATTCGATGACTATCACCATGGAAGGTCGCGATTTAATGATCCGCTTTTAATAATTGCTTCATGGTGAAAGTAGTGCCGCCTCGTGGTTTGGTTTTTAAATGTCAGAATTGGCTCAAACTCCGTGCATCCTGTCCAGTCTTTAACGTTTTACTTCGCTGAAAGGCCGCTCTCCCTTCAAATCGTCAAACACCACCACCATCATCATCTTTATTATTCTGCGTTGTGACCTCAACAAACTGTATTGCACCAGAATCGTTATTGAGACTGCAAGAGGAATCCTATAAGTTCCGAAGCTTTTTTTCACATGTCCAGTAGTACTGTATCACGTGCGTTCAGCAGTAGTTATGCAGTACATTAACCACTGCAGGATATGTGGACGTATCTTTTAGTGGCTAGATAATTTTAAGCATGTAGATATTGCAATACAATAATCATACCACTTTTGAATGTCTAATGAAGGTTACAAATAAAAATACAAGAGCATTTGCATGTATATACAATTTTAATTTATTTGTTTGAAAACCAACACAGAATACAGTTATAGACTTGTTTTTATGAGCTTATTGCATGAACGTCAAACATTCAAGGACAATATTACACCACTCTGCTATTTGCAGCTATGAGCTATGTAATCAACAGAACCTTGTTATGACCCCGTGTCGTCGATACAAGCAAACGGCACAGTTCACAATACGTGCAAGGCAGCCCAAAATTGCACCCTGCTACTAGCTACCACCTCTGGTGTCACAGAAATTAAATTCCCCCAATGAGAAATTCCTCATGGGAGCTCTCTCTTCTTTCAAACCCCAGAATACTCTCCCAGAATCTGGCAGTGACGGTTCAGTTCAGCACTTTGAACCAGTGGCATCACTCGCTGGAATCCTTGGGGCTACACTCGTCAAACAAATGCCAGGAGAGGGCCCATCGCTTGTGAGCTTCTCGGCGCAAAACTAAATGATGCACGGCCCGATCCTTCATTGATTGAGGTTACATTGCGAACTCGCCAACCCTACCGATGTATTTGGTAGGCAGGGTTGATTCTTAAGACGATTCGATACCGCATCCACATTTGCAAAGAGAACCATTGCGCTTTCTAAACATTTTGAAAAATGTTTGAAAGAAATATTTTGGTTCAAAATGAGTCGACAGTAAAAGAGATTAAAACATTGGTAAGAGAGCACTTGACTGTAATTGTCGTGGCTGTTGCCTACACGCTGCAATAATTAACCAGTTGGGGTACTATAAAGGCTATCGGCCAGAATTTCTGCCAAAGTTAACATCTATAAAACCTGAGTGTGCTCCTGGGTATGATAATATCTGGAGGCTGCATTTGGCACAGCACAAATGCTGTCCAGCTGCAGATAATCTTGTTTATACATCGTATGTATATTAAAACAAGTGCTTTAATACTCACAAAATAGAACCCAATATAGACAAAGAAGAAACGATGAGCATGTAGTTTTAAAACTCACAATGCACTAACTAGGCATGTGACGATACATTGCTTCATTGATTAATATAATTGTTATGCTCATGATAATATGCATCAAATTGTCCGTATAAGAGATGACAAAATATATGGAAGTATTTGTTCAAGTTAAATCTAGGCAAAGGGCAAGAAAAACTGTACAAACAGGACAGAAAAAAATTAACCCGTAAAAATAAAGTTTTTCACTATAAATCCTTTATATGTGTGGCGGCTAGAGTCCTCTCGTCCTCTGGCTTGAGATGGCTGCCACCTATGGGTCAGATGATTGCCTGCCACCATTAAGCAATTGGTAATTAAATATAATTAATTTTTTCCTAAAAAGTGTAAAATTTTGCTAAAAATTTTTCACGAAAATAAATTGTCACGCACAACGAGTCTGTGTGCAAAATGTCAGCTCGATTGGATCACGGGAAGTGGGTTAAAAAAACGACCGAAAGATTTGCACGGTCGTAAGCGCGCAAGCAAGCAAGTGAACTTAATATAAAGGATTTTAAGAAGACGACACATGGGATGGGAAGAACAAGAAAAAACACAAAATATCCTGATTCATGACAATTCAACGAAATTGCTCATGCAGTGAATCATTGCATGCCGAGAACAAACACATTCTTGCATTTAAAAGAGTGGGCGGTGGCACCAGTGGCGTAGTGAGGTTAACATTTGGCCCTGGCGTAAGAAATAAAAGGGGCCCCCTGTCCTATTTTCCTCCTGTCCAGGGCTCGAAAACTGGGCCCATCTGCCCCGGGGATGCAGGTACACCGCCTGCACACTCGATAGCTACGCCACTGGGGGGCACCGGGCTGTCGTGTCACTTTGTGTCATGGCTGGGGGGCTGCCGAGTCCTGGCATCTCCGATGGGCAGCGTGGAGGGTCCTGAGGGCCTGTCGCTCTTCACGGCTCGCGCACGCCGCCCCAGGAACCGCTCAAACTCTGCAATGCAAACACTCGCCTTGTCAGTGTTGCTTCCGAGGCACAGCACTTTGATTGTTTCATACTTTACTGTCGTCTTTAGTGCTGGATACTGCCACGGTGTGATGGTTAGCGCACCGGCAATCCAGAGGTCGCCAATTCGAATTTTCCTGGTGCCGCAATTGAAGCTGTTGGCAAGTTTTGTAAATCCCCAACCACCTATGTCCACCCAACAGTATAAATGGGTAAACCAGTCCATCGACTGGTCATGTGCAGTGGGGTAAAGTGTGGGTATTCCCACCTCTTCCAAGATGTCTGGCCAGCATGGAACAGAAGGCCATTGAATATCCTCTAGATTGGCTTTAGAGCTCTCTGTCGTGGAGGGCCTTCCACTGGCACTTAAATGAGCAAGCATATCAGGGCAGCACCTTCACCTATACTTTTGAAAATTATATTTATACTCTTTGGTTCTTTCGGTAAAGTCGTGTAGGTATAAAATTAAATAAATCACGACGTTTTGGGCAAACAGTCTGCCTCAGTAGCAGATCATGCTTTCCCACCTGATGACGGACGCTTGTGTTGCACCCGAAACGTCGTGATTTATTTTATTTTATACCTACGTGACTTTACCGTAAGAACCAAAGAGTATGGATTCCTGCAGTCACGAAAGCTTCAAATCAAAATTATATTTATATTTTATTCTGTTTAATTGCTTTGTAAACTAAACTAAAACTACTAAACAATTTTTTTTTATTCTAGATTTGAAGTTTTCGTGACTGCAAGGATCCATACTCTTTGGGTTTTTTTGGTAAAGTCAGGTAGGTTAAAGAAAAAAGAAAAGAAAAAGAAAAAAAAATTACCCAGTAAGGCCCACTGAGCTCTATAGCTCTTTTTCAAAAGTGACCTGTCCACATATGATAGCCCAATGAAGCGCCCTATCGTGTGGAAATTTACGACAGCCAAATGCTCCAAATACTCTATAAGTGGACCACGAGAAAAAGAATGTGCCAGCTAACTCAAAAACTGAATAAACTGACCAACTAACGAGCCTGGAAATTATCTTGTCGGCCCACCCGCTGAAATGCCACATGCACCATATTGCTGTTGATGCATAGCTAAGCCCATGAGAGGCAGGGGCAGAGCCACTGTGTGGTGTCCAGATGCCCCCACATTTTTAGGTATGGCTAAGAGACACCTACAGAATTTTGGACAAAAATAATGGAATTTTTAAATCTGTCTTTTCTCCCTTTCACAAGGTGTCATAAGTTCTCATTGTCGAGATGGCGTAAGCCTTAAACACATAGACAGTAGTGCACAAACAGTGGGGCTCGGAACGGAGGCGGTAGGCAGCAGTTGTGTTGATTTAATAATCATAATGCAGGACTTTAGAACGCCTCTTTTAGTTGAGGGCAGACTTTGGATCCTATCTGTACATTCATCAATAATCACTGGGAACTATTCACAAAGAGCACACCCAACATTCCAACGTTTGGTTGCATCCCTGACAAGAGGCCATTCTATTGCATTAAATTTGATAGCTAAAGCTTTTTGCGTCCATTAACTTACCCTCAGTCGTATCACCTTCATCTTCGACATCTCCTTTCTGAAATGTCAAGAGGCATTCACTTTGTATTTTGCATAAATACTACACTGTACATTTGAACATCAAATAAAATGTGTTATATATTTTTAAAGGAAACTTCACTTTTAGTGAGTTTTTTATATATATTCGGAGAAAAGAATTGCAACTCAAAAGACTTTCAGTTGATTTCTAGGAAGTTGCTTTTGCTTGAATTAATTATATTTTCTTGGGTAAATAAGTTTTGGAAAATCAACATTATTAAATGGTATACATGTATTTAATTGTACCTTTTGTAGAGGTGCATTCTGAATGCAATACATGACAAACAGGATATACACTGTATATTGTGTATTAATGTAAGTGCTTTGTTTTTCCAATTTATAATTGGAACCCCTGCACGTTTTTATTGTTTCATAAAATAATTTTTCCCCCGAATTTATTCTGACATTGTGATCAGCATCATTTCACCAAACAAAGATGTCTCAAAGAGCAGCACAAGGAGTGCCGCGGTGGCGAGATGTTAACTACCTCACCTGGTATACAGGAGGTCGTGCATTCGATCCCGACCCTGACACCTCTCTATTTGGAGTTGGCGTGTCTCTCTCCCTGTGGTCGCATGGATTTTCTCCGTTTCCTCCGATTTTTCTCTCCACATTTAGAAACATGTATTTAGAGTATATGGGCTGCGATAAATTTGTTGCGGTGGCATGTTTGTGCATTTGTTGGTGACCGGACTGAGACGATCAACTCACTACAGTTGAGGACCCGATTTAATCACAAGCATTCTATGTGGCTGCTGTGTGCATTATATTGGTATGTATCGTTTTATCAGCATCAGGTGTAGGGGAATGAGACAACACATTTCTCACCACATCGGAGTTCAGCCACTTTTCAATGTCGTCCATAAAAGAGGGTTGTGCCAAAGGAATCTGAAAATCAAAAGAATATTTGCATGTTAAACTGCAACACCCTGAAGCCGTTGTATTAAAATAGCAATTACTTGCTTACACCAATACTCTACTGGCAGAAAACTTCCACGAGAGGGAGACATAGAAAGTACCTCCAGAAAGAATTTGACCTACTCTTCCAAGCTGGCCAGACTTCTTGTAAGAGATAGGGGTACCGAAGATCAATAACGACAACAACCGCCATTTGCCACTAAGTGGCGGTGACGTCACCACGACGCTTGTGCCAGGCTATGTGCACATTAAGGCCACGTGAAGTGTCGAACGCCCGTTGTGAGCATCGCTCCTCCACCCTCCGTTGTTGTTGGAGGGCGACTGCCTCCAACTGCCCAGTAGCATCCTTCACGAGCCTTTTCCACAGAGGCCGATCTTGACACCGCTGGTACCAGTCATCGGCAAGTCCACTCAGCTCCACATCCTCCTACACCACATCACTCCATCTCTTCTCTAGCCCGTGCCGCGCCCGTTTAGCCCCCTCGATCCGGCCGAACAAACGCTGTTTAGGCATGCGGTGGCTGGGCATGCGGGCTACATGACCCAGCCAACGCAGCCTTGCCTGCCGGAGGAGCTCACCGATGGGACTTTGTCTAGATCTTTCAAGGATTTGTGAGCTCCTCACACAATCCAGCCTGCAGGCTAAACCACACTCACCCACCACACGCGACTTTCCGATCGACTAACTGTGGTGCACCCATTCGCGCTGATGCCAGAGGCTGCGAGATTTAAGAAAGTTTCCCCGTTATTTCAACTGCCACATTGGGAAATCGAATCGAACTAGCAACCTATGAATTGGAAGTCCAGTGTGCTGGCCATTACATAACGGCAGTAGACTAATTCTTAAACGTGTTTATTGAAAAACAATCCGAATGGAAATGTGATTGTGCTGGACGGCTCACCATGTTCTGGCTGGCTAGCCAGATGTCTATGGGTTCCAAGTGCACAGGAAGAAGCCACTATCAATGTCACACGTGCAGCAGCATGCATTTGGTAGAGAGGGCCCAAATATAGAGAAACAGAGACAGTAAAAAACAGAGACAGATGCAGGAGGGTAGATCAGTCATTGAGCACAGCAGATAAAATTGGTATAAATACTTTTTAATGTTTACTACCTTAACTCTGCGGCTAAATTTTACGTGATAATGAAATACATTTCTCAACAAATATTTTCCAGGTTAGCGAGAGGCATACTGGATGTGGGGTATCGGGTGCAGTAATATTTTCTGGGTAGCTGGAATGATGCCATGTGTCCAAGTATAGAGTCGCGTGTAGTTATACTCCTTCTATCCGTTGGTGATAAGGGCGAACCGATTTGTCGATTCTATTACCTGAATTATACATGGAAATTAATAACTCCTGTTTGCCATGCAGTTATCAGCGGCTACGTGAAAATAGCATAATTCTCAGCTACATCCGATAAAAGAGGCGGATAAAAGGGATCATTTGGCACTTGTGAGGAGGCCACTTGTTGGGGACTCGTCTGCAGATGAACGCAGTTAGCAGAAGGAATTTGCCACCACTTCGGGATGGGTTCTCATATTCTTAGAAATACATAAATAATAGGAAGAATCTGTTCATAGGTAACAGATATGTCCACAGATTTACGCGGGGTGCAGATAATAGAAAATATGGTGTCGGATAAAATTTCCACCATAAAAATGTGATCATCATCAGCTATTTAGATAACTTGTAAAACAAATCATGTATTATGCTGTCACAAACATGACACAGGTTGCAATTGAGAGACGCAGAGAAGCAGTTGAATGTCTGAAGACATTCGATTGAAAATGATGTACCATGATTTATTTGGCAAGGATAAAGGTAACTTTGAATGTGTGGTTACAACTGAAATTCATCCGGATCTTGAGTCCTCACCTGGCTAAACAATCATCTTGAAAGGTCTTTGTACCAAAAACACGCTTAAACAATTAGACACCATCAGCCCTTTTAGTTTATAAAAAAAACATGCTTAAACCTTATTTGGCTGTTCTCAAACCCACGCATGCACACATCTATGTCACCACAGCTCCGATGCAGCAGGCATGTTGCTGAATTGCAGAGGTCTTGCGAAAGCGGGTTGTTTTTTAGCAAGCAGATGCAGGACATAGAGTACTGGGCAGCAACAACAGATGGGTTTCAAATTAATTCGCATCGGAGCTGATCGGAGAGCACAAGACGGTGTAGTGCCAAAACATTTCCACTAACCAAGAATCCTTCAATGTCCACAATATCCCTCTCTCCCTCCCTCTCCCTCCTGCTATTAATCACCCACCCTGCTGAGCCCATCCCCCAGCCCCCTGTCCAGTCCCAGATGCATCCTATCCATCAACTCAGAGCCGCTCCCCCTGCTCTGCCTCACGTCGTCGCTGTTTTCAAGGTGTAGGATATCAGTGAGCGGACCAAATGTCTCGAGTCGTCGCTGGGTCAACACTGATAGAGATGGCACTTGCACAAACTCGTGTTGCAGTTGTAGAATTGTTTTTCTAAGTAGATTATTATTTTCCTACATAGAGTACAGTACTAGAAAATACAATAATCTCACAGAGGGAGCAGTGGTGCAGTGGTTCGCACACTGTGCCGTGAGCCCCGCGACCTGAGTGTGAATCTCAGCCACGCTAATATTGGTGCCGAGTGATATCCGAACTGGTCCTGGTGCCCATTGCGCCCGTCCACTGGCCCACACTGACCAGCGTGGTCACGTGTGTTCAACAACCCCCATCACCGACGTGGCATGGGGATGCCTTCATCCAGCAGTGGAGTGACAAAGGCCCGTGAATTATTTTCGATCGATATTAAATCGTCATTTTTAGTAAAGGTGCCATCAAATTATTATATTCATATTAAATCGTATGCTCGTGATAAGTGCATAGGATGTCACTATCTTCAATGCGTGTATGTGGTACAAAATATGTTTGCTTCACTTCTGCAACCACTAAAAGTGCTGCCAATGACCTCAATGGTAAATACAGAATCGATTACTGAATGGACTGTGACCCTGAATTGTATATTCATCAAATCACTCGTGTGTGGAAGTGCTCGCCGCACCAATAACGTTCATCTATCTGCACGCAGACCGCTTTATGTGACATTTGAGTATTGAGACAGTGTCAACCTGGCGAAGTTAAAATTAATGGCATCTTCTCCATTGTACAGCCATGCAAATTACATTACACATGCAATTAATCTTCATTTAAGTAAAGGGGTTCATATTAACTGGGTCAGTGACTCAGACACTATTAGCACACCCGGCACACCACATCTTTAATATCTCTTCGCTATGGCTGTGGCTGAGAGTCACACGCCTACTCCATCCTACATGCGACCCGAAATATATTTTGTGAGAATTTAAGCCTGGTGTAAGTAGGCCAATAAATAGCATTGCAATAAATTAAGCAGCAAATAAATGTAGTGTGCAAATTTACTGGGCAGCATCACCCGATCTTACCGCTTCAGTCACAGCCTCCAGACGCTCTGCATACACTCTCATGCGTAGGTCCTCTGTGACGCGACTGCATTGCATGGACAAAAACAAATGCCAATTTCCACTCAAGCCACTTGGGAACTTGCAGTCAACTGAAAAAAAACATTAAATGGTACCAATAAAAAAATAAATCTAAAAGTCCTGCTACGTTTCACAAAAGTTACATCTGGAAAGCCCAAACAGCAGAAATGCTGGCATTTTCTTCTCTGCAAATTCAACATGGGTTGGGAAATCATAAAAAGTAATTTGCAAGCTGCTTCAAAACATGTTTGCCTTTGTGCCCCTTGTCGATGGGTATCGCTGGCTCTCCGTGAGCAACTTCTTGCGCGTCCATCGTCCATCGAACTGTCGAGTCGGCGTGGCTTTATTTTTAGATGCCAGAGGAGCTCTCCCTGACGGTCGTCCTGGCATTTGCCGAGACCAGAGAGGGTTCCGAAGGCGCCGTCAGGTTTCCCCGTAGGGTCGCGTTAGGCGAACCCCGGTCGCCGCCGATGTCCGAGGCAGCGTCGCCCTCCTCCAGGGAGACTGCCGAGGCCACCAGAAGCTCCACGGCGTAGTAAACGCCAATGAGCACCACGCAGAGCAACACGAACGGGATGAGCACCTTCACGCTCTTCGGGGCCATTGCGGTGATGCAAAGTGCCACAAGAACATCAGCTCAACTTTCCTTTGTGCTTGAATTCAAAAACTGCTTCGAGTCCAACCAGCGGTCGGCTAGTTTGGACGTCCTCCAGAGTGGCGCGCACCACGCGAGTCTTTTGGTTTCGCTCACGACGTATCAGAAGGCTCGCCGTGACGGCTGATCGCTAATGCAGCTGTGGGTGGGGATGGAGTAGTGGAGGAGGCGTGTGCATGGGGGGGGGGGGGGGGGGGGTATCGCACGGGCGGTGGGTGGCAGTGACATGGGGGCGGGGGGGAGCAGCACCTCTCACGCCAGTGGCATGCCCGTGTCACGCTCTCCCCGCCAAATGCTGCCTGATTGCTACAAAAGTTGATTTGCCAGTGGGCGTGACCTGGGTCAAAGAGTTGGAGAAGAAGTGATGAACTCAGCGATGAACCCTGATGGCACAGCCATACACGGTTGTCCGCAAAGTGCGAACATTATTGCGACTGAAGAAAAATGTCAACATTCAAACCAGGCGATGCAGTTTACCCCACTGGTGAATCAGTGTTATATATTTTGGGTTTTCTACGTACAGTATTTGAGGACTATTGGCCAGCTTGTTTTTCAGTGTAATAATTCTCACATTTTTTTAAAAAGGTTCTTTCCTTTTTTATGTATATCTTTTCTCAAATATCTCCAGTTTCCTCCCACGTGTAAAACACTAAAACTATTAGTGTTTGGAACACATACAGAAGCAAGGCTTTCCTGATTGTCTTCCCACCAAGAAAGAGGCTTTCGAATGTGTAAAGTTAATTGATATGATTGGAATTATGTAAAGTTCACAAAAACCCAACGCTATACTTTTTACTCTTTGGTTCTTTCGGTAAAGTCACTATACTTTTTGTACTTCAGTGTCAATGGAGATGTCTGGAGCTTGGCTTGTGTGCTTGGTTCAATGGGCCTTTTGACAGACTCTCTCTCTCTCCCTGATGCAATAATCATTGCAATGGCTACATGATATTGTAATATATAAATAAGTTCCCATGTAAGACAAACTGTTCCAGTTTTAAATACACAACGCGAATTTAGTTGGGTCCTGGCAAGGGCGATTCTTATGAAATGCAAGTCACTTTCCATTTAAATATATTTTATGTTTATGTTTAACTATCTGATTATTTTCTACAAATATATTTAGCCAAATTTATATTTTTTAGGAGAATTTATAATCACATGGCTGCTGGGGTTTTTTAATTTGTATAAAATTAATGCAGTCAATGTGTGTTGACTGCTAAGATGAATTCTGATGTCTAGTAAACATTAAAAGTACACTGTGCTTGCCACATTGGCAAGCTCAATTTATTGACAAATATGTCCCATAGACACATTGCAATGCATAATAACTGGCATCTGTCCTTGTTTAATAACACAGAATTTCACGAGAGTATTGGCATTGTAGACCGTAGATAAACTGCCATTGAAAAAAATTAAAGGCTTTAACCTTTCTGCCAATAATACAGGAGGTATTAAGCTCTTCAAACACCACATAGACACCTATTGAATGGTATAAAGTCTGCATTAACCACATATCACACTTGTGGTAAAATATGCAAACAAACGTACTTTGATAATGTGTATGCATTGTATTTTAAACTGATTGGCCTACATCAGACACAGCCTCATGGCATCGTCTCACCACCAGTGTTATACCAGAGAATAATGCCAAAAGGTGAACAGCACAAAAGCTATGCAAATATCAAAGAATTATTACTTCGGGTTGAACAGTTCCCACAAGCATGTGTGGTTAATGCAGACTTGACGCCTTGCAAAAGGTGTCTATTTGGTGTTTGAATATCTTAATGGCTCCCGTGTTACTTCCGGAAAGGTTAAAGTCTATTCTTTTTTCATAATCTTGATACCGGCAAAAAGGGTCATGTGGATATAAACTACCGTTCTTGTCTTTTAAATGTGCGCTACTGTTACTTGACTTGCTTGTACTGATTTAATATATTGCCTGTCGTTAGCATCCAATACCCTTTGTGAGGCTCAATACTCCTTTTCAGGAGAGTCCTGAAATGGGATGTTTGGCAAATTCAATTAATTAATGTTTGGCATATGAGAGGATATCAGAATACGTGGAGAAACCCCGCACACGTGAGATAAAGACAATACTAAAAGCTCCACACAGTTGCAGTCCAAGCCTACAACACCTGATATAGCCAGGCTGTCTCTCATCCAATTACGAAGCTGGCTCAATACTGTTCAGTTTCTCACACTTTGGGTACTGAGGGAGATTTGGTCATTGGCCATCTCAGGCTGAACTTACAGCTCTCTGATGAGTTTTTAGATTGTGCCATGCGTTGTTTGGAACGATGTTCGTCGTTTTGCTCTATATGTTGGGAGCTTTTTCAGGAACTGAAGAAATATCGACATAATGCCATACAACTCAAAAACGGATCTGAGAGTTGAACAGCACAATTCTGAAAACCTATGCGGTCATAAGTAAAGATATGATTGGACAGGTCTTGTCTTGTAAATACCTTTTTTGTCCATGCTCATTGCTCACAAAACCAGAAGCCACCAAGAGCAAGTTGGTCATAGTCTGAATGACGATACCTGGCTCCGGCACAGCAATGCAATTGTTTTTCACGTACCTGTGTGCCAGATCATCTGAACAAACGTTGCCATCGTCTGTGGCCACCGATAGCTCCGATTCACCAAGACTTGCCGGTGCTGTGCCAGACGAGTGCTCCCCGGTGCCCACGTGTGCCTGGCAGTATCTGCGTGGAGCAGAATACATCGCAGGAACCCTCAAACACAAATTCCAGCAGTCCGTATGCAATGTCCAGATATCACCCCCTAGGATTTTTGTAACCGTTTAAAATATTTGTTATTTTACCAGGTAAGACCCACTGAGCTATAGTGCTCTTTTTCAGAAGCGACCTGGCCATAAATGATAGCTCAACGAAGTGGCTTATCATGTGTAAATGTATAGCAGTCAAATACTCTAAACACACGTTGATTCTAAATGTGGAGGGAAAAACCAGACGACCTAGAGAAAAATTCAAGCGACCACGGTGAGAACATGTCAACTCCAAATACACAAGTGTCAGAGTTGGAATCGAGCCTACTCCCACTTACATACCAGGCGAGGCAACTAACATCTCGCCACCCCAAAATTAATAGATAAAATGAGTAACAATCTGTGGCAAGACTTATGGAGAGACTGGTCCTTTCCATGCAGTGGCATAGCCATAGAGTGTGTAAGTGTTGCAACTGCATCAGAGTCATGGGCTGGAAGGGTCCAGGTGCCGGGCTACATAGAGGGGGGGTATTGGACAGAGGGTCCCATTTAAATCATGGCCCCAAGACCCATACGAAGCTGTGTGCCATCTCTCACAGTCTTACTATGCAACAAATAACGCAGCAACTGCACGCAAAGCGATTCCATTGCTCCATCTCCTCAGTGGCCATCTTCCCAAGTGTGTTCCCTTCTCGGTAGCTACTCCACCATTAAGTCTCGACCACCGGCCATCAACCAATCGGTGCATCATTTGTATGAATCCTAAATAACCCTTTTCATGTGAGCGGAGGGGATGTGTGGGGCGAGTGGAGGGGACGTGCAGACCTCTCGTGCTGCAGCAACGCGCGGTTGAGTTCGTCGTTCAGTGCCAGCAGCTGCTCCGTCTCCTGCTGCTCCACGCCCTCCGACACCAGCTCGTGCACCCGGCGTCGGAATGTCCCACACCTGGCGGCCAGGGCCTGCGAGGGGGGCATGCGGTGGTGGAGACGGCGATCGAGGCCGGGGTGGTGCGGTGTGGTGCGTGCAGTGTTGACCGCAAGAGGTGGCCAGGTGACTGCGTGGGCGAGTGACCAGTGTGGCCGAGAGCCAGTTTCAATCAGGCCACCGTGATTAAATATTGTTCTCAAGTGTAGCGAAAGTCTCGGCCCATTCACCAATGGCTGCAACAAACACTTGGCTTGCATGATAAATCAGCCTATTCCAGTGCTGAGATTGAACAAATCTCGTTTGCTTGGTGTGTGACAAACACTCTTCGCATGACACATACAGGGAGTGGCCCTCGTGTGCAGACAGTGAGACTGAAGAAGGAGTTCTGTGTTGGCATCGTCTGGGACCATTCTCTTACACAAGGTGGTTCACTGGTCACTGTGAGAGTTCCAAACTGAAATGTCCTTGTCTCGCAACATGACACCATAATTGCAATATAATTGGGGGGGGGGGGGGATTTAAAATAGTAGCCAAACATGGCAGAGAGAGGCACCACAACGTTTTAAGACGTTTCTGAGTTCCAATTGTCGTATCAATTTTATTTTAATTCTGCAAGAAACTTGGTATGTCATAAATGTATACCGTGTATGCAGGGCGACATACGCCCAACTCTCATGTCTTGACGTATACTCAGCTCATCATCTCCGTACCATTCGTGGATAGTCAACAATGATAGTTCTGTTTAACACGTAGGCTTTTGTGATCAATATCATCCATAATACAGGTTTTTTTGTGTTAGATCACGTAAATATAAAGTGTCGTTAAACCCGCCACCACTCGACACAGTCAATTAGTATGGTTTGTCATGTAAACAGAACATGCCAATTCGTGTTAGAGAGCAAAGCCACAACATTTACCATCTGAGTACCTTGCTCCCCATGTAGACCGTTCTACATGGAGACTTGTCCCCTGCCCTGTGAGTTTAAGACGTGCGGTACTCAGGACCCTCAACAGAGACGACTTGCCATTGAAGCTGACAGGTGGATATGTAAGAAAACCGATCACATACACACAAAGACAAAGATCCCCGGAAATTCTTAACAGACTTTGGGGCAAGTGCTGTTCACGAGCGCTCGTGAAAGCCGGCACTGCACACGAGGGGGTGGGTGTCCGGCACCATGCCTGGCTGCCTTTGTCTCATGAGTGGCGATGTTTGCACACCATACCAGGTACCAAGTGAAGCTGAATCAACCTCACGAAAGCCCAGGACCACTTCAGAGAATCGCCACTGTTGTTGACCGTGAGCGGAAATCGAACTCTGGCCGCTGGGTTCATAGCGCAGAGTGCTAACCGCTACACCACCGCTCCCCACACATGCACTTGGACGCACACACGCGTACTGCCACCCACATCCACCTGCAGGTGCTCCCAGCCGGAAGGAGCTAGCGGGACTCCGGGCTGCGTGCTGCGAAGAGCCGCCATGAGGTCGCGTGCCGCCCGCTGAGCCGCCACGATCAGCGGGCGGCCCCGCATCACCCCAATCTGTGGCCACAGCAACCGTTCAGGTGAAGCAATACGCACAACGACCACTCCGTCGCCGCATGATCCCGCCACCCTTACCCAAAAGCCGCCGGGTTTGTAGGCACACATCGAGTCGAGTGAATATTACTTTTGCTTACACACGTGGTGCCTTTCTGGCATGAATCTGCAACACAAAGTTCCATCATTACATTAAAACTCGCCAACATAATAAATACGTGCCACTTCACTGGACATGTGCAAAGGTGCAACCCTGCAATTGCTCGCTCGTGCCACTGCTGCTGGAAGGACTTCCACTTTGAGTTCTCGATGCAATCTACTCTTCCACACTGGGGAGTATCCACACTTTACCCCACCTGTTCATTGTACTATACCCATTTATACTATTGGCTGGCAGAGGCTGGGTGGCGGGTAAGAAACTAGCTCATTGTGTCTACTGCCACAACGGGAGATTGAACCGTTCACCTCTGGATTGCATGCCCGGTGGTGTACTAACCATTACACTGTGGCAGCTTCCTCTGCACATGATGTAGCTAAGCAGGGAGGACTTAATCGAAATGGTGTGTGTCTGTGGCTCACATGGCCATGTGTCTCGTGGGTAGCACGTGAGTGCACGTGTATATGCCAGTCATCTCAGTCAACCCACGACACCTGGGTCTGTCCCGTGACCTCCTGTCGGGGAGCCTTTGACACTTCACATGACCTTAAAGTCCACCTAACCCCCGGCACAAGCGCCGTGGTGATGTCACGGTGACTTTGTGGCGAATGGCGGCTGTTGTGCATGGGTCTCACTGCGCGGGTCTCGTCCACCGGTGGCTGAAGGCCGTCGCTGGGCACGGCCGTGCTGCCCCACGACACTGGGAGGTCGGGCCTGGGGCCACACGGCTGGCTCAGCGTCTCGTCCCAGCTTGGGGTTTCTGTCTCCTGTGCATGGCAGACCGTGTCGCGTATCTCGCCGTCGCATATCAGAATCAGGATCTTATTTATACTGGAGGAATCCGATGAGCTATAAAACTATTTTTCGCAGATGTCCAGTAGGGGCGGGTCAGAAAGTTACAACAAGAAAAAATACAAAAACACGAGAGTGCAAAGTATAGGAAAGCGAAACACATCAGGAGCCCAGACCTCGAGACTTTCCTCTTCTCCTCTGGCTGGGATTGCCGCTTTCGAGTGAGGAATCTATTTTCTCTCTTTGACCAAACTGAACTGTCATCTCCGTTCCTTCACCATGTGGCTCGTTAAGCCCTCCCAAAATAAATACTGCAATAATAAAACCCCTCCTCACTCCCATTTCTTCTCGATGATAATTCTCCTCCTTCTTTGTACGTGTGCACACACACGGGACCTTTAGGTGCATCGTGGTCAATTTGGTCAGAGCTGCTAAATTCTTACAAACACAGCGCAAGGGTATGGGCAGTGTTAATTGGTCAGGGGGCAGATATTGTTGAGCTATCATTTGTGGCCAGGTCGCTTCTGAAAAAGAGCTATATAGCTTAGTGGGCTTTACCTGGCTGGTGAAAACAATTGTTTCGTTTTTTACTCTCTCACAGCCCTACTCTCTCCCAGCCCTACTCTCTCCCAGCCCTACTCTCTCCCAGCCCTACTCTCTCCCTGCTCTACTCTCTCCCAGCCCTACTCTCTCCCAGCTCTACTCTCTCCCTGCTCTACTCTCTCCCAGCCCTACTCTCTCCCAGCCCTACTCTCTCCCAGCTCTACTCTCTCCCTGCTCTACTCTCTCCCAGCCCTACTCTCTCCCAGCTTTACTCTCTCCCTGCTCTACTCTCTGGCATTGAGAGCGACCTAGGAGCAGACACCTGTGCGATGGGAGGAGGGAACTCCACGCCTTTCCTCTTCAGTGCCTCGTACACCTGGGCCACCCCTGTCAGGTCAGCTGAGCTGCGGAAGGCGTCTGCCCATGCCTGACCGACACACACAGACATACAGAATCAGAATCTGTATTTAGACTGGAGGAGGAATCCGATGAGCTATGAAGCTCTTTTTCACAGATGTCCAGGAGGGGCGGGTGGTAGGTAAGTTATAACAACAAACCACACAGAATACACGACAGGAGTGCAAAGTAGAGAAAAGGTAAGCAAGTTACTTAAAAAAAATAATTAGAAATAAAGAAAGTATATTAGTACCAATTGCATAAGTACATAAATTCCTGCAAAATTTTCAACACTAAATGCAAGCTAGGGCAAGGCAGTAAAACAACAAAAACAGTCCCACACCACACCAAGGCAACAACACGCAGTCCCTCAATTTAATTGCACATTAAAATTGAACTATTGACACGGGGGAGGGGCGGGTAAGGATCAAGGTTACAAATCTTATTTGCAAACGGGGCTGCTGCTGCTGCTCTTGTATCGGAGCACTAATCTTCTGCTTCAGGACTGCCTCGGCACCGATCTTCGGCGTCTCCTCAGTGCCCCCCTGGCCGTGCCCACCTGCAGGAGACGTAGCACACGGGCTCGCAGCGCTGGTGTTGGGCAGCTCCTGGGCAGGATGAGCCGCACTAAAGAGCCCTCCACGAAGTCGCGGCTCGCCGCCAGAACGTGGAATCGGTGCCCGCAGTTCTTCATGCAGCTCTCCAGCACCTGGCAGAGCACGCGGGTGCCGGGTTCCAAATACAAGGGCGGTCTGTGATTGGATGTAAATCTGGTCTACAATTTAAATTAACAAAATCTGCAGGGACATTCGTGCCATGTGTTCGGTCTTTTTCCATGAGTCTACAAGCAGAGTTCTCACTTCCCACGCGTGATCGCAGGCCACTCGTAGAGCCGTCCCTAGGGTACGGAGAGTCGGGGCGACCGTCCCGAGTCCCGCGCTTCAGGGGGCCCCGCGCTTCGACGTCACAGCGTCAGACGTAATACTTCCGGTTTAGTTTGAAGGCTTCAGGGGTGACCCACACGGTGAGCTATTCCCCGGGCCCCACACACCCCCTACGGACAGCCCTGCCCACACATGGTGCGCTCGCCATGTGTGCCGACGGCCCAGGGTCAGTGACGCACCGTGAGCGCGAGCATGACCTCCCGGGTATTCTTGTTGGCACCGCCACCCAGACGTCTCTTGAGAGCCCGCAGAGCATCCCTGGGGCTGGGCACGCACACGCACATGGGGCACTGCTCATCGTGCCACAAAGACTAGAAAACAAAGATCAGCCCCCCCAGTAGGGCTTTCCATGGGGGGGGGTGTGGGGTCCCCGGGGCAAATCGCGCTGTGCCCCCCCCCCCCAACACTTTCAAACTAAAGTGGAAGTCAGTTTAACACGTAGGCTTTCGCGACCAATATTATTAATAATAAAGATTTTGGGGTTAGATCACGTTATTTATCAATGTGTTATAACCCTCTACCACCCGACACGGCCAAACAGTAAAAAATGTGTCACGTTTAGTAGTGAATTATTTGTCTTTTGTAAATGTGACACATTTTTTACTGTTTGGCCGTGTCGGGTGGTGGAGGGTTACGACACATTTATAAACAACGTGATCTAACCCAAAAACCTTTATAATGAATAAAGTGGAAGTATTACATCTGACACCGTGATATCGAAGCGCAAAGGCCCCTAAAGCGCGAGGCCCGGGGTGGTCGCCCCGATTCGCCGTACTCTACGGACGGCTCTGATGCCCTGTGTAGCCTTAACAGACTGTTGGGGCAAGTGCTGTTAGCCAGCACCTATGAAGGCCAGCACGGCACACGAGGGGGTGGGTGGCCAGCACCACGCCCGGCCGCCTTTGTCTTCCTTATGGTGTTCACAGCCACAATCACACACAGGAGGAAGCCTTTTATTCTCCAGCAGTGTATTTGGTATCTACGTCTCATGTGGTGTGTGCAAAACCAGTTCAATCTGCCCATTGTTTTCATGGCAGGTGGAAGACCGAGAGGCAGTCCTAGAAGAAACAGTTGGTTCAATGTAATTAACCAGGATGTGAAGGACTACTAAAACTATCAACAATTTTATTTTACCAGGTAAGGCCCATTGAGCTTTCTATCTCATTTTCAGAAGCAACCTGGCCATAAATGATAGCCCAACAATGTGGCTTATCAGGTGGAAATATATATCAGTCATATGCCCTAAATGTTAATTCTAAATGTGGAGGGAAAAACCGGAGGAAACGGATACAAATCCATGTGACCACGGAGAGAGAGATACGCAAACTCCAAATATAGAGGCGTCAGGGTTGGGATCAAACCCACAATCTCCTGTATACCAGGCGAGGTAGTTAACATCTCGCCACTGTGGCGTCTCTGTGGGTGGGTGAATGTGGAGTTGATGGCCTAGGACAGGAATGAGTAAAGACAATCAGGAACACAGACCCCACATGAGTGGGGGAAATGCTAGGAAGAAGAGAAAGCCAGGTCTGGCCAACGTAGCTGCCGACTCGTGTCCTCGGTGACCCCCAGGGAAGCCGGGCTCAGCCATGGCCACATGGGCGGTGCGGGTCAAGGTGGAAGCCATGTGTGCACTGCAGGGCCTTACCCATCCTCCGTCTCGTTGACGATGTCACAGATCTCCAGGATCATGCTCCAGTCTTCGCGTAAGAGCCCGCCATCTGTTGCCTGCTCTACTCCCGACGGCACACGGGACGTACAAACAACCCACAAGATCGCTTTGCCGGCGTTGCACACGGCATTCGGTCTTGCCGCAGCGGTGCTTGGCGTCGATCGCTGTGGCCTGGGGCAGCCGTAGGGCTTGTGGGGGTATTCAGCAGGATCAATGGGTACATGGCCACAATTGACCGGTACGTCGTGTGCGATGGGGTCAAGTGTGGGCATGTCCACCTCTTCCAATAGTCTGACCAGCGTGGAAGAGTTAGGAACATTATCCTCTCGAAGGACTCTGGAGTGGCCTCTTGTGGAAGCCCCTTCTATCAGTGGTGGCGTGACCAAGGAATTGCAGGGCTGTGCCTTTAAGGGTACAGAGAGATGAGATTTCAAGATACTGTAACTTGAACGCGAGGTCAGTGAAACATTTTAGTGTCTCGTTTAAAAAAATATAATCTGTAAATAACAAAATAATTACCGTATTAAACTGAACATTGAGGCAACTGTGGAAGCAAAGCTTGGTGAATCACACAGACTTATTTATAAGGCTCCCAAATCCGCTGGGCTGCAAGCTGGCCAGAATGTGGCAGTATAGCAAGCGGGTTTGTAAACTCATCCATGCAGACCTCGGAGTGCTCTACTCTCAGAGACATTGTTTTTCCAGCTTCTCCAGTTCCCTCCGACAAGAAAAACACCGCCTCTTCATGAGGGATGGGACAAACACCTCCCTGCAGGACCCTAAAAAAAAAGTCACGAGGTCATGGGTTCGATCCCGACCCTGACGACGCCTGCTGCTGCTGTATATTTTGAGTTTGCGTGTGTCTCTCCCCGTGGTCGCGTGGGTTTTTCTCCAGGTACTCCGGTTTTCCCCTCCACATTAAGAATCAACATCATGCGTTTAGAGTATTTGGCTGTTGTTAATTTTCCACCTGAAAAGCCACTTCGTTGAGCTGTCATTTGTGGTCAGGTCGCTTCTGAAAAATAACTTTGTAGCTCAGTGGGCCTTATCTGGTAAAATTAAAAAATAGTGTATAACAGAAGCTTTTCCTAAATGATTACATGATATTTCACGTTTCGTCGTTCCAAAGGGTAATGTAAGGTACAGTGAATCAATAACGGTGTTTATTTTAAATGCAGATACAGATTGGAGCTTTATTTCTAAGCGTCTGACACAGATGCACGATCACACCAGAGAAGGAAACTCCAGATTACCATCGTTGCCCTCACCGCTGGGGAGGGTGCCCTCTGGGCCCACTTGGGCCACAGTCGAGGGATTAATCCCAAGCTAAGCCTTCATTGGTGTTGGCAGAGCTTTAGTCCGCACTCTCTCAGCACCAAGAGGCACAGTGCACTGTATCAGCTGTACAGTAATGCCTTGATATGCGAATATTTGATATGCGCAGTTTCAGTTAAACGAACTTTGGATGTATTACCATTATTTGAATGGGGGAAAAAAGTAAAGTAATACATAAAAACTGAAATGTATAAATAAATAGGAAAACATTTCCATCTACGGTATAATATGAAAAAATAATAAATATATTTATTGAGTGTTGCGTATCGCGATGGCTAATAGAATGTTTGTTTACATTCCGACTCCTCTTCACCTCGATATACAAAGTAGATAAGGCAGACCTGAAACACGGTAGGACAAACACCTCAGCCGTGGCAGATCACTCTTACAATTCAGTGGGCTCACATGACATTGACTTCTCCAAGACAGAGGTTCTCTGCAAGCCATCTGGCTATCATGAGAGATTCGTTCATGAGGCGATCCACATATACAAACACAGACAATTTCAACCGAGAAGATGGATTCTGGCTTAGCAATCATTGGAAGGACGTAATAAACCATTTCGGATCTTAACTGATTGTGTTCACGTTTACGGTGACTTTCAGACCGCGTTCCACTCACTGGCATGGTGCAGTGTGCAGAGTAATGTATGGTGTCGTAATTGTATAGTAAATATATAGCAGTGTGATACACATTAGGGTGGGTAGAATGCAGCAGCAGCAGAAACTGCAGCAGCAGCAGAAACTGCAGCAGCAGCAACTGCAGCAGCAGCAACTGCAGCAGCAGCAGCAAATGCAGCTCCCTTTGATGCTGTTAATTCTGCATAATGCACATGCATATGCAGTACTAATCACATTCCTGCATTTCTCATAAATATGCTAAATTCCTCTTGATATGCAAATTCCTTTGTCAATGCGCCCAGCTTATATATATGCTCCAAGCTCGTGTGCTGTTTCATTCAGACTCTGTCGCCTCGACGGACCTGGTTTTCACCTGAGGACGGCTGCTTGCGTTGTGGCCGAAACGTCGTGAGAATAATTTTATTATGTTTTATTTTTATTATTTTATTACTTCCCTTCTACGTGACTTTACCGAAAGAACCAAGAAGATAGATGAGTTCCTGGAGCTTCGTTCATCAATAGAAAATTCGTTTGTTGAATAACATTTGCACTATGAGGATACGTTTCCCAGACTTCATAACTTACCATTCATATTGTAAACAAATACAATTTATACTGCAAATAATGTTAGATTTTATACCGTACAGTATTCAAATTTAAAACTGCCATGAATAAAATAAGCATAGTGTATTGTAAAGTCTCGACTAATCAGAGCGCAGCAACGCGCTGTGTTACGGAACTATGGTGTTTGGTGGGCAATGCAACCTTGACTGCACCGAAGACGACACTGGTGAATGCGCGATGGATGAGACACGACGCCCGCTGCAACTCCATCAATCGCTGGAAAGTGGCGGGAGCCGTCTGTAAACCCATCGGCAAACAGATGAAATGAAAGAGGCCTTGAGGCGCTCTGAAAGCCGTTTTCGGTCTGGATTCGGCATCTAGTGGTAGCTGCCAGAATCCTACCAAAAGGTCAAGTGTGGAGAAAGTTTTTGCTCCTGTGAGCGCATCCAATGAGTCATCTATGCGCAGGAGCGGGTAGGCGTCTGCCAAGGTAACTTTGTTCAGCTGCCTGAAGTCAACGCAAAACCGCAAGGATCCAGCCGATTTCCTAACCAATACAACCGGTGCCCCCCACGGACTTGAAGATGTCAGACTCCATCATCTCCTGCACTGCCCGCCGCACATGCTCCGTCTTGCTAGGACCCATCCTATAGGCGTTCTGCCGAGCGGGGGGCGCATCGCCCGTATCAATGTGGTGCTCCATCGGCGTCGTGCGACCAGCATCGCAGGGACCCTCACTGAACATGTCTGCGAAGTCACACAACAAAGTCCTGAGCTCCCCCGATTCCTTTGCCAACAGATCAGTGTTCTGTTGCAGGAGCGCGTCTGCATGCATACACATAGAGGCTCTTTGATTATCCCTCGGATAGACACGCGTCTTGAGAAGTCAAAGATGTGGCCAACGAGGGCTAGATGAACGACTGCAGGTCGCACGCGTGTCTCGCTGCTAACGCGCCACTGCCCGTGCGCGGTGTCACCCGATAGCCGCGCCCGTCAATTATGAATGGGCGCTCGCGAACACGACGTCTCGCCCACGACGCTCGCAGTATCCCCGGCGAATAAAGAGATTCAGTCGTGAACGCTTCGCTTTGAATCCGCTTCCGCGCCGTCACACGATGAATGATTGCCGAGGAGCGGAGCTTCCACGTTGCCCGTCGTCGGCAATGCGGACACTGGCGCCACGACGACACGGAGTGGTGAGCGCGCCAGGCTTGCAATGCAGAGGCCACGCGTGCGACCTCCCGGCTCAGCAGTTGAAACAGCCATTTAGTGATACTCATGAAAGCACACTTTACATTTGTAAAGTGACGCATTTCATCCGTAGATCCACACCAATGCACACCGTGTATGAAAAGCAGGAAATAAACAGAACCTGCAGAGTAAACGGCCAGAACTTAAGGGGTGAAGGCCACTTTACGGAGGTGAGTTTTCGAGACGAACTTAAACAGCGCCAACGACTCTGATCGTCTTATCAGCAAAGGCAACGCGCCCCGAGGCTTGGGGCTGCACAGTGGCCAAGGCGCAGCCCAGAAACAGAGAGCCACGGCCTGGGACTCCTGAGCAGGTGATCCGAACATCTCCTGGACCTCGTATTTGGCGCTGCTGCATTGGCAGTGAAGCACAAGTACCACACACAAATGTGCTATGAAGGAGGGGCATTGCTCGAAACGTCGCCTTTGACGTTTTTCTTTTAAGGCGGTGTTGTTGTTGACGAGTGTGTTGAGTTTTTCTCGTTGAAACAATGGGGGTGAGTTTATTCAAATCTCACGCCTCTGTCCACCACCCAGCAGTACAAACCAGTGAAGCACAGTCGTGCGGTGGGAAGAGTAGGCCAAAGATACCCTTCAGTGGGGCTCTCCAGCGCTCCATGTAGGGGAGGTGCGTGTGCCGTCAGTGAGGTGAGCTTCCAGTTATACTGTGCTGTATTACACGGCTTAAACAACTAAAACAAAACTAAAAACAATTTTTATTTTACCAGGTAAGGCCCACTGAGCTGTTTAGCTCTTTTTCAGAAGCGACCTGGCCAGAAATGATCGATAAACGAAGTGGCTTATATTGTGGAAATTTACAGCAGCCAAATACTTTAAACAGCGTGGCATTGCAATTAAATCAACGTCAATTGGCTTCGCAATATCCATTAGCTGCAGCGGTTTCATAATAAAAAATAATGGGGCATTCAACAAAGTGTTCCTCTATATTGCACTGTATCGCCTATCACTGGGTGTGGTTAACGCTTCATAAAATAAACATTCCGGCCCAGAATCACAAATGTGTGAACACAATGGCATATCAAGTGTCTCTTTCTCACAGGAATATTGTATATACATAGACACAGGTGCCCGTTTTGCCTCATGGGTTGTCAGGGCAAGTGCTGTTAGCAAGCATCTCTTGAGGCATGCTTGGCACATCATAAAGAGTGGGGTGCCCAGTGCCACACACGGTCCAAACCACCTTTGTCTTTCCATGACTGATGGTGGCCTGACTTTCAACGAGTCAATCTAGACTCTAGAGGATGCCCAGACCACGTTGAGGACTGGCCCAAGGGCAGGACTCCACTGAACACAGCACTCGGACACTCGGTGCGGTAGAAAGTAAGAATGGGCTGCAGTTAGGAACCACAGGTCCAGGTTTTCCCAGGATCGTAGACGGAATTGATGCCGCCTGTTGTTATTTGTATAACACTGGCACACCACTCACGGCAAGGCATTCACACGTAGTGCTCTCCTCTTCTAGAATTGCGACATATTCTTCTTACTGTAGCTCAGAGGTGGCAACTGGCTGCTGGCGTGAGCTGAACAATGAGCCACAGTGAAGACTGCACTGCTGCTATGGTTGGACAGGTGTGTGCGTGTGTGTGAGCACGCTTACCTATCAGGCGTCCGAGAGGCGTGTTCAGTGGTCGAGGCATCAGCACCTCCATGAAAGACATGCCGCTCGTGTTGGTGCCACCGTTGATGTAGATGCTGCTGCTGCTGCTGTTGATGTTGCTGATGTCGCTGTTGACGATGAGCTTGCTGATATTAATGTGGACTCTGCCGCTGGACCTGATGGCGAAGCTGCCGACTACACCAGCTCTGGGTCACCCATGAGGGGCAGGGCTCAGTGGCCCACGGTAGCTCGGGGGGATTACGGAGCCCCCCACCCCGAGCTCGGGTTGGCTGTGCGAGGGAGGAGGGAGGTTTTGGTCCCTGTCCGCATCACTGCTTGCGTTGCGAGTGGGTGTCACATTTAAACCGCCCTGGACTTTAATTTCCAGAGTAGCTCAAAGCCATTTCGCGTGGATTTTTCGCCGGGTCCTCTGGGGTTTCCCTCCACGTTTAGAATCAATATACGTTTAGAATATTTGGATGATAAAAATGTCCACTTAAGCCACTTCGTTGAGGTATCAATTGTGGCCAGATCGCTTCTGAAAAAGAGCTACATAGTTCAGTGGGCCTGATCTAGCGAAATAAAAACGTTATAGTTACATTTATGTCATAACATTTATAGTAATTTATTAATCTAGGATAGCCTCACCGAATCCCATATCTCTGTTTAAGAGCATCCTGCATTGAGATGTTTGACCAGTTATTTTTTTTCAATCAGCTATCATTTTAAAGTCCACAATTGAGAAGATAACGTTAACCAGTTTGCACGAATGGGTTCACAGACCCATGTACGGCCATCCTGTGGAAACCTCACAAATCAGCAGGCTTGTAAATTTCACTAATCTGTGAGCTCGGTGTGACTGCAACATCATGCAATAATAATACAAACGGTTGTGTTTTAAGTCTATGCTAATGACTCTGGTTGCTTATAGCCCTTGCCATTGCCTCTGGGGTTGCGTTTGTCATAAAAAACGTAAGTGTGAGAAAAATGACATCCATGTGGGCATCCGATGCATTGACGCTGCCACTTAACCTCTGAATTTGAAAAATGTTACCTTCAGACAGCATTGTCATGTCGTAATGTTCTCTTGGTCGGTGTGGGATAGTGTTGCCCCCTCGCATGCGTGGGTTTTCTCCCGCATGTATAATGAAATCTGATTGGCTGAAAACATCTTAATATAGAGAACTGCAGAGCAATTGTTTCTTGGGTAAATTTGGACCCAGACATCTCACTCTTCTTTTATTATAACAAAGCAACAAAACCAAAAACATAACAAAATAATTCAGCCTCCCATTTATTTTCTGTCAAAGCCTTATTACATGTATATATGAACTTCTTTTGCACCGTACGTAGCCAACCGTGCTCACTGGAGGTGCAGTATGTGTGTTGAACTTCATTCGCATCGTACATAGCCAACCGTGCTCACTGGAGGTGCAGCATGTATCTGTGTTGAACTTCTTTTGCACCTTACGTCGCTAACTGTGCTAATCGGAGGTGCAGGGGAAGGATAACAAAACACCAAAATCGGTTCTAAAGAAATTAGTTTTCAATGTCGATGATTTCAAAGTGCATAGCTCCAGTGGCTTCCTAATATTGGAAGGAAGAGGGTTCCAGATGGCTGCAGAAGCGCGTTTGAAAGCATGTAACGCGGTAACCGTCTTTGTCCGATGGCTGAGCCAAAAGCCACTGCTGCAACGATGACCGGAGTTTGTGTGATGGTTTATGCTCCTTGATGACATCAGCAAGGTATTCTACGTGAAGAGGTAAACATCATGAAGCGTGTTAATAGGCCTGCAACGATTCTGCCCCCTCATTATTCGACTGTCAGTACAGCGGGTACGGTTCAATTCAAGAATCTGCGTTTACCAATACGGTGAATGTGGCGCTACTGGCGGTTGCAGACGTCACGCGAATCAATTACATGCGACGTGTGACTCTTAAAGGCCTTTAATGAGTTTGCTTCTAAATATCTCACCACCAATCTGATAAAGTTTTACAATTCACTGCGAAAACGTAGATCTGTTTCTGCTCTCCTACTCATTATGATTCCATAAATACCACGTTGTTGTTCTATGGGAGATGGAGATTTTTGCAGGCAGGCTCCACGATTGTGGAATTCCTTTCCTCCTCGGTTCATGGGAGAATCTGAGTCTGTTACACTTTTTTAATTGTCTCAAAACTCCCTTGTTTGTACAGCAGGCTTTCTCCATACCTCAAGCTTTATGTAAAGCACTTTGAGGCCTGTTGCGACCTGTGCTGCAGAAATCCGAGTTTATTTCTTTTAAAAAGCTATTTTAAAATTCACACTTCGCAGTATGTGTACCAGGAGCAAAAAGGTGTCGTAGTGGCGAGATGTTAACGACCTCGCCTGGAATGCAGGTCTTGGGTTCGATCCCGACCCCGACGCCCGCTGTACATTGGAGTTTGCAAATTGTCCCTGTGGTCACGTGGATTTTTAGCCAGGTCCTCCGGTTTTTCCCTCCACATTTAGAATCAACGTGCGTTTAATGTCTTTGGCTGCAATAAATTTCCGCACGATAAACCACTTCGTTGAGCTATCATTTATGGCCAGGTCGCTTCTGAAAGAGCTAATAGCTCAGTGAGCCTTACCTGGTAAAATTTAAATAGTTATAGTAAAGACTCTTATTGTAATCTGTGAATCGATGCATCATTGCAAGCCTATGGTCGACACACCGATGCTTTGCACGCCACGGGGGGGAAGCTTCTTTGGGCCCCCCAGTCACGACTCGTTGGCCAGCAGCTTGTGCTTGAAGACGGCGTTCTCGCAGCTCAGGCACACGAAGAGGGCGCCGGCGGCCGTGCGAGCCCGCACCTGCAGGATGTCCAAGTCGTGGGCCCACTCGACGTTGCCCCAGCGCGCGATCTGCGCGCCACGCAGAGCGTCACGCCGCGCGACGGCACCCGCGGTGAACACGACGCCTGCGCCCGCGACTCAAAGCCTACAACCAAACCGCCCGGCGTGTGGCGATCTCGGAAGATCGTCAAAAGCAAGCAGGCTTGAGCCGCTTGGATTGATGGTGCTTGGATGGGCGACCACGATGCGTAAAGAGAGGTTGTCATTGTGCTGCTGCTGCTGCTGCTGCGAAGCTACGATGTGGGCAGTAGGGGGCAGTGCCGCAACCGTTGGATCAATTCACCCAGTTTTCAAAAGAGTAAATCCCTAATGGCAATACAATCAAATACTCAAGTTGTTCACAATTGGACTATCTTTTAGTGAAGTTAAAATACAACCCCCCCCCCCTCATTGCAGATGGGCAGAGCTAATGCATGAACGATTTGAACCTCATTTGGAAAGTGTTAATTAGGGCCGGAGCTGCTTTCAGCATGAAAAGCAGACTGTGTCAAGCGCTCAGCAGTGTCTAGGGTGCAAGCACGCCGGGAGACGAGGACAATACCTGGAACTCCTCCTCCAGGCGAGAGAGCAGCACGGCTTCCTCCACATTCAAGTGTCGATCAACTAGCGCCAGGGTCAGGACCAAAGACTTCAGCTGCATCACTACGTACTCCAGGCCTGCACACGCGTGCACGACAGTGGTCACAGGTTAGAGCCAATGGAGTGAAAATTACGCATTATTGTGATTAGAACACTGCACTTCTGCAAATGATGAGAAACTAAACAGACAGAAAAGTGCGTGCACGCTGCAAACAAATGATACACACTAAAGGCTATTTATAGATGCCAAAATGAGTGATTGTGATCAATTAATTGGTTCTCCCATCATGCCTAGCATGTCCTGTGACATCGACATACCGAATAAATGAAATGCAGTCTTGTTTCAGACCACCAACTCAAATGAGTAAAGGTTTGTGGCCATATAGCGGGTAGCAGAAGCATAACTCTGTGCTTTGCGTGCATCACATCGAGTGTCGAACGCTCATCAACCCAGCTCGCCCGGCTGTGGTCGATGAAAGGAGGGCCAAATTGCCTCGTGGTCTGGGTCACTTTGGGTGCCAATACCGATGAGGGCCCAGGCGTTGTACGACAGCAGGTGCTGGTTCAGCGTGTTGCGCGTCTCCTGCGGGATTTCTGGCCCCATGATGCTGGTGGAGGATCCAATGGTGACGCCGTACCTGTCAAAGGAATGATTGCAAAGGACATCTAGACCTCGGTTTACATGGAGGACGAAAACTAGTCAGCTCGAATGCAGCTGCCCTAATTTCTCCCAGAATTAAAATGATATGGATGACTCGAGTTTGTTTAAAAAAAACAAAGTGTTTCCATGATTTCCGAGTTTCTCGAGGTATAACACGAGTTGGGCAGGGCTGTCCCCAAATCTATATTTCTGCCGAGCCTGATTTCCCATGTAAAATTCATCTCAGTGCGAGAAGCCAAATCATCCCGGAGAATTCTGCTCCTGCCTCAATTGGTTATCTAAAAACACGGAAAAAATATAACACGCGGAAATGGGTAACGGGGAGAGCACAACTCACGTATGCACTTCAGTTCTGTGGAGTTGGGTACAATCTTAGAACACAAGCAAGCTGCAAAAAATGTTTTTTTTCAGCTTTTCGCATGAATGTTGAACCGTGAGAACGTTATGCGTGTTTTGGCCTGCCTCTCTGATCCGCTGGCAATAGCACTGAACCCTAAATCAGAATATTTTTTTATCAGAAGGCCGAAGGTGACTCACCGCTCCTCGGCCCACGAGAGCACCGGGTCCCACTCTCCCTGCTGCAGGCTCACCAACGCGGGCGGTTCCTCCATGCGGTAGCTGTGACGACCACACACGTCCCATTAGGGCTGGCCTCGCCGATTATCAAGCAATCGATTACTGAACATTGGCTCCATGACTCGACGAACACGTGAATAGTTGGAGAATCAAAATGTCTTCCCTCGGTTCCCATGTGTGGCGCTGGACGGGAGGTGGTGATGTACAGGACTTAGTGACATCATTATCATCAGCCGTGCTAATAGGGGGTTCCCTGCCTTCAAGAGGCACAATGTAGATAGAGATGGTCGTAAGTTTTTAAGGGGCCCAAGTAATCGACCAAAAAAAGAGCAGTCGATTACAATTACAGTTGTACAGCGAGAAAGTAGCACACAAGCTTCGAAGTAAGCCCCACTGAGCTACGTAGCTCTTTTTAAGAAGTGACCTGACCACAAATGATAGCCCAACGAAGTGGCTTATGTGGAAATGTATTGCAGCCAAATTCTGTAAACGCACATTTCTAAATGTGGAGGGAAAAACCTGAGGACTCGGAGAAAAATCCACGTGACCACGGGGAGAACATGGACAGTCCAAATATACAGGCGTACGGGTCGGGATCGAATCCACAACCTCATGGACACCTGGCGAGGTAGTTAACATCTCGGTGCAGTGTGCTGCGTGTGGAAAACATTTCCAAGTTGCCAACCTGTGCGGGAGTGGGAGGGGGGGAAAGGAGGGGGGGCGCCTCACCAGATGGTGTCGGTGTCGAGGTATTTGAGTGCGGCGGAGGCCAACTGCTCCGGCGCTCGGTGGGTCGGGTTGTCCAGGGCCGTGTTGCACAGCGTCGTCTGCACACGCCGGCGAGAGATGGCGCGTCGTTCCGTCGCAATCGTTACGTCACTTTTCTGCGTGTGCACGTGCAGCCCATTTGTCAATCCACTGCCAGATTTCAATCCACAGTCGGATCGGAACTTGCTCACGCCGTGAAGGCAGCGAAGGATATTTAGCAACTGCTCCAAATGCAGTTGCAAGCCAGCTTAGCTCCCGAGATTGGATCGGATCAGGCGCTCCCCAGGTGATTTAGTCAGAGGCATATCACATTGCCTTTTATTATAAAACGTTTCCTATCAATACATCACGGTATTTTTCTTACAGGCCTTTGTTAATCCGCGTGCCAAATGAAAACCTGTCCACGCTGTATGAGTCATGAGGATGATTTGACCACGACTTAACGAAACCGAATGGCATCAATGGGAGGAGCGGCGCACACATGATGTGCGACGTCATCACATTGGCCGGAAAGGCTTATCCATTTATCCCCAAGTCTTGAGCAACCCTTTCATCAATGTGGCTGGTGTTCTCCAGGGTAAGTCTCTATTAGCTATACAACTTTATGCAAGCGTTTTATTCACGTTAGATCTTCTTTATGAGAAGAATAATAATCGCACGTTGCAGACAAAAAGATGGTACAGCTAAAGTATTTACACTGTCAACCTTGGGTTGAACAGCGATATCGACATCCCCGGCTGATTTTAGGAGGAGCAGCAGCGTTGAGCGCTGATGCACCACTCACCAGGTGCATGCTGTGCATCTGGATGACGGTCTTCTGCATGTCCCACTCGGTGGCCACGGCGACAGCCAAACCCTCGCTGGGCACGGCGAACAGCTTCCCCTGCGGTGTGCGCAGCTTGCGGCGGTCCAGGTTCACCTCAAACATGCCGCCTGTTGGGACGCACGCGCCTCTCCGTCGGTGGGTGGGTGCAGCGTTGCACCATCAAGGGCACGGCAAATCCTCGCTCAGCGCGCGGTGTTCACACTACAACGTGCTTTCGCTATTATAATAATAACACGGTTCTTCCATTAGGAACACTTTTCGCGCATCGTTATAACACGGAACGCGGACCGTTATAACTTCGTTTCCGAGCGGTTGACGACGAACTACTTTCCTGAGCTGCACGGCTGACAAGCGGTACAGTGATACAGTACACGGAATCATACAGTAACGCGGCGGCGTACCCTCAGTTATTTCTCTCAGCATATCACTGTGTGCATATTACATCCTATCTCACTAAAGTTTATTGTTACATTATTTATGGCGATTATTGTTTTTGCTGAACGCGGCACTTTTCAGGAACGCATCTACCGCTGTTGATGCATCTTGCTGGTGATGCCCCCAGGGTCTGGAATGCTACGCCAATAAACTGCAACTTGGATCAATAGCGTTTACACATTTCCCACACTCGTAATGTTGTTTTTTTTCCTTTGAGTTATTTCAATCTCGAGAAATGTCATTGCGTCCGACGCTGTCACGAGATTTAATGTAAATCAGTTCCACGTTAAAAAAAAGTTTGTAAATGAAGTTGAAGGGTAACTCGTCAAAGATGTGGGACCAATATGGTGAGTTCCAAGTTCGTGGTCAATGCCGACCTCATGGGTTCGCTCTACAATGGAAGGGACCCAGACATTGCCATTCGTGGTGATCTCCCACATCCGACTGGACCGACACTGGCTTCCAACCGAGCTCCGTGCACGGCCCAAACTCAAGTTGCTTAATTCACAAAGCACGCTTTCAAGCACGCTTTCAGCAACTGCCTCGACATTTGACCTTTAAACTGCAGCTTTACAACTCTTGTTCTAAGAGTTGGACGGCCTCACGCGCCGTGACCGCGCCCCTCCAGAGCCCTCGGAGTTGGAGCGCTCTGCCTCAACATCTGCGCCTGGTCGCTGAAGTTATCCCATTTAGAAACTAAAATCCGACTTATTTCCTCGGATATTTGAAATAAACTAGAGATTGTTTTTGTTGCCCTAGTTCGGCGCTCTGAAACCCTTTGGTTGTGTCTGCTACGCATTATAAAAAGTGTACACAATCATCATCGTCATCATAGTCTAATGATGCATGGCACTGGTGGCACTGCCGTTTTGTAATGGTAGTTACCTTCCCCGTGTGTTATCGACACATCGTTGTAAACGCGTTTCTTTTCTGCAAGAGACACAACAGCACATGTCGACTGCATTAATACTAAATGTTACACATCTGCTCAACCGAGGGACATAAAGCACTGTGATAGATTGAGGTGCATTCGCCCGTGAGCTGTCTCGGCCAACGTGATCCCGCAGCAGTGGTTTGACAGGGTAGCTGATGGGCGAGCGGCGACGACGAGGAGATGGAAGCTGATTATCGTGGCTCTCGAGTCTGTGAGTACCAGGAGGAGCCTGCGCCGGTACTCGGGGCGCAGCCCAGACAAGCTGCGCAGCGGACGAGGACCCCGTGGTGCGATGACTGGCGCCATGGCCCACACCAACCGCGCTGCGCCACGGGCATCGATCTCTGAGCCTCCCTCATCTCACCTCGGAAGAAGCGGCGCGACTCCCGCCGCGGTGCGATCGCCCCCGAGAGGAGGAGGCTGCCGGGGCTGCCGCTGCAGCCGCAGCTGCGGGACGCGGCGCTGAAGACCTGCAACGCGCCCTTGAGCATCGTCGTCGTCGTCGTGCCGCTCTGGGGGTGACGGCAGCTGCGGCGGCGAGGGGGCACGGCACGCGTCGACCCAGCGGGGCGCGTGCGGGGAGACGCAGCGATGGAACGAGCTCAGGCTGCAGGCAGCAGGCGGGTTGCCAGCAGTGGGCTGCCCGTCCAGGCCGGCGCTGCTGACGAGGAGGCGCAAGCAGCGGATAGAGCACCGCACGCTCCACGTGCCGCCCACCCGCTGCGGTCGAGGGGTCGAGAGGGGTCGCGGCGGAGAGCGCCCGGGGTCGTCGCGGCGGCCATGTTTGTAAGGGATGCTCGTGGCGACGCGCATCCCGGAGCGGTGGCCGTCGTCATCACAGTGCGACTCTTTGCTCCGCGTACGCAATATCTTGTTCCCTGACCAATATGGCGGCGAGTTTGACTCGATCGCGTTTACATGACGCCGGGCGTACCCCGACGCGCACCACGTGGGGTGCACGTCGGCCAATCGGCAGCCGCGTTGTTTTGCAAGGAGGAAGGAGGCGGAGAGCGGCGGCGGCGTTGGGCGTGAGGCGAGAAACGCGCGGGGCGCTCCAGCGACAACAACAACAAGACAACAACAACAAGGCAACGACAACAACAACAAGACAAACAACGAGAAGCCACAGCGAGATGCGAGCGCGGCGGTGGCTGGCGCGGTCGCGTTAGGAGGAGGAGGCGCCGGCGATGGGCGAGGAGGCGCCGCCGCCTCCGCCGCTGTGGGCCGCGCAGCCCGGCGCCGTGGCGGGCCTCCTGTACAGCGGCGCGCGCTTCCGCGGGCAGCAGAAGAGCAAGGGCAAGTCGTACGACGTGGAGGTCGTGCTGCAGGTCAGTGCCGCTCGCGTGACCCGCGAGGAGGAGGAGGAGGCGGGACCCCCCTCCTGCTGCACCTCGCGTGCCGCGTGGGGAAGGCCGCGGGGCTGTTGGCGGCAGCTCTCGCGTGGGGAACGGCGGCCTCCCTCGGGCGACGGCGGCGATTTAAGTCGGAGGGGAGGCGGAGGGGGCAGCCGAGGTAGGAGAGCTGCTGCCACAGTGAGGGGTCGACCCGGCCAGAACGGGAACCGGCATCTGCGTTGGGGTGGCAGGAGATGAGCTGTACCGGGCATTGTGTTACACTTTGATGCTGGACACTGCGCGGGTTTGGCGACACCGACGGCTGAGAAGCGCGTCCCGGCTTGGGCTGTGGGCGGGGGGGTCCCAGGCTGAGTTGTCTCGTGGAGCGCGCCCTGGGGTTGTGTTGGATGCGGCCCAGCGCGCTGAGCCTCACCCTCCCCAGATCATTCCTGCACCGTGGAGACGGAGCAATGATATCGGCGGGTGGTGCAGTAGCAGGTGCTGTGCGGATTCTTACGTTGCAGGGTAGTGCAGCAGCTTGGGGAAGATATTAATGCAGCAGTGGGTTGATCATGACGAACCAGGATCAAGGGGGACCCACAGACGAGTGCAATGGAGCAGTCGGTGTTGCTTATTTTGAGTAGACGGAAGTAAATGTAAACAAAGTGTAAGTTTAACTTGCTTTAAAGTTAATAATGCACTCGGCAAAATGAAGTTAAGTAACAATTTCTACTGCACAAAGATGTTGCACAGTTGTGTGGAATGCTACCCCCATGGGAGCAGGGTGTGGGCCAGAATCAGGAAGAATCTGATGAGCCATGCATCTCTTTTTCACAGATGTCCTCCAGTCAGGGCGGGTGGTCAGCAAGTTACAACAACAAACACAATGCACAAACAAACGATAGGAGTGCAAAATAGAGAAAATGTAAGCAAGTCACTCTAAATAAAAAAAGTGCATTATTACGAATTGTACAAGTATATAAATCCCTTCCAATTTTTCAAGCTTGGACAAGGCAGCAAAACAACCACTGCATTCCCAGACCACACCAAGACAACACTCAATAAAATTACCTCAATCCCTCAATGAAGTTACACATTAAAGTTGAACTATCGATACACGGATGAGGATCAAAGTTTCAAATCACATTGGCAAATGTGGTTGTATTCAGCACTAATCTTCAGCTACAGTATATGTTTAAAGGAAGATTTACAATGTTAAGGTGCTATAATAATGCACTTTGTCAATTTAGTGTTCTCACAAACGGACTTGACTTTTGGACAACCTCATATGCCAATTGGGCCAATCGAAACACCATCGGCTAACGGTGCTGCTGCTGCTGCTGTGTGCGCCGTGTGTGTCGTGTGTGTCGCCAATCCCTTGCAGCACGTGGACATGGAGAGCGCCTTCCTGTGCGGCTACCTCAAGATCAAGGGGTTGACGGAGGTGAGGCTGCCTTGGTCTGGCAGACCCTTCGTGCAGTTTGTCAATTTACAATGCGTGCAGCATAATTGTGTCTATGCGTGGCACATTATTGCTTAATCTTGACTCGTTGGGTGTGTATAGTTTAACGAATTGTTACACGTTTACTTATTGAACTTACCTTCGTAGTGCACTGATTGATTACTGCTGCTGTTGTAACCTTGCTGCAATATTTATTATTTGATTTCATGCATTTCAAATTTCCGACTCGGCACTTTTGAGATTAAACTTTGCGGCTCTGCTGCCACGCCTTGGCCAAATTAAACAAAGTACTGCATGTACAACATTGCCGATTGTGATTAGTTATGACGGGTTATTATTAAATGTGTATGGCCTCAACAAAATTCTCCCAAGACAGTCACAACTTCACAAAAGAATAATAATAAACATGTAAGTCTCACGACCACCGATGTCTCAGACAGCACAATTCTGCACAATGTGCGTGTCATCTGTCTGTGTGTGTGTGAAGGAGTACCCGGAGCTGACGACGTTTTTTGACGGTGAAATAATCAGCCCAAAGCGCCCGTTCCTCACAAGGAAGTGGGATGCCGATGAGGACGTGGATCGCAAGCACTGGGTACGGCAGCAGAATCCTGACGACAGGGGGTAGCACAGCGCAGGGGACTGCACGGCCTTGGGCAGCTCGTGGGAGGGCCACTTGTCATCGCAATAAAACGAATATCTCTCGCTCCACTGCATTTATACGATGCGGCTACTCAGGGCTACTCATCATGTTTGTGGTAAAACATGCAAACAAAAGTGCTTTGATAATGTATGCATTGTCTTTGGAACTGATTGGCCTACACCTCCTTTATGACCTTGTCTCACCAGTGTTAGACCAGAGAATGCCAAAAAGGCGAACAGCACAAAGGCAATGCCAATATCAAAAGACAATGCATACATGATGAAGGCATGTTTGTTTGTATGTATGTATGCATGTATGTTTTACCATAAGTATGATGTGTGGTTAATGCATACATGATGAAGGCATGTTTGTTTTTATGTTTGTTTTACCACAAGTATGATGTCTGGTTAATGCAGACTTGATGAAGGCATGTTTGTTTTTATGTATGTTTTACCACAAGTATGATGTCTGGTTAATGCAGACTTGATGAAGGCATGTTTGTTTTTATGTATGTTTTACCACAAGTATGATGTCTGGTTAATGCAGACTTGACGCATTGCAATAGGTGTCTATTTGGTGTTTGAAAATATTAACACCTCCTGTATTATTGCCAGAATGGGTGACGCCTATTCTTTTTGTCATCTTATTGAGTGACTTTTACATGAACAGTACAGGAAATCTAGATTTGAAGCTTTCGTGACTGCAGGAATCCATACTCTTTGGTTCTTTCGGTAAAGTCACGTAGGTAGAAAATTAATAGATCGCGACGTTTCGATCGCAACACAAGCGACCGTCTTCAGGTGAGAGAGAGAAAGCTACTGGAACAAGGTCTTGTGTAGGCCTGAGATAGGTGCAGCCTCAGGGTGAGAGGGCGGGGCTCGAGATGGTCTCCCTGAGGCTGTGTAAGTGGCCATTGTATTGTATGTCGATGCATCGATGACTTGCCTATGTCACTGCATCGGTGGCTGAGTGAGTAGGACATCCAGCCTGTCAATACAAAGACATCCAACCTAATAATGCAACTCGGAGAGTCAGCTAAATTTCGCAGGAAGGATGGAAACATCACAGCAGGTTAAGACTGTACCTGGTTAATCACGTCCTTCCAATGATTGCTCAATTTGTACCCATCTTCTTGGTTGAAGTTGTGTCCGTGTTTATATATCTGGATGGCTTCATGAACAAATCTCTAATGATAGCCAGTGGGTTTGCAAAGTACCTTCGTCTTGGAAAAATCAATATTGTGTGTGCCCACAGCGTTAAAACAATGATTCGTAACGGCAGATGTATTGGTCCTACCGTGCCTCAGATTTGCCTTGTGTTGGCGAACACGGTCCGAGACATGTCGTTTCGTTTCCCCAATGTAACTGCTGCCGCAGCCACAACTTAGTTTATAGACACCAGGATATTGCATGTCAGGAATCACATCCTTTACAGATGGGATTAAATCACGGATTTTATGTACTGTGTTGAAACGAACCTGGATCTTGTGTTTGTTTAAGATTTTGGAAATCTTTTTGGTAACCCCTGCTATGTATGGCAAGGTGATGGTTTTGATTGGGTACTCGGATGGTTGTCTCCCCATGGCTGGGGAGACAGCTTTACGGATTGTACGGTCAGAATATCCATTCATCCTGAGGGCTTGGTGTACGTGCTCCAGCTCACTGGCTAGGTGGTGCTGGTCGGAGATGCAATGGGCCCTATGGTGTAGTGTTTTGATGAGGGAATTATTCTGGGCTGGATGGTGGTGGGAGTCAGGTTTTAGATAGGCATCCGTGTGGGTGGCTTTCCTGTAGACAGAATGTCCCAACGAGGCATCAGGTCTCTTCTCGATCAAAACATCCAGGAAAGGTAACTTGCCATCCTTTTCCACTTCCATGGTGAATTTGATGGCTGGGTGTATGGAATTGATGTGGTTGAAAAATTGGTTTAGTGCTGGCTGGCCATGTGGCCAGATGACGAACGTGTCATCTACGTATCTCTTCCACAAGGAAGGATGTAGGGTGGATGTGTGGATGGCATCTGTCTCAAATTTCTCCATGAAAACATTCGCGACCACTGGCGATCAGGGAGAACCCATTTGGGTACAGTAAATGTGTAATCTGTCAACCGAGTCAAATGATTACGTGTCCGCCTACTCTATTGGCATCGTGTATTGGCCATGGCTGGTCCCGGCGGGAGTGCAGAGGGTTCGAGTTCTGTGTCATGCAGGGCTGTGGGCATTGATCTACTCAACGCATTATTTTGTAAAATGTGATTAAATCCGAACGCAGCACTGGCACTGACATGACAATTAAGTTAACTTCAATTCCACTTAAGCTGTGTGATGATTATCAGTTCTGTTGATGGCTGTTTTGAACAAAAAAAACTGGTATGCGATGTCTGACAATTACCAATTTCCCTGTTGTACTCCAGGGAAAGTTTCTTTCTTTCTACCAGTTTGCCAAAGTGTTCAACTCGGACGATTTCGACTACCAGGAGCTTCAGATTAGCGACTTTGTCTTCATGCGATGGAAGGTACTGAAGATAATTTTCCAACAGTTTACTCTAAACACTAAGCAACCGGGTACCAAATGTTTTCAATGTGCTCATTCTTCAATATGCTCATTACTGGATACCTACAATTGGCTACGTACAGGAATTGGAAGTTGGCATGGCTCTGTGGTGTTGTTAGGTGCTGTTTCCAGAATAAATGTGTCTTTATTAGGTCGCAATTTTACCTTGGCTGTGAATGTCAACATATATTAAGGAAATAAATGTAGAAAATGAAAGATATCTTTAATACATAAAGTAGCCCTAATAAATAAAATTGGAGATTTATCAAAAGTTTGCAGTGGAGAAGAATTTCTGGGTTTTATGATCTTTAAAAATTGCTTTAAAAATAATGATACGGACATCGGACGCATATCTTGGGCTGTCCAACATGAGTTTGAAGCTTTCGGAAGGAGAAACATCCGATTTAAAGTTATGCTCAGGAGAGCTGTGATGTTACTGCAAGACGCTGTCACCAAACTAAAGGTTGTCACCATGGTGCTCTTAATTTATTTCTGTTAAAAAGTAGTGACGCTTCATAATCAGAATCTGTATTTGGACAGGGGGAATGCAATGATCTTTGAAGCTTTTTCACAGATATCTTGTGTTGGACAGTCCGAGACAAACAGCCTCCGTTTGTGGATACGCGATGAGATGTCATTTCTATTGGGTTGTCTCTACTTTTAACACTTTGTTGACTGTAACTTTGGGACCCCGCTGTGCGCAATTTAACAGGAACACTTCCTGGTACCGGACCACACAATCCGGGACATCAACGGGGCATCGTTTGCTGGCTTCTATTACATCTGTTTACAGAAATCCACCGCCTCCATCGAGGGATACTACTTCCACAAGAGTTCAGAGTGGTGAGGCCTCCGGAAGCTGGAGAACACTGTATAGGGCAACGTGGTGGCTTGGAGATGTTAACTCCCTCGCCTGGTATGCAGGGGGTCGTGGGTTCGATCCCGACCCTGACGCCTGCTGCTGTGTATTTGGAGTTTGCATGTTTTCACCGTGGTCGTGTGGATTTTCCTCCCGGGTCCCCCACATTTTGAAACGTGCGTTTCAAGTCTTTGGCTGCTGTTAATTTTCACATGATAAGCCACCTCATTGAGCTATCATTTATAGCCAGGTTGAAATCACTCGTCCGGGAGTGTATTGACTAAATAATAACTCATTATTTAGACTGGAGGGGGAATTTGTTGAGCTATGAAGCTCTTTTTAACAGATGTCCAACAAGGGCCAGCTGAGCAAGTTACAACGACAACCAAACCCCAAAATAAAACGATAGTAGTGAAATATAGAGATAAGCAAGTCATGAAAAATGAATGAAGTAAGTACAGAAGTATGTAAATTCTTGCCATTTTTTTAAACACTTAAATGAAAGTTTGTGCAAGGCAGCAAAACAACAACACTCCCAGATCACACCAAGACAACTCGCAGTCCCTCTATTAAATGACACATTAAAATTGAACGATCGATACATGGGGAGTAAGGATCAGTGACATCACATTGGCAAATGTGGTTATATCCGCCACCAAAAGGGGCTGTACGCAACGTACGAGCGAGTGTCAAGTAACGGTTGCGTGGTGCATCCGCAGGTACCAATCTCTGAACCTGACTCACGTGCCGGAGCGCAGCATCGCCATCTACATGTTCCGGTAGCAGAGGAGGACGCCGCTGACCCTCTCGGGTACTCGCGTGCCGTGCCACGCAGTCCAGCGGGCAAATGGGTCGGGCAGGACCCCCCCCCCCCACTGAGAGCGCGCGGGTGGCACCGTGCCCACCACCCGTCCTTGCTCGCTTCCAGGAATTAAGTGCTCCCCCTCCGATGAGACTCCTGTCGAATGAACGACTGATGAGGGAGCGGCGGAGTGGCTCCGAGTGGTGCTGAAGAGCGAGGATAAATCGAAGCCTTTGAACCCGACTCTCTGGGAGAGGTTTCCCTCAATGTCATGGCGACGTGCTGCATGGAGACTGGCCTTTGGTGCTGTGCTACGTGCGTGCGTTGGCGTGTGTTCTCTGATGAGAAGTGGGCAATAATTTAAAAGGCCTTTAACGTTTGTTAAATCTTGGATTCTTATTTAAATGAGTTTTGTCAGGCTGCACGAGATTGTTTTGAATACTAAATGCTCAGGCTGAATGACGATGCGCCCCAATCCTCTGGTGCTGGCTTTTATCTGCAACGCTACCAACCCCCTCATGGTGGAACTTGGGGCTGTAGGGGTCTTTTCAAGCAAGAGTGAGACCTCTGGGGCCCACGAAGGAATGGAAGCGTACTTTTTGTACCCAACCATTTCAGGACTGTTGAGTGCGTCATCCCCAAACCGTGCTGGATTTGACCATTGAGGGTAACTGGCTCCTTGTGGAATTGTTTACAGTGGTCCTCGGTTGTGGCATCTTCTCTGTCGCGCGACAACCTCGTGCGATACGTCCACTCATAACCCACGCGCCGCAGCTGTCCGCATTCACCTTGCCGTGGCTTGGCTGGGCGCATGCCCTACCCCATAGGGCACCCTTGGCGAGCTGGTGGTTACAGAGTGGAGTGGTGGGCGGGCTTGTCGCGTGACATGTTGCTGCAGGGAGAGTGTAACGGGAGAGCCGTGCCATTTTGAGTTGAAGCAGGCTCCCTGTAACCCCAGGGGCTGGGCGTGTACGTGTAGCAAGCGGGTTTCATTTATTGCAGGTCTTATAACCACCCCCTACCACCCCACATGCCAGTTGTGTCCAATCTCCTAATCGGCAATTGGCTGTTTAATGCAAGAACTTATTTTGGAGACACGGCCTTAGGGCATCGCTAACAAACCCCTAGAAGGTGGCTCTGATGGAAATTGTGAGCCGACCCGTGGAGAATTGTCATGCTGTGCGTACATCTCCCTGCAGTGTGTTCGCAAGGGAAGATAAAGTAATGGAGCTGCGGTGGATACCAGAATAGTGCGGATGCACCCTGTCGCCGCAGCAGTGTTCTTACTTGCACCCAACACCTGCGGCGTGCACCGCTTTCGTTCGAGGTGCTTTTGCCGCTCGTGCCATTTATTTGCGAATGCAAAATGAGGAGAGATAGAATCTCGCGTTGGGTGACAAATTTCGAAAAATTTCGTAAATGACTGAGACTCGCGTAAAACGCCACTCAGAGTGGATGCGTGTGGCTGAATTCACGGTGAGTTTTACTTTTTATTCGAGCAAAGAATTAAATGATCCCTCTGTGAATGGTAACCATGCCTAACGGCTGATGGAAGCAAGGACATTGAAACAACAGTCATTTAGAACCTAAAGACAAACATTGCCTAAGGGGTTTAAACAGAACAAATCTTTGCATTTGTAATCATTATCCTCGGGCAGTGTGGCTTTTATTAGGCGGTAGTTATTTCTTGTTTCGGCCAACATTGCTCGTAATTTCTCCCTCAAATAACACCAAGAATGCATATTGTGGCAGTGAGCAGGTTGATTCACGACCATGATTGCACCTGTTTGGCTGATCGTAAGTTTTTGATTGAACAAGAAATGTGAATGTGGATCGGAGGGCTCTGGGTCGAGTACGCAGGTTTGTTGGGCTGTCATCGGTATCCCAAAAAACTCAGTTGACCGTGGGCTGAGCACATTGCGTAACGCCCGTGAATGTGTCATTGTGTGCATGTCAACCATGAGATTCTGAACAGCTTGTTACAGATACTCTGTGTATATTTGTATGATTTTTTTACTCGAGTGAGAAAACAGGGATCCCTCGATTTAGGAAAGCAGTGCGTTCTTAAAAAAAAACGCTAAAACTACATTTCGTAAATCGGAATGGCTTTTCCCATTAATTTAATACTCAAGATTAGGCATGTGTTTCGGACAGTCATTCCAGCCCTACTCTTAGCCTAAAAATATACACGACCTATATCACTAATAAAGGACATACATATTAAAACGATTGAATAATATTCTTGAATAATAATTAAAAAAAAATAATTAACCTCTCGCCAAAAGATGACCGGCGAGGCGCTGTGGAGGCGTTGCTGCCGCTGCTGCTGCCGCTGCTGCTGCCGCCGCCGCTGCTGCTGCCGCCGCTGCTGCTGCCGCACCGCAGGCGCACCGTGACGCTGCCGCGGGTCGATGACGACGCAGCATGCCACGTCGCTTCTCTTTTGATCTCACGGCGAGCGCCGTAGTGAAATTCCATTCAATAATTTGGCAATTGCATTCACACAAAATTTCGTAAAGATACCGTTCGTAAATCGAGGGATGGCTCTCCTGGAACTCAACGTTATCTTCATATGCATTACAGTCAACACTTGGGCTTTGGCTTTCAAACACTGCTTTTCAAAAAACCATGTTTTTCTTGGACTTCATCACAATGTTCCAAGTTTTATCATTTTGGTAACTCGTGGACATTTCATCGGCCGCATGATTATTGCGCGCGCACGTGTACGAGATTTGAAAAAATATATATATTGGGTGGTGATTCTGTTATGTTATTTTTTATGGGATAAGTAATGTTTGTCAGTGGTAATTGAGTGGCATGTCACAATGCTGCTAGATAACAATGACACTGTCATCTTACTCACGAAGAGTGCATCGGTTTCCAAACACGAGGAAAGCCGAGCATGCATTCTATAACTTACCTCGGGATTTTGGTGACGATCAAATGGAACATTGCGCTGCAGTCCTGTAGTCAAGCCTTCGTTTGCAGTTTATTCTTATACATTTTTGTGCTTGCTCTGCGTATATTTATTTTGGGGCCTATGTGCAAAAGAAATGTATTTATTTTGCTTATAATGCACTTGGTTTTGCTTGTCTGGAACATTTAAAGTATAATGATGGCAAATGGAAGAGTGTCCGCCAAAAGCTAGCAACATGCTAGAGAAAGTCAGATCAACCGTGGATTGGTGACGAACCAAAAACAACATTGGCAGGTGGAAGTTATCGTTCTAAGATGGTCCAAGAAGTGTGGCTGTGAACTGGGTGTTCTAATGAAATCGGTTACCTAGAAGTGCAGAGGTCCACTATTGGGAAAGGGTACACGGGTAGATTGTGTTCTCAACATCAGGTGAGTGGGTATATGTACTGTGCCATAAAAATTGGAACAAATTTAAACATTGAAAACTGAACTCCCGAAATTTTAAATGTAAACTGTGCAAAGCGATGATGGCTTATTGTTAGCTGGGTTTCCACGCTGTGCAGATTATAAATTACGTTGACAGCCGTAATTGGAAATAACGAGGTTTAGTTCAGACAATGGATGTAACAGGCACCACGCCCCTGAATGAGTGGTGTTTGAAGGACACGCGTACGTGGAATCCCTGTGAAGTGAATCTTTGGCGTCTTATGATTGGTAATCTTTAAAAAAATATACAGTATATGGGCAGTGTTGCGGACTGACAACGCAGTTGTGGTGCTGCAAAGTGACTTGCATTGCATTCAGTTACCTCAAATGGGAACGCTGCTCTCGCGAGCTTTGCAGGAACAGTATTGGCTCGGTGTGCCATGTATCGGACGAGGTAACTACCCTCCTTGCTCGGTGACAGCAGGAGCCCGGTCTGCACGTGCTGGTGCATTCATGTTCGGACTGTGCCATACAATTGTGAAGAGTTGACTGCTGCAGCTTTGATACATTTCTAGATGTTTGTTTTTGTGCACATTGGGTAAATGCTGCACGTATCCCTAGTTTCCATACTCATCACTACCATCACACTACAGCCTTCTTTGTCCAACATGCAATTCTCTGAAAATGCATTGTGCAGCGTTGGACTGTCAGTTCACAGTCGTTATGGGCACATAAAAAAAATCAAAGTTACTTGTGAATTCAGTAAAAGAAGTGAATTCCCAAAACAAATTATCATGTGCAGCGCATTGTGGTCTTTATTAATTAACATAACAATGGAAGTGAGCTGTGTGGATGGAAAACACTCATGGTTTCCAATGTCGAGCACTCCGTTAATCAGCCGCGCTCCGTTCCTCGGAGCTAACGAGCATCTCCCATGTCGCTTGTTTGAAGTGCCAGATTGATCAACATTGGATTTCCATTGCATTTGATTTACTCTTGCTGTTTGATGTCAAGACTGAGTTGCATTCTACCGTGTGGGGTGATTAAAACATGCCGTAAATAATGTATAATTTATTAAACAGCATTGGCACTTTTTGCAATATTGATACGTTTTATGTGTTCAATATTTTGGGTGTTGAAATGTAACATGAATGTGGAAAGCACTCCTGATGAGCACACTAATAATGCTATGTATGTAACACTTTTTATATTTATATATAAATGTATGCCTTGGGTAGTTGAGGTTGCAGTCCATTGTAAATGGTGAATTCTGCAGTGGGGGTACTGACATCTTTGCTATATATAAATTATTAAAATTTCCCCACCATTTATATTCTTGATATACGGAGCGTGACGTTTTCGTTATGACTACCAGGGAGGCGGAATGGTAACGCAGTGAGAATATGATGTTAATTAATTTGCTTTGCTAATGTTACTTTCCTGCTTGAATGGAAAATGTCGCTGATGTTTATTATTTTTTCACTGCCTGTATCGAGCTTCACGCCACTTTTTGCAACAATGTTATTGTAACACGATGCATGGCGATCACTCCCCGCTTTGTGCATGCCGTGTCGTTAAGTCCACTTTTACACTTGCTTCCCTGCCCTTTTCTCCACAGTAACAAGGATCAAAATTCCTAAAGGTTCTCATCTATAATTCGGTGGAGCAAGGGGCCCAAAGACAAGATTTAGTGATGTTCAAAAGCAGGCTGAAGGGACGTTGACCCAGGGCAGGCAAAGTTGGTGCTCCAGTGACGATGGAGGCATTGCCATGGGCGATGCACCCAGGATCGCCAAAAGGTGTTGTGCTTACGGCCCTCCTGAGGCCCTCTGCGATGCGAGGGCTGGGGGGGACAAACGATCACCCCCCCCCCCCTCTTTATGGGCATCGCATGAGCCATCTCACGCCGGGCAGATTGCTCTTTTGGATCTTTAGGCTCCACATAACAGCGTGTGGCGTGAATCGTTCACGCCAACGCAATGGCAGGCCCCTTGGTTCATGTCTGCAATCACCTTACCACGGGGAGATGGTGAGTGTTCACTCGATGGGCCGACGTATTGGAATTCTGTCCAGAATCGAGGCAATTAAATCGCTTTGAGAGTTTTCTTCAGACGTTTTCTGTGGCCTGCGCATCAGTGAGGTTGCTGTGTATCAAACATCGATTTTAGTCATTTAGTCTTCAGGGCCGTTGGAGCTTGACTGTTTCCTTAACCATTGATGTATTGCAGTGTCTTTCCACTTTTATCCGTCAATCACTGCATCTTTCAACCAAGGTAGATTCCATGCAGTCCGATGTTTGACATCCATTCAGACGATGGGCCACCTCCCCCAGCCCTGGTGATTGCCCCCTCCACCACGACGATAATTGGAGGTTGACGACTGTGTTGTTCACCGTACAGAGTACGTTGGAACTCTACGCAAGCCTCTATTTTGTGTTGCAGTTTACCACATTCTATTGCTTGGCATGTTTTAATTATGCATGCAGTTGTATCCGTCTCTATCATGCACGAATCACATTTTGTTTTTTAAGAAGTGCTTCCACATGTCTCCGTTGATTTGCAAGACTGGTTTCTTGTGGTGGATTTTGCGGAAACCAAAACTGCCCGATAAATTATGGCATAGACATCTCCCATGTCATTGATGGTATAGAGCCAGAATAACAACAAACCACTCTACATGTCCTGCCACTTATGAAGTGTGTACGTGTGCACATATAGGTATACTGATTCCAGCGAATTCATACAAATCTACATACATCTATGAAGAGGGTAACATCTTGTTTCGACACAGTCATGTCCACAATGAGTTATGTATGTTAACTTTCTTTTGTGTAACCAGAGACTGGGATTGTCTATTTTGCAAGATTAACCTGGGGCATTATTCTGCCAGTAGGGATCAATGATTGCTGTGTTACATTAGGTATATTTATATCCTGACGCTGACACACAATGGCTTACATTTGTGAAAGCCATTGGAGGATCTTTAACATCTGCTGTGAAACTGACGACGCATACTATGTCATGGTTATTACAGCCGCAGTAAAAATAAGGACAGCCACTGGCTGTGTTCAGTGGAAGCAGGGTACGTGGTTTACAATGCTTAACTTTACATCTGCCAGTCCGGTCTTTGTAGCATTGCTCTCATTGTGGTAGGTTAGCCAGTTCATATCCCAGCAGGGGGTTAATCATCATCATTAATCTTAACTATCAACTTGACAATCTCACCGTCATCATCATGATCACCATACAAGTGGTGCGTCATGAGCTTCATAAAAGTGTTCCATCAGCATCTTCACAATTCATACAATTTCATCATCCTACGCAAGGGTTGGGCAGTATTCGCAATACGAGGCACTTTTTCACCTTGTATATTAATAGGTTAGGTGTGTGACCAGATTTTGATAACTTTATTGACATCGAGTACAAGTTTGGAGTGTGTCTTTCCGGAGCATCTTATAAACTGGAGATTATAGGGATCACCGTCATTATAAGTCATCACGAGCCCACATACGAGTGTTGTATTGTCTTGATCCATCTCCAGGGTTGGATTAATAAGCATCTATAGGCTGGTCCAGAAGTCGTGTAACCCCTAATTAATTGACCTCTAACATGGTTATCCCGTTGCATATTCTTTTCTGTTTTAAATAAACCTTTAATAAATATTACGTTAGATAATTACGAGGGGGGGGGGGGCACAAGACATGGACCACCCTGTACGATGATTGTTTGATTAAGAGGGATCGATCCTTGCCCTTACAATGTAGAATTTCCGTTGCCGATTCACAGATGCCAGCAGAAGATACAGCATGAAGCGGAGATGCATTTCCATTGAAAGGATTCTGTCGAGGTGCGGTAGTCGAGGCATGCACGACACAAACACCACGCAGAGGGCAATCCCTCCATGCAAGCGGCACTGCTGCCTCCTGCCCACGGACTGAAAACCAAAAGTTCAAAGTTGCGTGCGGAATATTCTACAAGAGTACAGGAGACTCATTCTGTAAGATGACGACAAGCTGCAGAAATTCAAACTCACCTGACTAGAAACTTGTTTGTATGCAACCAAGTTAGGCCCACTGCACTCTGTCGCTCTTTTGCAGAAGCGACCTGGTCACAAATGATAGCTCAACAGGCTTCTGTGGAAATGTTTAGCAACCAAACACTCTAAACGTGTGGTGTTGATTCTAAATGGGGGCGGGGGGGGGGACTGAAGGACCCGGAGAAAAATCCGCGCGACCACCGTGTGGACATGCAAACTCCAAATACACAGCGGCAGGCGTCAGGATCGAACCCACGACCCGCACACCAGGCGAGGGAGTTAACATCTCGTCACCTCTAGAGAGTTATACACGTTTCGTTACACTGGCGAACACCTTTTAGAAGCCATATTTGTATATTGTACAACATTTTTTAGGGCTTAAAACATTAATAAAGGAGTAAACTCGCTACATAGTGTCGAGTGTGATGCCGCCGCGCTATGTAAGTTGTACATATATAAATAGATATAGTATAACTTTGACACGTTTTTATACCAAAGGCATGCAGATTGCGTGCGCTTAAGTGAGAACATATGGTCGGGCACCGTAGCGCTGTCCACACGCGTGTCTCGAATGTGACGGGATGTGGGCACGCGGGTTACCCGAGTTGTTTCAATGTGCTGTGTTTCACACGTCCCGTGCATGATTGCTGTAGGCGAGTGTTTTGCACGTCTTAAAGGCTTGTAAATAAAGAGTGTTCACCAATGCCCGTTCGTCAGTCTCAAATGGTCTGTGACCACGTCAGCCTCTGCGGACAGAGCGAGCGAATGAGCTCTGGATGCGCCCCATCTCCTCAAGTCTCGCAAGCCAAGCAGATCGAAGCCTGGGTCTTGTTTGGATGGGTGACCAACATGCAGGGGGGATGCGTTGTGGGAATCGGAGGGCAGTGCAGATAGAATATTGTACCGTGCACAACTTCGCTGTTCTCACGTTCTGTGTTTTGTGTGCGTACATCGTATCTCGCCAAGCCTTCTCCTTACATTATACATGGGGATTGTTTTGCTCGCTTAAAGCGGCACTTAGCAGGAACACATCTCCCGCGTTAAACGAGGACTTACTGTATTTTGCTACACGGTCCCCTTTTGATAACATGCTGTGCACTGTGGGTCACCCATCGCAGCATCACCCAGGCTCAAAATCTGCTTGGCTTCCGAGATGTTATGTTTCGACGCATTTCGGGTGATTTGTTCAAAGTCGTAGTAGCTGCAGTTTGGAGGCTAGATACGATTACTGTTGTACTGTAATATGCAGGTATCAACTCATGGCCCCTAAAATGTGCTTGAGCTGCTGCCGAATTTTCCGAATACGGCTCCGTGCCTTGGGGAGCAGACAACCAACATCGTGGCTGGATGAGGACCACAGCTTCACGTGATGCGAGTGCTACGGTCCCACGCACAGTCCGCCTTGAGCTGCGTGTTCAGTATGACCAAGTACCCGTCCGTCATCCAGCCGTGGATCGAAACACGGCCTCTTCGTGTGTATGCATGTTTGTCTTATACCCCCCCCCCCCCACACACACAGGGATACAGAAAGAAGAGCCGGTAACCTCTGCCTTGGCATTAACTAAAAACCTTCCAGTCGCGAGCCGAGTGCTTCTACAAAGGTGCCAGCAACATCACCTGTTTAGTAATCTACATAGGCAGCCACGGCTATAGCATAAGCCAGCGTTTACTGATTTGAGTTATGGGTTGTTTGTGTAACGGGATCTCTGCCTCTATCGGGACCGCATTCATGCCACGTGATTGATGTGCCCTCCGTGGAGGCGCACCTGAGATACTCCCACGAGCTCCCCCCCCCCCCCCCCCATGTTCTAAATGTGCTGTAGGCGTCACTTCACGAGACGAAGATTGACCATGCGCATCTCTCGCAGAGCAGTTCAACCCATTACAGCACTGGATTAGAGAACGACCCACGGAAGCGGATATCATAGAACTACCCCTGAGAGCCATTCAATTGCCCTCAAGGTCCCCATGACAGTCAACCCGATATTTTAATTTCAGAGCTGATTTTTGCCCCAAATTCAGTGCATTAACAGTTGTAATTGTTTGTTGTGTGGTAGGGTTTGTATACGATCATGTGTGACGTAGCTGAGACATTTGAGATGTTTTTTTGGTAACCACTCACCCCCGTACCTCATCATGCGTCACCTTGCACTGCTCTTCTGTCGCAGTCGTTACGCTGGTCTCTCTGGAACCGCCTGAACCCAGACAATCGCCTCCGCCTCTGTTGTGTTCCGCCCACACCCTCACACGCCTCCCGGCCGGACTCTGTGAGGGTGGTAGATTAGTGCGTGCGCGTGTGCATCCGTGTGTCCACGTGCGTGTGTGTGAGTTTAAGTTCGCTTGCGAGAGCCGCGGGCAGGGTGGGTCACGCACGGGCGAAGCGCGTTAAGTCGCTGTGCAGCACTCTGTGTGGGAGCAACAACTTGGAGGCTGTGGGTGAGTGAGGTGCATTCACACCTGTACGGAACACATACACCTGTACAGCATCACACACCTGTACAGACCACAGACACACACCTGTACAGACCACACACACCTGTACAGACCACACACACACCTGTATGGATTACAGCCAAATGTCTCCCGTATAGCCTTACCAGACTGTTTTTTTGTTTGCATTCTGACCACAAGCATTGGGGTTAATGCAGACATGATTCCTTGTAAAAAGTTTTCAGGTTGGTGTTTTAACATCTTAATACCTACTTTGTTGCCATAAAAAAGGGGAAACCCCTATTATCACTGCCCATAGACTCAATACTACCCATAAACAATGCTCCTTCAGGCACATTGGTATGCCAAAAGCACTTAAAAATCTGAAATCGTTAAAATTTGTTACATTTATGTGCATGAAATTGTTGTCCTCGAATCAATTCTGTTCTGACGATCCAGTGTCCAGGTCCTATCAAGTTCGCCTTTTCCTTGAGGAAAGTACACATTGGCCGCCGGAACTTGATTGAAATCCGTCCAGAAAAGAAGACGACAAAAACCATGTCCACCACCTCCAACATCTCCTGGGTCACGTCACTCGATCCCAACCGCACCGCGTGGGCCAACCACAGCGAGAGGGGCAACGCCTCCGAAGTGCTCGGGCCTTGCTCGAACGCTTCTCTTTATTTCACGGCCACCTGGGACATTTTCACCTCGGCCACGCCCGTACTCATCCTGACCGCCTTTGCCCTGGGCCTCGTGCTCAACCTGGCCGTCCTGCTGGTCTACGCGCTGCACCGCGGCGCCCAGACAGTGGCCGACGTCTACGTGACGAACCTCACGGTGGCCGAGCTGCTGCTCGTCGTGAACCTGCCCTTCTGGGCCACCGCCGTGAAGCGGGGCCTCAGCTGGCCCTTCGGCGACTTCATGTGCCGCGCCACCAACGCGGTGCTGTACGTGAACAAGTACGCCAGCGTCTTCTTCTTGACGGCCGTCAGCCTGGACCAGCACCAGGTCATCTGCAAGACCATGCAGTCCCACGCGAAGCGCCGCGTGTCGCGTGTACGCCTCAGGTGCGTTGTGCCAGTCACGTCAGACGGATTCCATCCACTCCAAGGAAATTCACTACACGCCACGGATTCCATCCACTCGCAGGAGATGCACCAAACACCACGGATTTCATAAACTCACGAGATGCACCACACACCATGCTGTGCCAATTAAGTGCCCTGTGCGTGATCATTCTCATCCTAATCCCAGCCGTGCCAGCCATCCAGTTGCTCTCACTTGCATTGTACGCTCCTTCTCGCCCTCTCTGTTCACAATCCCAGCTGTCTCTGTCTGCCCCCCCCCCATCCTCCTTGTGCTCTATCACCATTCTCTTCTTTCTCGCTTTTGGCCCCCTGACGCTGGAACTGCCCCTACACGTCAACCAGCCTTACTGTCTCTTTCCTTTTTCCCTTACGTGACAACCCTTACTAGTTGGCTGTGTCGAGTGTTGGCAGGTTTTAACGACACATTTATATATTTACGTGATCTAACCCAAAAAACTCTATTATGGATCACTCAGTTTCCCTCGCTTACCCCAACTCTCCTTCCCCATCCCTAACTCTATCCCTCTTCCCAACTTCCCTACCCATCCATAACACTCACTCGCTCGTCACCAACCACTCACTGTCGTGTTCATCATCGTTTGTTCTACGCATCATCATCATATCCATCACGCACGACCATCCTTCTCATCAACTTATCTCATCACACTATTCTGCTGTACAAATAGTTAACTCTTTGTTCAGCGCCCTAGTCAGGGCGCAATATCAATGAAAGATGACACTCCTGAGCCACCTCCGCTGCCTCTCGTCCTTGACGGCTCCCCGCGCGTCTCGCCCCCCCCCCCCCCCCCCCCAGGTGCGTCGCCTTGTGGCTCTGCTCCCTGCTGCTCAGCCTCCCCGTGGTCATCTTCCGCAACGTGCGGCCCTTACCCGAGAACGGCCTCCCCGCGGTGTGCCTCCTCGACTACCCGAGCCCCACCTGGAACGTCGTCAACAGGATCCTCTTGGACGTCCTGGGCTTCGTGCTTCCCTTCGCCACGATCGGCGTGTGCGGCTTCCGAATTCGGAGGAGCCTCCTGCGCTCTCGGGTGTCGACGCGGTCCGGCGGGGAGCTGGTCGCGTCGGGGGCACGCGACCAGGAGAGGAGCCGCGCCATCGCGGCCATCTCCATCGTGGTCGTGGGCTTCTTCGTCTGCTGGTTCCCCTTCCACTTCAACAGCTGCTGCGGTTGGCTCCTCAAGACCGACGTGCTGGCCGACAAATGTTGGTGGAAGTTGCTGTGGAACCTGTGCAGCCAGATAAGCACCTACTTCGGATTCCTCAACAGCTGCATCAACCCTGCGCTGTACTTCACGGCGAGCAGGGCCTTCCAGCGCAAGGCGCTCCAGGTGCTTCGCTGCAGGCGAGACCAAGCGTCCACTTCCTCGAGCATCGCCTCGAAGTCCAGGAGCAGGGCTGAGCACGCGAGTGTGGGCCACACGTCCTCGCAAGCGTCCTCCTCCATGTGACGATGTTCATTGGTGCGCAGACGCTGTGGCCAGATTTAACTTCCTTTTATTCGAGAGATTTGGGAGGGAGTGGGGTCAAGGCCGTAATTATAATATATATTGGGGGGGGGGGGGAGATACACCCCCCCCCCCCAGATACATGTAATGTAATACACTATTAGACATTATTGTAAAAAAAAAAGTCAATCCTATGTGTTAGTGAATTTTAAAATATTTTTGACAGGAAATTCGTTTTCAAATTTAGATTTTTTTTCTGGGGGGGGGGGGACCCCAGACCCCCTGGAAGATTTGGTCCCCCCCAATGGCTACGTCCTTGGGTGAGGTGGATTTGTTTGCTCACAATCGTATATCCAAAATGTGTTATCGTGTCGTACAATGAGATGAGACGTCCAGAGGAAACTCTGAAAGGGCAGTGCGTCACCGGTGTGTGTGGAAGACGGCCCGCCAGAGGTTATATCCCAGACTTTCGTCTGAGAACCCTGTTAGCAGAGACGTGCGGTCAGGGGAGGCAGGGGAGGATAGAGCCTCACCTGTCATACTCCAATGAAAATAGCTGTTACGAAAAGTAAAAAAGAAAAATCAAATAAAATTAATATTAAGATTTTTCCACTGATCTGTGTTATAACTGTAATTTCTGTACGATTCCAATCATTTTTATAGTCAAAATCGCCAAATTTGCGGAGCTCTGCTGCAAATACAGGAAGAGACGAGAGGTGAGGCAGCAACGAGCTCAGCCTCCCCTCTGATTGTGCAACTCCTCAGTAACTGGATGGAGCGCGGGCAATAAGCGCGTGCCTGTTACTATCTCAGTGTGTCACCAATGTAATGTTTGTAGACCCCTTCATTTCATGTCATCGCCTTCCATACTCCAGGTAACTTATTTCAAGTATGTGTATGAAGAAATTTAGGCTCGCTGGTCTCGTCATGAAACTGCAATGAAAAAGCACCAGGGGAGGCAACTGTCACATCTGCCTCACTGAAGGGGACGTCAGGGAGGCCACGCCCCCTCCGTGAGGTCACGCCCCCTCCGTGAGGTCACGCCCCCTCCGTGAGGCCACGCCCCCTCCGTGAGGCCACGCCCCCCTCAGTGTGTGAATCTGGCTCTGACACTTGCCAATGCCACCCCAGTCATTGACCTCACCGCATGTCACTTGCCTGTTAGTGTATGTATGTTGAACTTTTTAGCACCGTACGTAGCTAACCGTGCTAAGCGGAGGTGCTACACTTTCACACTCGGAGATATATTCGTTGCATGGCAGGCAGACTTCTGGAAAATTTGCCTAATTCAATAAAACAATCGTTTGTGCAGAATTGCTGATGAGGACATCAACTCACCACCATACACGAGATCCTGGTTTAATCGCTGGTGACTAGAATCCAGATTTAAACTCAGGATCTCAGCGGTGCTGGCTCAACGGTCTGAGCTGAGCCATGCGGCTATCACGAAACTATTCGTGTTTTTTTACTTTAAACATGCAAGAGCTGCGTGGTTCAGGGTTCAGCGCATTGAGCCGACAACCTCTGGGAACCTGGGTTGTTCCAATCTGGTGTTTAGGCGCCAGAGGTTAAACCAGGTTGTCCAGTGTGGCGAGAAGATAGTTTATCTAATCACTACACAACAAAACTCCACACTTCGAGACATGCGTTTAGAGTATTTGGCTGCGATAAATGTCCACGTTATAAGCCACTTCGTTGATCGATCATTTGTGGGCAGGTCGCTTCTGAAAAAGAGCTATACAGCTCAATGAGCCTTACCTAGTAACATTTTTATTATAGTTGTAACTGTCGTATCCCGCCAAACATTATCGTCATTACATTATTTATTGTTTTCGCTTAACGCGTTTTTCACTTAATGCGGCACTTTTCAGGAACGCATCTCCTACCGCGTTATTCAAACCTGCTTAGCTTCTGAAATCTGACGAGAGCAGACGCATGCACGGGTGATGTTGTAGGTTTGCAAACATGTAAACAAGCCTCATAGACAGGCTTTGAAGTGTTACCCTGTGTATTGGCTATCAACATAAAATGTAAAATGTTGCCTTTTAAGTTATGTACGTTAACCTTTGGATTTGTTGTACAGTCTATGCATAATTTTATTTAACGTGTGCACTGATTTTGCGAATAAGTTTAACAATATAGGTGGACTGCATTTTTATTGAACTGTGTAATTGCCACGTTATTTAACGCCTATATACAAGCTAAAGAAGCCCAAGATGGGCTCCGGATATATAATTCACCATAGTACTACTGTACATGTGCTTATATATGTACTCACTATATTATACTCTGAATAAACTATTGCATGGAATCATTGTATACGCGACTGAATGGTATATTAACACTATCATGGGATATAGAACATGTATTAGTGATCGCATAAAATGTTGAAGGTACATTATTGCTATTTCCAAACAATAAGTACGGTACACAGTGCCAGGTTATTACTTCTTTGGCGTGTTTGTATTTTCCCACAATTCGATTCCACATCTGCCTCATGTGACGAGGAATCCATTCGGACCTCTCTGACAGCGCGTTATGGACTTGGTTGACGATATTATTCATGGATTATGGTGAGTGCCTAAAAACCACATTGTATGCTTACGTTCTATTTACAGTACTCTCCCAGTACACAGAATGTCGTGGGATCGATCCTAGACCCTTACAATGCCTGCTGCTGTATATTTGGAGTTTGCGTGTCTCTCTCCCCGTGGTCGCGTGGACTTTTCTTCGGGGCCTCCGGTTTTCCCCTGCACATTTAGAAATATGCTTTTAGAGTATTTGACTGCTATACATTTCCACAAAAAGCAACTTCGTTGAACTATCATTTGAGGCCAGGTTGATTCTGAAAAAGAGCGACATGGCTAAGTGGGGGCCTTACCTGCTAAAATAAAAATGGTTAATCCCCCGCTGGTCTTCGCACCTTATCGGTTCACACTGATTACATCACCTTTTGTCTATTTAAGACCAGAACAGGAAGACTTTTTTTTACCTACGTGACTTTACCGAAAAAACCTAAGAATACGTTCAAAACTCGTGGTGGATCCCAGCCGCCCTCAGCATCCGCGTGACGCCTGCCGGGTGTAGCTGCGACTCATCCCCAAGTCCCACCGTGCCCGTGTGGCGCCGTGAGTTTGTCTGCGAGGTGAGTGGTCGTTCAGTTGGTCGATTCAGCCCCCTTCGCCCGCTCGGCCGAGCCCGAGAGAGTGGCACGTCGCGAAGGGTGGGAGACGAGAGGCGAGGCGCTACCCGTGGGGTGTTCGCCGGGGGCCATAAACAGGAGTTCACTATTCGCGCCGGGAATAAAACCTTGGTACAGACGGATGTTTGACGCGTTGTGCGTGTGTGTGATATAACTCAGTGTGTGTGTGTGATATAACTCAGTGTGTGTGTGTGATATAACTCAGTGTGTGTGTGTGATATAACTCAGTGTGTGTGTGTGATATAACTCAGTGTGTGTGTGTGATATAACTCAGTGTGTGTGTGTGATATAACTCAGTGTGTGTGTGTGATATAACTCAGTGTGTGTGTGTGTGTGATATAACTCAGTGTGTGTGTGTGTGTGATATAACTCAGTGTGTGTGTGTGTGTGTGATATAACTCAGTGTGTGTGTGTGATATAACTCAGTGTGTGTGTGTGATATAACTCAGTGTGTGTGTGTGATATAACTCAGTGTGTGTGTGATATCAATCAGTGTGTGTGTGATATCAATCAGTGTGTGTGTGTGATATCAATCAGTGTGTGTGTGTGTGATATGAATCAGTGTGTGTGTGTGTGATATCAATCAGTGTGTGTGTGTGATATAACTCAGTTGTGTGTGTGATATCAATCAGTGTGTGTGTGTGTGATATCAATCAGTGTGTGTGTGTGATATGAATGAGTGTGTGTGTGTGACTGGCGTGCATATTAAAATATAAACGTTCGCCCGCGCCGGCGCGTGTACGTGCGAGAGCCGCAGTATTGACGGGAGACACGCGCGTGTATCGCGCAGAGAGAATCAGTGGGTGGGTGTCGCGCAGAGAGAATCAGTGGGTGGGTATCGCGCAGAGAGAATCAGTGGGTGGGTGTCGCGCAAAGAGAATCAGTGGGTGGGTATCGCGCAGAGAGAATCAGTGGGTGGGTGTCGCGCAGAGAGAATCAGTGGGTGGGTATCGCGCAGAGAGAATCAGTGGGTGGGTGTCGCGCAGAGAGAATCAGTGGGTAGGTATCGCGCAGAGAGAATCAGTGGGTGGGTGTCGCGCAGAGAGAATCAGTGGGTGGGTGTCGCGCAGAGAGAATCAGTGGGTGGGTATTGCGCAGAGAGAATCAGTGGGTGGGTGTCGCGCAGAGAGAATCAGTGGGTGGGTGTCGCGCAGAGAGAATCAGTGGGTGGGTATCGCGCAGAGAGAATCAGTGGGTGGGTGTCGCGCAAAGAGAATCAGTGGGTGTCGCGCAGAGAGAATCAGTGGGTGGGTATCGCGCAGAGAGAATCAGTGGGTGGGTGTCGCGCAGAGAGAATCAGTGGATGGGTGTCGTGCAGAGAGAATCAGTGGGTGTCGCGCAGAGAGAATCAGTGGGTGGGTATCGCGCAGAGAGAATCGGTGGGTGGGTGTCGTGCAGAGAGAATCGGTGGGTGGGTGTCGTGCAGAGAGAATCAGTGGGTGGGTGTCGCGCAGAGAGAATCAGTGGATGGGTGTCGCGCAGAGAGAATCGGTGGGTGGGTGTCGCGCAGAGAGAATCAGTGGGTGGGTGTCGCGCAGAGAGAATCAGTGGGTGTCGCGCAGAGAGAATCAGTGGGTGGGTGTCGCGCAGAGAGAATCAGTGGGTGTCGCGCAGAGAGAATCGGTGGGTGGGTGTCGTGCAGAGAGAATCGGTGGGTGGGTGTCGCGCAGAGAGAATCAGTGGGTGTGTCGTTGTAACTGTTTTCTGGCAACTTTTTCTCTCTATGTTATTCGCACTGGGTTGTTTTTATTCGCATCTCTTTCGTTTACGGCCGTCAAATATCTCGCTTGTTAGTTGTGCA